CAAATTAGAAGAAGATATTTACCAGTCCTCTTTTTCAGTAAGAAAGAATACCTTTAATGAAATAAAGAAAATGTTGTAATAAAAGGCAAAAACTCTTGCTTTGTACATGAATAAGGGCTACTTTAAAGTCTACATGTACAGTACAAGGGCACATTGTTGTATCTCCTTTTCATTTTTACATAGCCAGTATTAAATAATTGAAATTCAACATACCGGTAGACACTTTCTTCTCCTTCTTTTGGGGCTACACGAACATGTGGCATAAAAGTCTGTCCCGATTTGTATGTTGTTACATGCTATATTTAGAATATGAAAGCATTTAAAAAGCCATGCTTTTCAGGGAACATTTTTTATCTGATGTTGTTCCACACTAGCATAATAACAATGATAACGCTTGCAAATTATTTTTCACCTCTTTCCAGAACTCAACCTTCTCTTTAAATATATTTGTTTGTTGCAGATTGCAGAGCTTATGCATGCCAGTGCTGCTGGAGGTCGCTCAAAGCTCAGACTGACCTCAGTCAAGATCATGACCTCAAATGGGTTTGTGGGAAGCATGTCAGGTGACCTCGACTTTGGGGAGAGGGGTCATTGAACTTTAAACTGGTGGAATGAAGGGAATGGAGTCAGAGAGAGTGAGAGAGAGAGAGAGAGAGAAAGAGATGAAAAGACAGTTTGAAGAGATAGATATTTATACATGTACATACTTTTAGGTAAGGGAGGGGAGAGACTAAATACAATTTGACAATTGGAAGAAATCATTGTAAAGTTTGTGAACGCCCAAAGAAATTTGAGTTAAAGAATTAACACATATAATTGAATCATTATTATAATTATTAGAGTTCTCCCAATCAGTAATTCTGGTAAGGGACTCGAGGGTTAAAGTGATTAGTGTTACTCTTCCCATCCCACTTATACTAGGTGATGCAGAATACTTGGGATATTTGCGGATTTAACACTGTTTTTTGCAACAGATACGTGACTTTTCAATCATCCCTGCCACTGCATGCATGATACATTCTGTACACATCCCATTAGTATGTGTGTGTGTAGTAGTATATGTAGCAAAATAGAGTCGCATGCAATATTAATGGCTATACATTTTATTAAAAAAAGGGGTAGATTAGTTGGTCTCCATAGGGTGAGAGAAAAATAAGAGAGCAAGAGATATATACCATATATATATATATATATATAGAGAGAGAGAGAGAGAGAGAGAGGTGATAAACATTCTATAATTTAAAAAAAGGAATTTAGAGGAAGGAGGAGAAAGGTCTATAGTAAAGCTGCTGAATTATTTGTAAAGTTGTGAATTTATCAAAATTAATCATGCACAGTTTTGTCACTATCACTTTTCCACAAATTTGATTTTTTTTCTTTTCTTTCTTTCTCTCTTCTTCTTCCCTTCCCCTTATGAATTAGTAGTATGTTAATATCCATGTTAATGGGAAATGTAGGCTACAGTGTATTTGATTGCAGTTCAATTATAAGAATTGTAATTTATCACTGGAGAGAGTTGTACTCATTTTTGATAATAAATGTATAGATACTACTGCTAGCTAGCCATCATCTTTATTTAAAAAGTATAGATGTACATTTAGTACAAAAACGTGTATGTGATATGGTAAACATGTGGATATCTGCACAAAATTGTAAATTCTCATCAGGAAAATGGGTATCTGTAATCTTGGAATTGTTCTTGTCTTTCAATGAAATTGTGTCTGTTCAGAGCCAGAAGCGTGGTGTTTAATGTACATAGAAAACAAAAATATTCATTTTGTGTACATAATAGAGAATAATAGGATATCAGTCTATCTTGTTCTGAATATAAAATTTGAAAAACCCTTTATTCAATTCTGTCAAAGGAACCAGAGGTTGTGTTTTGTATACGTGTGAATCTAATTTAGCAAAGGGATGAATCCATGCATTTTGTTTTCACTGTATTTTCTGAATCATTGCTATGAATGTTAGAAGTGTCGTAGTTAAGCACTTGACTTGAAATTCAAAGGTCGTGGGTTTGATCCCCGACACAGCACTAATGTCCTTTGGCAAGGCATTAATCTACATTTGCCACTCAATACCCAGGAGAGAAATGGGGACCCGGTAAGATGACAAAAGCATTTGTGTTAGTAATTGCCTATGCCCTCACGGTGACCATTTTGGTAGAAATACTCCCAGTGAGTGGAGATGGTGCACATTGTGCGTGAATGAATCCGATGACCGGGGTAATAATATCTGTAAAGCAAGTGCTTAGAGACGGTATTCCGTATCAAGCGCTATATAAATCCAGATAATTTTTTTTAGTATTATGCAGTACATCAATAATTTGAGGTGGTAGCAAATGTATTATTGCAGCATAGTAATACTGTTGTTTTGAAATCACAGAAATGTAAAAATATTTGTTTGTTTATTATTATGAAGACAGGCAAGTCATCAGAATTAATCCCATTGCAGGCTAGCCATTTGGGAACACTTCCTTAGAGGTGTTGTGGTCTAGTGAATACAACCTTTAAACCCCAGCTTGTGAACTACAAGGTTTAGGGTTCGAATCCCTGCTGCAGCACTAACATTGTTTTTTGAGGGGGGCGGGAGGAGGAGATATGGTATCAATAATTTTGATGGCTTGCCTTTTGGTATAGTACTTATAATTGTTATGCATTTGTCCATGTTTTTCTTTCCTTCCTTCATGTCTTTCATGTGAATCGTCTTCAATACCAGTTACTGTAATTTTTTTGGTTACCGGTAATCCTCTTACACCAACACGAAATTGACTGGAAATTTCATTTTATGACTTGGTTAACATCTTTGGTAATCACAACAAATAAAATTCACACAAAATTGTATATTAGATAAGTGACCAAAAGAAAGCTGAGGAATTTGAGCTTCTTGAATCTTCAGTAAAAAAAAAATAATTATGAACCCTTTAAGCACTTTCTGTGTGGATGTGTCGGTAATTCACAGCAAATTTCTGTTAGTTTAATTACCAATCAAAACGAAAAATAACATCGATTAACTTCTGGATAACTTTTGAAATGCAAGACACATAGAAAATTAAGGTAACTGAACATGAAACTGCCATTTCTAATGTGATGTTTATCAGTATTGTTTGCACATACAACTCTCTTTGTTTTTCACCTTGTGTACGCAATCATGTCCTGTGTGGTTTCTATTTCCGTCCGTATACTGTATTCAAAGTCTTTTGAGGCTTGTGTACTTCTTTTAGTGTGTGTTTATGTCGATTTATTTGTGTATCATTACAAAAGAAAGAAAGACTTGCATCTACCGAGATCAATGATAAAGGCTCAAGGCTGGTTGTTCCAAACCCAACTTTAATCATACAATCCTACATGTACTTTTATTTCACAGGTTTACAAGTCCAGTGAAAGAAATACTTTAATGATTTCGGGGGCTACTTTTTAAGCTAAAAGTAACACTCTCTAATTTGTTTTGCATTGAACACTGTGCAAATTTGGGGGCTCTTTTTGGCATTTCGGGGCTAATTCGCCCCGAGCCCCCATGTATTGTTTTTCCCTGTACAAGTCTCGTGAGGATTTACTGGATAAGCTGCCCATTTTCTTCATGCTGGTCATATTGAACTAAACATGAATATTCATACTTTTCAGCTAGCACTTTCTCAAGTTATATATCTCCATTTAATTTATTCAAAATTTTAAACCAAGTTTTCTTTTTTTAGTCATTATTTCTTTAACTCCGTAGTTGGACAAATACACCTGGCTAAGTCTTAGGAGAGTCTTTGTCGAAGTCACTTGACATATATATATATTTTATATATTTTTTTTTAATAGACAAAAGTGATGACTTTGATCATCATGAGATGTCCTCAGGAATGTATGTGAATAAATTATGTATATTTTTTAGGTTGGTGCAGTGTTTATAGTGTTTGATGCCATGATATGAAGGACTGTTGATTGGGGGTGCAGTCTAGTTGTCTGAGGGTCCACTGTAACAGGAAATTCGGTCATGTAAACATTTGAACCTTGATACTTTCTTGTAAGCCGTCCAACTAAAGCCCACGATCTGACTGCTATCGAATTTACAAGGAATTTGCAAAGCATTTTAAATGAACAATTAAATATGTGAAATACTAAATGATCAAGGGTCTTCATAACCATTAAGGAGGGGGGGGGGGGTAATTTGAATGTTTTGCAAGCCTATTTGGGGCGGGAAAAGCCAAATCAAGAATGAAGTAGTGACATCAAACCCATTCTGCGATTGTCTTTGATTTGAAGCCATTTTGGCCTTTACTCCAGCAAGAGGCCTTATAACCCACCAAATTTCACTTTCTAGTGATCCTATCCTTGATCGTAATCTGGAATATAATACCGGTTTGTTTTACAGGGTCTAATCTGTAATGGAATTCTGATTTCTTAAAAAAAAGGGCTTAAGAGAAGGTCCAGAAGAGACCAAGACCTGCTCAAATCAATATAATATAATTTTGTGTAAAAGCCCTAGAATCATTGGATATATGGGCGATACAACACTTGAAGCTTGAGAGAGAGTGCATCAATTTTTTCAAATGTGAATTTCCGATTAAATTTCAAGCAAATACAAAGGGAGTGGTGAGATGAGCAATTGTCTTCGTAACCTCAAAAAATGGCCATTGACATTTTTTGAAGCCCAAATTATTGAAAGACAAAGTCGAGCGAGGAATGTAAAGGATTTCTTTCAGAGCACGTCTGAAGTAGGATTTCGACATGAGATAAAATCTGTCTGCTAGAAAATAGTTGATTCATCAGTTTAACCTCTTCTGTATGATAATATCAAACATTGTATTGCCCAGCTTGTTTGATGTTGGACCTTTTGTTAAAGGTCTTTTAAGAGATATATTGCATTTGTGAGATGTGTATAGTTCAGTTATTTTGTGTACAATTAAAATAAACATTACCAATTTGTAACTTGTGAGAAGTCCCTTGTCAGTTATTGAAGTTCTTCAGTACATGTACAGTACAGCATTTACCTATTAAAACAATAAGTGAGTTGGAAAGTGGACAGTAGCAAATTTTTGAGAGAAAAATTGGAAAAACCCGAGATTTTGTTATCAATGTTTATCATTCTGTATTTGCAATCCAATTGTACAGACAAGGGGGTGTTTCATAAAGCTGTTCGTAAAGTTACACATGACTTTACGAACGACTTATATATGAAAAGCCAAATGGGATGCTCAATCTTTTTTAACGGCATCAACTAAAGTTGAACTGTGCAGATGTAGATTAACATTCTTATTATAACAAACATTTTTAACGCAAAGGTATAGTTTTTGTCATAATTTAATTGAGGTTATTGGAAATATAGTCACACTTTGTTAAAACATCAGGACAAAATTTGGGCCTCCTATCTGGCACTTTTGAAGTCGTTCGTAAAGTCATACGTAACTTTACGAACAGCTTTATGAAACACCCCCCAGCTCTCCTTCGTGCTCTATATACAGTCAAACCTGTCTATAAGCGACCACCCAAGGGAAACACAAAAAGTGATCTTTGTAGACCGGTCCTCTTGTACATGTACATGATTCAATGAGAAAACTTTTCAAGGGAAACAACAAATGTGGCCTTTGTAGACAGGTGGTCACTAAAGCAGGTTTGACTACAAATAACTGAAGTGCTTTTTATGACTGTCCTGTGTTAGGTCATGATCAAATGTCTGACTCGCCCCATTCCTATACCACTATAGTGATCTCAATTTCTTACAACAAATTCATAACAAGGTCATCTGCAGTGTATCATCTCTCCAATCATCCTCTGTACACAAAAGAAAAAACTCATAACAGTTCATTTAACAAAACAAAATGGTTCAACATTTTATTGCAGCAAACGTTATGCAATACACAAACCCCAATTCTGCTTCGAGGCAAAAATGAATATTTATACAACACTAGTCTGTTCTCACCCACTATACTAAAATACAAGATTCTGAAAAGAGCTTAGGTATATAAGGAAATGGATATCATAATGCAAGGGGTTCTTTGGGGAAATGGATTTGGGCGTTAAAGTCCAGATATTTGAAGTATTAAGCAAATATTTGTTTAAATAATAAATTTTAGGGATATGAAAGCCTTTGGAATGACGGACATCAAGCGAGATGACGTGCAACTGTAAAGAAGGAAATCATAGGGAGTAAACGTGAGAAAAATGTTTGCATCTACATTCGAAAAATGTTTGCATCTGCATTCGCACAAAGGTATACAAAATTACACACATCTTGTAAGGGCATAGTTTTATAACAGCTCACATTGCAAATTACTCACTATAATTGCGATAGTTCTTACAGAAATTGGCCATTCTTCATTCAGATATCTCCAAATTTAAAGCCCATCCATGTTATATGTACCCTTAAAATTGGCCGAAACCGAGTCGTGATTGGCTCCTTTAAACAACATTGTATTAGTCTGTACAAAATGGCGATAGACTGCTTTATGTATTTCATGTATGTGCATATCAAGCCTTAAAAAGGCTCAAGGGATACTATATTTTTGATTGTTAATGCAACATTATGGTTAATGCAACATTATAGGGTTATTACTGAGGTTAAAAATTGTAGTGTACCATAGTTTATATGCACAACTATCACTACAAACTGCTTCGGTTTTGCTTTGGTTGCATATCAAGTATTGAGAGTAGATAAGGAATCTTTTAGAGCCAACAAAATAACGACAATTTAAAACAACACGAGGCCTCTAAAACAAAACAAAACAAAACAAAACATGGCAACATGTTTTATGGCAAACATGGTGTACAAAATTGTGTTCCCTTTGACTACCACATAAAGGTTTCATTTTGATTATACAGCAGTAAAAGCACATCAAGCATTAGTTACACAAATCTTCTTAGCATTCTAAAACTTTTAGCACCATTTAAGAACTAAAAATGATACCATACACTATGAACATGACTAACAATTAAAGGGGAAAAAATATACAGTTCCTCATGTAGACAAAAGGAACATCCCTTCACTGCTATTATGTAAAAATGTGTAGAACAGGTGTCACATGCATATTCACCTTTCTACATAATAGCAGTGAAGGGATGTTCCTTTGTCTACCTGAGGAACTGTATATTTTGTCCGCTTCCTTTGTCAGTCACGTTCATAGTGATACCAGTATTATATACAATGTGCGGTACGATTTTTAGGGATCCAATACTTCTAGCCATATCGGTAAAACCAACTGGTATCCGCCAAAAATGCACAATCGAGGTAGAAAAACATAGAACATTTGCAAATGGCTATCTTTTCCAATGAGGTATGCAACTTAAAACAATATATTTTGGGCACTTTCGATCATACAATCATATATTGTATAAATATGTTGTAAAGTCAAGTTTCATCATTTACAAATGTATTTGGATAAATGGGTGCTCTTTTGTTTATCAAGTGCCCAGAATATTGTCTACCGGTAGTTCTGGGCCGTTTCACAAATCTTGCTATCAATAACAAGTTACAATAACTGTTATAAGCTACTGGTATCATTGCATTTGATTGGATCTGCCTCTGAGCACATTTTTTATAGAAATACGTCGGTTGTTATTGATATTAAATTTTCATGAAACGGGGACCTGGTCTCTTTTTTTGAACTCTTTGTTTGCTAAAGCTACAGTCCCATATACGTCCCGGACCATCCCGGACCCCATCCGGGGTGATCCGGGATTCGGTCCGTGTTGACACCGTGTTGGCACCGGGGTGGTCCTGGATGGTCCTGGATGGTCCTGGGCGGTCCGGGAGTCGACCCCGGATGTTTTTGACGGTCAAAAACTGCCGGGGTGGTCCGGGACGCTCCGGGACAATAGTTTGATCCGGGGTGATCCGTGTAGCCACCGTGCTGGGTCCGGGGTCATCCGTAGTGGCGCCGGGGCGGTCCGTGTTCATCCGTGGCAGTCCGGGAGTGAGATATTGACCGCCAAGGACCATCCAGGACCATCCAGGACCATCCAGGACCATCCAGGACCACCCCGGTGCCAACACGGTGTCAACACGGACCGAATCCCGGATCACCCCGGATGGGGTCCGGGATGGTCCGGGACGGTCCGGGACATATATGGGACTGTAGCTTAAAAGCATCACACTTTTTTTGAACAAAACATCCCGGACCATCCCGGATCACCCCAGACCATGGTCCGGGATGGTCCGGAGTGGTCCGTGCTCGTCCGTGCTGGTCCGGCTTTATATGGGACTGGGGCTTATGGATTGAAACGTGTGACTGCCATTATTAGGAGTATTATGCTACATATATACTGTAGTGTGATAATGGTCAACTGTTGCAGACCAGTGTTTGTTCCATTACTTGAACAAAGCCAAGAAAGAGCTCACTTAAAGCTTAGATGTACCAGGGATGCTAATAAAGTAACCTAGGTATTGTTCAAGTACACTGAATTTTTATTTTGCTAAAGCAACCGAATGAATTTTTGGTTTAACATCCTATCCAAGGTGCAAGGAAATTTGGTTGTAATGCCTTGCCAAGGGATACCGGTGCTCTCAATAGCCTTTGAACCTAAGACCTCTATTTTAAGTGCCTTTACCATTAACCTAGAGACTCCCAACTGAAACAACTGTAAGCATTTAAGAAATAGACATTATCTGCTGCATCATTGCAAGCTAGGCCTTGTCCACATATTTGGGGGATTAAATAAACACATCTACCAAATCTAAATTGATGTCCAACACAATGTATGAAATAGGGGTAAAACAAAATAATGAAATGTTTCAAATGACAATAATGGCTATATAGGTAATTATAATATAATGATAAAAGTACAGATGATTGAAATAAGAACAAAGAGAAAAATAGAAACTCAATTTCACTTTAAAAAAATAACAAGGTACAATGTACTGCATTGTGCGGAAAGTGAAAACATTACACAGCTGATAAAAAATGATCTTGCATTAGGTATCGGGAATCAACAAAATATTATATATCGTAATCAGCTTTTTAATACCTGAGCAAAGCTGCTTTACTTGCTTAATTTCTGCCCTTTAATACTTTGCAATCTTTAGATCATAAATATTAAATGAGAATTTACAAACCATGAACAAAATCAGCTAATTAAACAATTGCATTTATTTTTAATATTATTTTCTTGTAATTCAATCACTTGCAGCAATGGTACAACGTATATGTTGTGACTTAATTCAGTGTCAAAATAAAAAGGGTTTAATACTTTTGGTGAAAATATATTTCTGTGGCAATCAGCAAATGATTTCATATAGAATTATGTCCATTTCTGCATATCTTGATGATTATTATTTTTATTTTTTAAAACTCCCATTTTGATATCTAAGCCATCACTCAGTAAAATGACATCCTAATAAAATTACAAAACATTTGAAGTAAGAACCAAACACTACTTGTCCTACACAACTTTAGGCTAATTAAAATGCCACCCATAAACTTTCTGCCAATGCTAACTACATCTTTTGAAACTAAACTTTTCTTTGAGTTAATATTAATAATGAATGATGAATACTGACTGTACACAGAAATAAATATTTTTTATTGTCACAGTACTATTTTTTCTTCTTCAATAAATACAATTTACAATTTTACATATATATATACCAATGCTACACATGAGCTCACTTTGAATACTGTTTAGGCATGCACTTTACAATGTCAATTTATAAACCGTACATTAATTATGAATGATAGGCACTCAAGAAAAATAGTTGCCCAATTTGATGAAGCACGAGTGGAGATGAAACAATTACAAGAGCTTTTTGAAACAAGGAAATGGTTTTAATATATCATCCGTTAAAAGCTAAAAGGGCATCAAAGGGACTTGGTAACATTTATTACTACTATTATTATTGGTCAGATGAGAGAAAATGGTGCTAATGTAGTGACTTCAATGATAGATGTACAATTCAAGATAATCTGAAAGTTTGAGTGAAAACAGACCATTATTAATGATAGGAATGGGGAAAAACTCATCTGATTGATTCCTGAGTTCTCCCCCAACTATATTATTATAATTTAATTGAAGTTTAGGTGAATGTAAATCATCACAAAGCAATAAATTGGCTCTATTATACAATTCCAAACATTCAAGTGTTGAAAGATTTTTAAAAGCCTGTTTTATGTCATGTTGCCATGGAAAGAAAACCATAAATATATTTGTGGTTTGAGAATTTTTCAGGATTGTTTGCATGTGAGAGGTTAAGTAAAGTAGATGAAATATAATAAGTAACATTTCATACAAAACTAAGGCAGTTTTTTTCCATCAACCTTCAACAATGTTTCGGTTCACTTTAAAGGGAAAGTCCACCCCCAAAATAAGTTGTTTCGATAGAGGCAGAATAATAAGAAAATCAGGTGAGTGAAAGTTTGAGCAAATTCTGAATGAAAATAAGAAAGTTATGAATTATTGAAGTTTTGATCAATCAAATACAAATTGGCAACTCTGTGACTTATTATACGAGCTCTCCTTCATTTGCTTTGTGCATAATATTCCATAAAATCATGTTTTCTTCGTTATTGATGACGGAATATATATTTGTTCCTTGCAGGGGGAGTATAGAAACATATTTGCAATTATTATATTTAGGGTGCATGTATGGTTGAAATTTTTCTTGAGGGAAAATGAAAATTTTAGATTTTTTTAGTACTGAGCAAATGGAAGTTGAGCTCGCATGATACGTCATAGAGTTGCCAATTTGTGTTTGATTGATCACAACTTCAAAAATCCTAACTTTCTTATTTTTAATCGGAATTTGCTCAAACTTTCACTGACTTGTTTCTCTCATTTTTCTACTCCTATTAAAACTAACTTAATTTCAGGGTGGACTTCCCCTTTAATATAGACCACATTAAATGACCGATACTGCCAACTGCTTGGGCACAATTAATGGCTGTTATCAACATATATTTCTGATATTTGCATTCAGCCGTATAATATATATTTTTTTCCTGTTGGGAAATTGGAAAGTTCAATTATTTTATAGCTAAAATTTGGCATTTACATCAACTTGTCCTTCCTTCAGGAGCTCTATCAACTTAAAGAGCCCCACACAAGATTCCTTTGAATAATTCAAATGTATAATTTTTCATCCATACTTTGAAAAAATATAATTCCAGTAAGAAAGTTGTAAAAGTCTTTTGGCAGTTTCCATTGTGCTGTATTGCTATTTTTCCGGTCAAAATAGCTAGAGAAATTATTTCTTTGAAGAAAGAAAAAAGAGTAATTCATTCTCTTTCTTCATCCTTTGAAATTAAATATATGTTTTCGATTTTAAAGAATGGATATTATTGGACTTCCAATCTTGGATTGCAGAGGAGCATTTTCAGAAAGGAATAGGACATTAAAGAAAAAAGAAAATATCATTTCATCATGCAATGTAACCTGTCACTTTCGTGAAAGATATTCATTGTAGAAGTTCAAAAAATATAACTGAAGACGCTATTCCAACCTTAAACTTGATATCTTGTTTGGGAGAAGAAAAAAACTTTACACAATGATAGAAAGAATGTAATTGACAAATATCTGTCGTCTCTTCTTAGGGATTAATTCTAACTTTCAATTCTTTTAAATATTGCAATTTGATTTCCTTTAAATTGAGGTATTTACATTTTTTTCCTTCACAAATACTTTACAGAAAAGATGAAATAATCATTAGCGTTAATCAAATCCAGTTATACACAATGATGAATGTAAACCCATAGAAATATAACCCCATTAAGGCAGCAAAATAAAAGGTGAATATCTAACACACCAATAATACAAACAAAGCTTAAGACAATGATACATATACTGAATAAATAATAAGAGGTTATGTAAACTGTACATGTGTTAAAAAGGGATTAAAATATGACGTTGCACAATTTTTTTTGGCAGATTTGAAATGAGTTAACCCTGTCAAAACCAAGAACTGTAAAATACATACCGGAACTTATTAGTCAGTACCAGTATTCCTTAAAGAAAAACCTTTCATAAACCCAAAAGTAATAAGCAGAGTTGGTGCACAAATTTATGGTGGGTCACATTGTCAAACTCTTCATCATGTAAAATAGCCACGATTCTACTACCGGTAATGATATCATGCATGAATCATGACAATTTTAAAAATTCCTTTTACTCTTGATGACTTCATCGATAGTTAATTATTCATTTTCATTAAGATTATTTAATTCCAGTAACTGATTTATAATTTGCTATCAATTTCGTTTTGATAATAAAGAATAAAGTAATTCATGTATTAAAAAAAAAGAGGTTGACACTTGGCACTCCATAAACCAGTTAATCGAGTAAAAGCCAAGACTAACTTATTTCATTTGTATGAATATGGAGAGATGGCCCAGGAGTCTTGTTGAAATGAGAGGGTTAAATAAAGTCTGCCAAACTACAGCCATTTATCAAGGAATGTTTGTTGTATATCTGCTTTTTATTCATATAACCAGTAGAAAGTGAAGATATAAACTTCTTGGCTATATATCTAGCCCACGAAAGTCCCCATACTACTCTTTCTTTTTCAGTATTTTTCACGTTTATCATATATCATGACTTGGGCAGAGTAATGCTTACATATAATTTAGAATATCATATATTTAAAAGGCATATTTTAAGGTCAAATCTAAAATGCAATTACTTCTAGCTTGTTCCAATATAGCATAACTCAAGGTGCACATTAGCCGACCCATGACAAAATGTTATATTGTACAAGTCTTGTAGCACACTGCAAATAAAAGTGTATATATATATATATATATATATATATATATATATATATAAATACATCGGCGGTCTATGGTTATCCTAAAATATCATGGGTGCACACTTACATGTACATTTACATACCGGTACAAGAAACAGAGACAAAATGATGTGCAGTGATCTTTAAAGAGAAGGTTGAGTTCTGGGAAGAGGTTAAACATAATTTGTGAGAGTTATCATGCAAGTGTGGAAGATCAGACAAAAAATCTCCCCTGAAAAGCATGGCTCTTCAAATGCCATAATATTCTAAAAATGGCATGTAACAGCATACAAATCTGGACAGATTTTTATGCCACATGCTCTTGTAGTCCCATATACATATTTCTTTGTGCAGTCCTTGTAACTTTACCAAGACTGGGCCAAATTTCCTATCACTTTGATGGTTCCAGAACCTTGCAGTACACACCAATACTTATATGCTAGATGATCAAACTTTTCTGATTGATTCCACATTGTTTCTTTCACAATGCAATCACATGACCAGAACTCAACTTTATCTTTAAAGGCTTGTTCAAAGGCTAGGGCTAAACATGCCAGTTTGGAGAGAGGTTTGCAAAGGAAAATCTCCTTGGATCTTTATGGCAAAGGAATAGTAATGAACAACACAAAACAATTTAAACTATTGTTAGAATCTAATCAATAATCTAAAGACTGAAAAAATTGATATTTTAGACTTGAAAAGAAAGCATACTTTGACTTTCAAGTCAAGAATTGTAACGTTTTAAGGAAAACAAAGTTCTGTATGAACAACTTGCTACAGGAAGAAGATAAACTTATTTCTACAGATTGAATATGGCACTAAAATAGTTTGCAGCATTGATCTACTATAATTCAGCAAAGAAAAACAAAAAAGGAATACATAATTATAATAAATCATAATATAAAATACACATACAAATCACTCAATCAAGTTTCTTCTTACATTGCTGTAAATGTACTACCAATTTCAATTAGAAATCAAGAAGAAAACAAAATCATTAACTTTTCACAGAGTTGCCAGTGCCTGCTAGATGTTCTCTCAAGTGCTCTACCAAGCAAGTGTGATCAGTACTCTTAAAGCCACACTGAGAACACTGGAAGATTACAGAACCATACTGTATTTGCTTGGAATTCTGAGGATCCTTGGGGTTTTCGGATACAGCAGCGGAAGGAATTACTGCTGAAACTTTCCTCTCTTCAGCCGTATCGTTTCGAGGGCTTTCATCACGTTTTTCCTCTGATATTTTTTCTTCTTGGTCATTACCTTCAGAGTCTCCATCCTTGACCTTGAGGACCATCTTGATGATGTCCTGTCCATCATAATCATAGCCTGGGTGACTGGTGTGGCGCCACATGTGGGATTTCATCGATGGGAGGTGTCCACTGACATAGGGGCAGAACTTGCACTTGTACTGGTCGTTGGACATGCTTGGGCTGCTCGTCGAATGCTTCTTCATGTGGGAGCGGAGGCTCTGCGGGTAGGCACCGCTGAAGTCACACTTGTTACACTTGTAAGGCTTGTCTGCATTGTGGAACTTCATGTGGTTCTTGATGCCATTGGCGGTTGCTGAGGAATAGTCGCACATCCCGCATTTGTATGGTTTCTGATGGGTTTCTCGACCGTGGGCCTGAAGATCTCCCAAGGAGCCGGTCACAAAGTCACACTCGCGGCAACCATACCAGCACTTCAGCACACAGGTCTGCTCATGGTCTTTGGGCAACTCGTCTTTCATCTCGTTGTGGCAAGTTGGGCATATGCTGGATTTGGCAGGAAGATGGGCTTTCTTGACGTGATCCCTGAGTGCTATTTCACTGCTGCAACTAAAGGGACAATCACTGCATTTCAGAATAGCATCATGAGTGTCCATGTGGTACTGCAGCCTTTGAGGATGCCAGAAGGTGGCTGAGCACCGATGGCACTTGAAGATTGGCGTTGATCCCTGGGAGCATACATGGGTTTGGACAGATAAGGGGAACATCTCTTTGCAGATTGGACATTGGTAATGGTCTTCTGAAGTCTGCATAGATGTGGCAGTGACAACGTTAATTTCATTGCTTTCTTTGGTTTTTCCAGGGCTACTACTTGAACTGTCCTGAACAACTTTCTCCATGTCTCCTCTCACCTGTAATGCATTATCTACAGCACTTAGCAACATCTTACTAATACCTGGCTGGGTGCAAACCTTTTTATTATCTTGACCAGGTGAACTGCAGGGTATTTTTCTCTTCTGGTTCCTACCATGCTTCTCTTCTACACTATCTTCCTTCACATCTGATTCAACAGATTCCAGTGCCAAATTTTGTTCATTTTCTTTGTCTCTGGTCTCATCACAAAGCCCAAGCTTTGCAGGATTGACATCATCTTGGTTCATGGTGAATTGTTCATTGGCTGTGATCACTACCTCTTCTACCACAACATCACTACAGCACACTGAAAGAGGTATAGAGAGAGTGGCAGAGGTCTCAGAAACCTGGTCATGGCAAGTGACTATTGAATGTTCATTAATCACAGAGGTACACAGAGGTTGGGCCTTTTTACAACAATCCTTTGTTGTATCAGGTGCCTTCTTAATCACACTGACAGTTGAGGAAGCTGGACAGTTATCTTGGTAAGCATTCGTTGTCGTGGACACTTTGCCATTCGCTTCAGGATTTACTGAGGTGGCATCTGCAAACACCTTCTGTACGATGCCATGTTCCTCTTCTGGCAGCATGATGGGAAAGCATTGGCATTTACGCTTGTCTTTGGTGTGCTTTCTTTTTGGACCGTCTCTGACGTATTTTGTAATTTCCACCTCCTCTGTTACTTCCACATAATTTAAACCAGTCTCCTTATTGTGATTTGCGGAGTTCTCCTCAGAAGTTACTTCACTGGAGTCCTGTACTTTGTGCATGACAGGATATGAGCACCCTTCCTGTCCTGCATGTCTCCAGGCATGCGCCTTCAGGGTGGACAGTTTCTCACAAAGATATCCACACAGCAGACACTTAAACAACTTGGTGTTTGAATCCTGCTCACCAGTAGACTGGACACTTTTCTTCGGTTCCTTCCTCCCAGGTCCTGACTGCCTAGTTTCCTCTGTATAAGATCTTACTGGGGATTTTGACTTTTGTCTCCTAATCTCGAGTTCAGGTGACTGAATATCCTTGTCCGGATGGACATGGCTCCACATGTGATCTCTTAGGCTACTCTCACTTCCGGTACTGTATCCACATTCAGAACATTTCAGGAGAATCTCTTTGATGTTCTGGTGCTCTTTCTTTATATGCACCTGAAGGCTGCTAAAGTCACTAGTCTCGTACCCACATATATTACATAGACATTTCTTCACCTTCTCTGTCACATGGACACCCTGGTGGTTCTCGATAGCACGATGCCGTGTGGTGACAAAGTTGCAGAACTTGCAGCGGAAGATATTGGCATTGTGTGTTGCAAGGTGATAGAGGAGTTCATGGTATGTAGTGGCCTTGAATATACATACATCACACGCTATTCCTCCGTGATCCTGGCCATCTTTAAGACAGTGTGCCTCAGGATTGTCTTCTTCAAAGATCTCCTCAGGACTGGTGCTTCGGCTCTCCCGCATGCAGCAGGAGCACAGCTGACCTTTCCTGTGTTTATCCACAGCAAAGAGACAAGGGCAGTTGGGGCACTGGTGAAGTCTAGTTCTCCCACCCTCTGTGCTCTTTCCTGTACCCTGTTCATATTCGCTCCCGTCCTCACTGCTCAGGTCAGGGTAATCTTTCTGCTTCTGCTCGCTGTTCTTTACCAATTCCGTGAGCTTCTGTATGACAACAGACAGCACCTCATCCTTGCTGGGTGGTCTTAGCGATGCCTGCGGTCTAGGAGATACCTCTTTGTGAACACTCCCGTCTCTTCTTGGTGAAACTTTGTCCTCCTGCAGAGCAAACTGGAGGCAGTTGTATGAGTGGTCCTGGTGACATGGCTCACCCTTGGGTCCTCTCTTCACCACAGGGATGTCCCTCTCTGGGCTAGCTCGATGACTGCCGTGCTTCCCCTTGGCAATCTCCTGCAAGTCAACAAACTCGATGGGCTCAACCAGGACCCTCCCAGGAATGGAGGATTCCTCATTCTCTTTCATGATGGAAGTTGCTTCTCTCGGTCCATCCCAGTCACATCTTCACCTGTAATACAGAAAATGAAAAATTGAATAAAAGCAATGAAAATTTTGAGATACTGTAAAACCACAAATAAAAATTCTGATTACCATTCAAGCATACGTGTAAACCACAACACTCGTCAACGGTTGTGCCAGCCATGAGTGATTACAATATAAATTTTCAGCAAAATACACTGAAAATGCATTGTTGTCAAGTTAAATAAAATAAAATTAAATCCAATAGGCATTCCTCAACATGCCTTTTCCATGCAGTTTCAAAGTGCTGGATACATTACTCCACAACCAAATGTCTACACCACTTACATGCACATTAATACACTACTTTAAAGAGACAGATACAAACGGTCCAAAATTTTTGACGGATGTGTCTGATTCTCTGACAAGGTACATATAGCTTACGATATCTATGCTGCATTTGTTTATTTTACTCAATTTTAAATGACAAAAAACAAGTAGGATACTCTGGTGTACAATGGTAGTTATAATCTCTGCATTAAAAAAGAAGAGCTAGTGTACTGACTACAGGCTTTACTTTATTGCTCTTTTACAGCCCCAAAGCATTATAAATTAAGCTTATATATATATATATATATATATATATCATATATGTCAGTTCACAATGCACAAAATAGTCTAAAATGGTCAATGGCTTGAACAATTTGTGTTCACATGGAAATCTACAGTCTCTTTAAAATATGAAATTGTACAATGGCCCAAATTCGCAAAGGAGGTTTAAATTTAACCCATGGTTTAAACCCTCATTTACATAACCCATGTTTTAAATTTGACGCAAATTAAGCGTACCCTGCCGTGCGCGCGTATTGGACCTCTGACTGTGTCACGCTTACTTTGTACTAATTTTTGGACCATGGGTTATGTAAATGAAGATTTAAACTATGGGTTAAATTTAACCCTCCTTTGTCAATTCGGGCCAATAAGTTTAGACAAATCTGTAGAAAAGTACAAGCTCTTAGCATATTTTTTTCTTCAAAGCCATTATTCTACAGCAGTCACGGAATAGTTGTAAGAACAATTATTTCCAGTTTGCTTAATACTATGGGTAATCACTAAAAATCACTGGCACTGTGCTTAAAGAGAAGGTCGAGTTCTGGGAAGAGGTGAAAAATAATTTGTGAGCGTTATCATTCTTATTATGCAAGTGTGGAAGAACATCAGATAAGACATGTTCCCTGAAAAGCATGGCTCTTCAAATGCCTTTATATTCTAAATATGTCATGTAACATCGTAAAAATCCAGGGTAGGATTTTTACGCCACGTGTTCGTGTAGTCCCATATACATCTTTCTGTGTACAGTGTTTGTAACTTTACCAAGACTTGACCAAATTTCTTATCATTTTGATGATTCCAGAACCTTGCAATACACACAAATTCTTATATGCTAGATGATCAACCTTTTCTGGTCGATTCCACACCGTTTCTTTCACAATGCCATCGCATGACCAGAACTCAACTTCATTCAAATTGCCCGTCATGAATTTAATAGGCACTGCAGATGCATATACAGTACATGTTCATGTACCCTGTACATTGTACAGTATTTGCATTAACACAAAACTACTACAAATAAACTGGTATGCTGTCTTTCTTCTGGGAAAAGAAAGGGCAATACAATGACATAATTCACTATAATTTTTTTCTTCACATTTTTGGGCAAAAGTCCGTTATCTAAAGTGTACTTTTATTTATAGAAAATAAAATCCTTGATTTAATCTGCAATTTAATTACCATTTAGAAATTAAAAAAAAGAAATATTCACGACAATAACCACATCCTCAGGAAGCACATGTAATATACAATTAAATACATCCTTGTACTTTAAGTTTTTTGTCACGTAACACCTGCACAGCTTAATGCTTCAGGTACCTGTAAATGTAGGCCCGATGATTGCAATAATTAGTGATTGCATAAGTCCAACATGTCAAGTGATATTAGGAGGAATGATACATTTGTCACAAATTACATATCATTCCTCTTTGAATTTGAACATCTCCCATCTTAGTTGTGTAGTGGAACTTTGCAAATGGATAATATACTAATATTGTGAGGAAATGTTTGAGTGGAAACATTGTTTGTTGTTTGTTTTATTTCTGAAAATCATAATTAAAAAAATAACACAATATATTTATTTTATATTGTATTGTGTATGCTATTTATTGAATTGCACATGGATGTACATTGCATTTAAAAAACAAGTGTACAATTTAAAACAGTATAATTTACATATTTATAAGTAGACGTACAATATGTCAAAGGTTTATCCTTAATTTTGTACCGAATGTAAAATAAAAGCAACAAAATCAAAGACTAATATGGCAAATACAATGATAAAACGGTTGGATAGTCCATTTCAGAACCTAATGGCACTGTTCTTCCATGGAGTCCAATATATACATAATGATTATATAATGAATAATGATAAAACAATATAGTAAGGTTTAATTTAAATACAATGCATACATACATGTATACTAAACTAAAAAAACAAAAAACCTAAACTCCTTAAAATCTATTCAAATATCCCCTCCCATCCCTAATATAACCATACTAGGAGGACCCATGGAAAATCCACGGGATTCTAGGGGGTGGGTGGTTGTTAATGATGTGCTATCGATTTTTTAAATTTTCATGTTTGTTTTTCTGTTTTTTTTTCCCCTTTTATTTTCAATTTCATTTTCCCTCTTGGTATAGGCCTACTTTTTATCCTTTTATTCTTTTTCTACTCTTGTTATTAATATTTAATTCGATAGAATATTAACCTTTTGTTTGCTGTTTCATATATCATTTTGAAATGTTTTTTTTTATTTGTAACATATAATAAAACTTGAAGATTAAAAGAAAAAATTAAATTAGTAATTTGTAAACGAACTGATGCAAACTATTTTACGCTTTAACTTTCGTTTTCACTTTCATTATTTATGATTATTGTTTTTCATTCATTCCCATATATATCCTTATTCTCATTATCCATTTCCCGTCCAGTTTCTTACGAATACTGTTCTCAATCCTCCCATTCTCATTTTTCATATTTTCACTCATCTCTAATTAGAACTTGTTCCAAATCAAAACATGAGTAACAATAATTGTTCAATTTGGCTTAACATACATTATTAAAACTACATGTTCCATTAAACAAAATTATCAACAAAATGATATTTTGCATGGATGATACAAAGAACTTCAGAGAGGTCCCAGAGGTCTCAGTGAAAATATACAAATATTGACTGCTCATGAGGATGAAATTATCATTTCCAAGGTGGTGTTCATACCGGTCCTTCTATCACCCAAGGCAAAGCCGAGGGGGTATAGAAGGGCCAGTATTTGAACGAAATCGAGGGAGTGATAATTTCCACCACCATCCAATTACAGAGCAGTCCTTATTTTTTTTGTTTATCCCTCATGCTTTCATTAACAGGTCAGTAGAAAAGAAATCCAACATCAAGAGTCTTTTTAACATATTTACAGTCTTTCGGAGTTCAAAAGTTTCAAATAACCAACGCTAAACGAAATCAAACATACGGAAATCAAATCTATACAGTGTAGTGCAGTAACTGCGGCGCAGTAAAACGATGGCTTGAGCGCCGTGATGACCCGCCTGAGTTGGGCGCTGGAAGGCATTTGAAATCCTGTATGCTCTGTGTGTGTGCATAAATCGCAGATTGGTTAGGCGTACTATCACAGATCTATTTGCGTTATTATTGTTGTTATTTCGAGGTAGTTTTCATAAAAAGACCAATAAAACAGAAGCTTGGACTATGCATATGTTGGCATAGATCACAGAATTTGTACAATTATTTTCAGAGTAAAGATTTTACGCGAAAATAGGTCCATGGTTTGCGCCAATTGTCGCAATCGCCACGACTCAAATCGAGTGTGTGAAAGTGTGTGAAGGTGAGCGTGAAATACACGTACACTATGGGCGCCTGGCCTACAAAGCATATCCTATAGAAAGACGCATAACACGGGTAAGCCCAACCCGTGAGAGCGTATATTTCTTACACCCCCTCACCCGCGTGAGTCATCTGTTAATGTGTATTTCTATTACACGCTACAAAGCGAATCCTATAGCAAGAGGCCTTACTCGAGATACGCCGCAGCCTTTACAATAAGACTTGCTACACCCGTTGACGCGAGTGGATTTTCGTCCATCGTGTGTCTCTTCGTCTCTCTTTGATAATTAGACAGAGGGCGGGTGCACGCCTTGTCGACTCGCTCTCGCGGGTTCGTCGCCTCCTCGCAATCCACCACGCCCGCCGTGCTCTCGTCCGCCCGTCCTCCCCGGCACCCCGAAACCGCGTTTAATGGCATGGACGTCGATCGCGGGGTCGAGGTGGCACGCGGGTTACGGGAGACAGGCCTCGTGGAATTGTGCCACCGTTCCCGCGCCACGGCGGAGGCGAGCGGGGTCGGGGAAAGACGTTTTTGAGGAACCGTTTTGTACCCGTTTGGACCCCCCGCGGCGATTTTGCGTATTAGTAATATAGATTGAGTAACTTTGCAGTGACTTTGTTTGTACAAAAAACCTTCATCATATGACATGGCATCAGGATATAGTGTAATTGGCATTTTGCCATTGAGATATAGAATTGGCACAAATAAACCATATATAGACATGTATCTTGTAATTTTCCAAAACATCAGTCTACCCCTTCTGAAAAATACATGTTCAGTGTACAGGTTTGTTAAAAAACTGGGCAAAACTCGGGATTTATTGGTCTTTTAGAGAGTAAAGCTTACACTCGCACAAGTGAATTACCGTAAGTACAAATATGGTTCTTGTGGAAGATGCCAGTATATAAACAATTAAACATGTATCTTGTAATTTTCCAAAACATCAGTCTACCCCTTCTGAAGAATACATGTACAGTGTACAGATTTGTTAAAAAACTGGGCAAAAGTCAGATTTATTGGTCGTTTAGAAAATTACTCGCAAGTGAAACAAGTACAAATATGGTACTTGTGGATGATGCCAGTATGCCATAAATCTCCACTCTTGAGTGAAAGAGTGATATGTAAATGTTAAATTTGCACAAGTACTTGACTACTCCTGAGTCCTGACAGGCCTATTAATCACATTAGAGAAAAAAATTATAGTAAATAGAACAATCAGAACATGACATCTATCTTGGCATTCTTCTCTTTTACAAATACAAAAGAAATAAAAATTTCCAGCTTCTAAAAACAACAAAAATACTCACCTTTGAATATATATTGTTCTAGAAGTTGTAATGCAGTTATAAGTTAAATTGAACACTCCGTCCAAAGAACCACAGACCAATCTGAGGGAAGACACACAAAAGAAAAGGGATCTAGAGTTACTAGCAATGAAAGGAACACCTCTCATCAGAATCACAATTTCTACGAGTCTGTGGGACTGGGAAGAGGGATGAAAGCAACTTATTCATCGACTTACGAGAAGTCACTTGATCGAGCACGTTACTCCCGAGTACATCATGTGACTTCTCCTTCATGCGGTTGCTATTATGGGAGAGGAAACAGGTCACTAAGTTTAACAAGAGCCCCCTCTCTCTACACACATTAAACCCCATGTTCACATATTGGCAAACATTGTGTTATTGTTGATGATAACAAACGTAAAGTGGTTTTCCGTGGCAATTATTCATATTAGTATGGCACATTCCCAAATTATCATGTTTATAATCAGTATGGTAATGATAGCATTTGTGTCATTTATGCCCAAGAAGCAGAGAATCGCTTATCACCCTAAATACAATGTCCATCAAACAGACCACTTCACTACCAATGACTTTACATTTCATGGGCCACAAATGTTGGTGTTACTTTACAAGTGTCGAATCTCAAAATATTGCAGTATTCTGCCTTCTTTTCTACATTAGAAAATGGATGAACAGAACTAAACAACTTCTTGAATTTCACAACTGTTTCTCAACCAGACTCCCTCAAATGTATATGTACACCTGTACATGTACTGTCATGTAGTAATAACTAAATTGTCTTTAATACCCCCTTTGTGAACATGACATTTGGGCCCGTCATACAAAGACTTACGATTGGTCCAAATCAATCAGAAGTCTTTAAATCAATCACAAGTTTGCAGTCTCCAATCTCTTATGTACATCAATCACAAATAAGTTGTGATAGATATCAAATTATCAACTCTTTGTAAGACAGGCCCAGGTGTATTGTGCCTACTGGTACAACATTTAGGATATGAAAGAGACTGTGTGTTCAGATTCTGATTTGAGAGCCAACAATTCATGGTCTGTTCATATACATGTATACAAATCTATAACCTTAAAGATAAAGTTGAGTTCTGGTCATGCGATTGCATTGTGAAAGAAAAGGTGTGGAATGGATTAGAAAAAGTTGATCATATGTAGCATGTAAGTATTGGTGTGTACTGCAAGGCTCTGGAGTTATCAAAATCATAATAAATTTGGCCCAGTCTTGGTAAAGTAACAAGCACTGTACACAGAAAGATGTATATGGGACTACACAAATGGTGTCTGGGCTACTTACCTTGATTTCCTTATCTTTTTATGCTCATTACTCAGCCAGTATACATTTTCTACCAAAATTGTTGGGCAAATGAGATTTATTTGTAATCTTGAACATTCAGTGTAAGTTTTGTTTGATTCTGTGAGAATTTATTTTCTTTTTTTTACCGGAACTCAAGTTTATCTTTATTTTGTATGTGCAGTTTACTTGGCAGATGTGAACATAGCCCAAGTGAGCGGCAGGAAAGACTGATGAAGGAGAGGGTGACAGGAACAGGTTATAATTAGCCATCTATTTGGGTGCGATGGGATGTATGATATGGGATTGGGATGTATTGGGCAGTGTTGGTAAGGTCATGACCCCAGACAGACATGTATGGGAATTCATCTCTAGCTCCTATTTTTGATCTACAGCTGATTGGGGTATAAATCACTTACTTGCAGGTCAGAGGGTGGGAGCATGAAATTGATCAGTATGACAACTTGATTTTATTATTTTTTTAACTACACTTTATCAATATTTCCACTCTTTTACAAAGGAATATGTTTTGTTTTTTAACTATAATTGCTTTTTGTCTGTATGAGAGATGATTTTGATGATAGAAACATTCAGAACAAGGAAAAACTGTAAATCTCACAATGATGATAAAATAATGTACATGTAGGGCCTTATGTGTATGCTGGGTCTAAATTTACATTATGTACATGTAGTCAGTCAGTGGTAATGGTCGGAGTTAGAATGATGAGGAAATTTATCCCCCCCCCCCCCCCCCCCCCCCCCCGGAAAATTACCCCTAGGACAAGTAACCCCTGAGAAATAAAAAAAATCTGCTTTTATTAAAAGCAATTTATCAGGGTGGACTTCCCTTTAATGAACAGGGGGTGGGGTAACTATCAGGGGTGGGGGCTAATTGTCCTATAGGGTAATTGTTCTGGGGGGGGGGGGCGGTTGACATTGGGGGTAATTTTCTGAGGGGGGGGGGGGGTGATTGCTCAAAGGGTAATTGTTCTGATATGGACTACCAGGTAAATCTAGTAAGCTTATAAATTGCCTCATAATGTACAGACGGGAAGTACATGTACACTGTACATGTACATGTAACTAGTGGGCCTACATGCACAATAAAGAGAACCAGCACAAATTGATAAAAAGAAAGAATATTATATGCATGAATAGAAGTCATCCATCCATGTAAGTGTTTAAATTGAACAGAGCACAAATCATATGCCAATTAGAGTGCACAATTTGGGCATTTATTATTTAACATTTGGGGGATAGGGCTTGGATATTTTTGGATTGAATATTAATCAACATTGTTGGAACATGACAGAATGCAATGAAAACTAAATAAAACCAAATAATAACACAGCACATAAGCAAGAAACAAAACAAAATTCAATTCACTATAATTTTTGTTCCCCTGAGAAACTTCATTTTTTAAGCAGTCTTCAATATTTCTGCAAAGGCTTCTTGCCTCATATTTTCAATGATTACTTTATTGAGTTTATTTGTGTTTTTTAGCTATGCTGTAAAGTGTAAAAGCACAACTTTCACCATTTTCATGGATGGAAGAAAACCAAACTAAAACAAAACAAAAAAAACAAATAAAAACAAAATAAACTTTAAAAAAGTAAATAAATCATCTAAGATCATACATCTAGAAGATAACCTAAAATCAAATGGTTTTGAAATTTGAATACATCCAAATTTCAAAATAACAGAGTCTATGGTACGGTACTTTCATTAAATCCTGAGAAATTAACCAATTAATGCAGTAATGATGTTCAAACTTCAAAACATAATAGGCAAGCAAATCCTGAAATCGCTTGTCCTATTTGAATTCACCTGCCCCATCTTTAGATCTGGGGGCCGTTTCTCGAAACCAACTCCACGACAGTCATATCTTTGTCGGCGACCTACGGAGATGTCATGAAGCGGATAAACCGTTTCACAAAGCCATGACAGACATGATATCGATATATCGCGATACTAGCAGCTCAAGAACATAGTCTTTGTCACGATCCATTTGATTTATCAAGAATAACCCAAAACAAGTTTTGGGACTAAAATTGTTCAAAAAGAAATATATACATATAAATTCTCCTAAAATAAATAATAAATAGTGTCATTATCATATTTACATCATCAAACGATTTGCATATTTCTGTAAAGATTCTTAAATTGAAGAAAAACCGGTGAGTGTTTTTTTTTCGACAGTCGAATCAAAAGTTAGTTGAAGGATACCGTAATGTGATAGTTTATCAATACATACTTTTTTGTTTATTGTGACGAGGAATTTTAGGCAAAATGTCTTTTCTCAGCCAGTTTTTATTCTAGAGTCTCATAAATACTTGTTATATAATTGATTTGATATTGAAAATATCATTTGGAAGAAGTAATTAGAGAGGGAATAATAATGCACATAGGCCCCAAAGGTATGACGGTATCCTAAGAAAAGACTATGGATCGACTATGGAAAACGGTGTGTAACATTCTTACCTCTCTTATTTATATGTTATAGTTTAATGATTTGTGATTTAATGTTTATATTCAGCTTTTTAAAGTTTCTGTTTAATTTGTATTCTCACTTTTGTACATTTGCATTTCGCATCCCAGAGAATTACGTACCGAACTCGTCTATATTTTTCTCAAAATGATAGTGAAACTAATCGTCCATTTCGCGGCCCATGGAATGGCAACAAACTGACTTGTGATGGCGCTTTACAGCAATTAAAAAGATATGACAGGTTCGGAGCAGTGACAACTCGCTTGTCGCGGAAGTTGTCGCTCATCTTGGCAAAGACGGCTTCGTGAAACACTTAGCTGACAAGTTGCGTGACAGTGGCGAGATGTCGTTGATCTTGTAGTTATGACGGTTTCGAGAAACGGCCCCCAGATGGATTTTCTATTTCAACCAAATTTGTAACGTGTGTGTATAAACAAACACTGTGTTGGTCTACTGTGTTCTTTAATATGAAGAATCATAATACATTATAAACATACATTACATATTCACAGTAAAATTGCCAAATCGGGCATATGATATAAAACGTCAGTAGCCAATCTGACAATGTTGGTTGCCCCAGGACATGGGACAAGTACATGTGTAGACTGGTAGCATCCTGTTTGAACCACAAGCACATAAAAACAAATGGGTATCAACACTTTACTAACGCTGACAGTCACACAACCACCAGCTGAGATTTTTGTCAACAAAAATACAAAGTTTGCACAATGTGAAAGTCATACAATACTTGAAATTTCAAGTAACCAGATAGTAAAAAATGGGGTTAGAGAAATAATTTAAAAAATAAATAAATATATACACATGTACATGTACAGGTTGAATGCCAAGATTTTTGCAATACTTGACTTGTATCACAAGTGACAAAACACGTGAAGGCACAGATAACTCTGATGACACATATCACATGATACATGATGATGTAAGTTCCGGTAAAGAGAAAATGTCAGGTGACTTTCAGTTTTGTTCAATTAATTTGTGAATTTTCAACTTTTTATTTGGGTAAATAATATTTAATGTAGTTGTTTTTAAGACCATAATTAATACAACATTTCAACAAGGTATTTTCGATCGACTCAGCTCTCTTAGATAACAATACTGCTAAATTCTATCAAGTCCAGATTGACCCTATACATGGGGGGGGGGGGGGTGGACGAGGTATCCAAATGCTTACTCTAGTATGTAGGTCAAACTAAAATCAAGCTATCGTACTCAACAGAAATAAAATTAACTAATACTTCAACAATTGTTCAAATAATGGCCATGATTTCAAAGTCTTTTTTTTTTTACCTGTTATGTGTCAATTTTCTTTTCTTTTTTGAAGTATTTTCCCTAAAAAATGAAGTCATTATAATATACACTTTCTCATAGGTTTCACTGCAAACCGCTGCAGAATACAAGTACATACCACGTTATATGGTGGGGGCGGCAGGTGAAACCAGATTCTGAGAAAATTTTGTACTTAGAACATTGTTAGCATTCAGCAAACTTTTTAAAGAGGGGCCAAAATCTTGTTTAAAGGAAAAGGTGTTTGATTTTCTGTTTGGAAAATATTTTCCAGATATTTCACATGTTTAAGGCCAAGTAATAATAATTACTAGTTTCTCATCTAGATTTTTTTATTTAATGAGAAAGAGGGGGTTTCATTTTATGTGATATTTTTTTGGTGTGTGATTGTGTGACCCTGGTTCGTATAGATGACAAGTTCATGCACATTTTCCTATAGATCTAGAAAAAACTGAACGTTTGAAAAGCTGATACCACCAATGGAAACAGGAACCTGAAGACGATTTGTTCTTTGGAATTCAGTGAGATATTATGAAAATATTGGCAAAATTTTGCAGTCTTCTGCGTTTAATCCCAAAACGAATATGAACTTTCTACATTGTATCACAAAGGGTCCGAAATCTTCATTTCGAGAGAAGATGTCATGATTGTCATTACAATTGTGGTGAAAAGTGATACCAACTGATTGTATGACCTTAGGCTTTTGCCTTGCAATTGATAAAATTATCTCACATCTGATGTATTGCTTTTTTAATTTCAATTTTTTTTGGGAGATAAATCAGCTTTCAACTATCCTGTTGAATTTAGGACTTGTTTTTATGACTTTTTCTTCAGTTACAACCAGCGCTCAAAATACACGGGGGCGGTGGGCGATTCGTCCCTGTAAGCTCCATAATCGCCCCCGTCAGGTTGCTTACGGGGGCGATTGCAAAATTAAAAATCGCCCCCGTGGAATTATAAAATAAAGATTATATTTTTTTATATAACTTTAACACAATATTGAGTATCAATTTTCAAACCTTAAACCAATGAAATGGAATGGCGCTTTCTCTCCCATCTCTATAAGTATTACCGATACAAACAGCGTGCAGCTAATGCGGCCGTCAGCAGTGGCTATACTGCTCCGGTAGTACCGGTGTGCACGCTGAACTGAAGCCCAATATCTGCTGGAGCTGGAGACGATCGCGCATGGACTGAAACATGGAGAAGTTTGTCATTGAGAAAGGTGTGGATTTGGGTTACCCCCCCCCCCCTGCCTTAGCAAAAGGCTAGAGCTTTATTTCAAGTATTTTTCAGATTTAGAACCCGCCACAATACCCTGGACATCTCACCACAATACCCTGGACAACTCGCCACAGGCGAGTTGTCCAGGGTGGGGTGCCTTTTCGGACAACTCGCCACACTTTTTTCCCCTCATGATTTCTAGATCTAAAATCCCTCATCTTCATGATCTTAAATGAAATTGTCATTTTATGTATTCATTATTCTTTTATAAACACAGTCATGACAGGAAACATGGAAATTGTGAGTATTTTGAGAGCTGTTCTAAAGAATAAAGATGATTTTCCTTGCGCTTGCAACAAGACCCGCAACAAGAATCTATTTTGGACTGTGCGAAACTAACCTAGAAAATCTAGAAATAAACCATATTTCAATTTTATTTCGCGGGTCAACTGCCCCCTCCCCCATCAGGACGCCAGTGCTTACAGTACCCTTCCATGAATTCCTACCATTAAAAATTATCAGAAGGGAAAAAGGACATGTACAAAGGATAAAGAGGGCACTTTAGGGGAACCTGAAAAAGTGGGGGCACAGTGTCCCCCCCCCCCCCAATGAAGAATGCCGCCTCTGACGAAACTAACCCAGAAAATCTAGAAATAAATCACATTTTAAATTTTATTTCGCGGGTCAAATAACCCCCCCCCCCCCCCCCCCCCCATCAGTACACCAGTATCCTAATGTAGTGATTCAGCCTGAGCCAATATGGCTCTGGCGGGTATATGCGCGCAAGTCCCGCATTTGGCGACACCCGCGGTAGTTTCCGCGATCATACTCATTACTGGGTATGGCAGATTGAATCGAGACTGTCAAGCGAGCAACACAAGCCGTCTGCCGGTCTCCTCGGATCTCTTCGGATCTCAACGCAGCTAGCTTCATGGAGCTCCACTCATCAGTGCTGCAACGAGTCTTCGAGAGTCACTGCAATTCTACAGCTTATGGTAGGATTGACCCTTAGTATCGTAATTAATAGCATTGCGTAAGTTAACAGTAGACATTTAGGCCCAGTAAGATTATATTCCGCTCCGTCACTACATTGGCGTAATCGGCAGGATTCGAACCTGCGCGGGGAAAAATGCAGCTGCTATAGACCTCTATATCTAAATACCAAGTTATCCCAATGATCTGGCGATCGTACGCCTTCGGTTTGTCAAAAATATAATATTGTTGCAAGGGAAATCAGCTTTATTCTTTATTCTTTGTAATGAATGTGTTTATAAAAGCACGAAAATCATGAAAAATGACAATTTCATCTAAGATAAGGGATTTTAGATCTAGAAATCATGAGGGGAAAAAAGTGTGGCGAGTTGTCTGAAAAGGCACCCCACCCTGGACAACTCGTCTGTGGCGAGTTGTCCAGGGTATTGTGGCGACTGGCGAGATGTCCAGGGTATTGTGGCGGGTTGTCTTGGAGCGGGTTGTCTTTGTGGCGAGTTGTCTGGAATTCGATGAGTATTGAGTGATATCAATATCATATTTCATATCACCTACCTAGCTTGAGGGAGCTCCGATGCCAACGCCGACGTCGGAGCTCCCTGGAGTTAATTATCACCTAGCCCTTTGACTTTGAGCTTTGGGCTTGGCATTATTTTGTACGGCTAGCTCGACTAGAGATCGCGAGATGGCGAGATTGCGAGTCTTCGAGATGAGCCGGGCCCTCATGCATTTTTCACTCAGTTTCAGGCCAGGCCAGGCTAGTGCAACTGCAAGGGCGGAAAAATTAAGAACCAACATTTAAAAGAAAACAATTTCTAAAATAATAAAAGAATTCATTATAATAGACCTACCGGTATGTAAAAATTGTAACATTTATTCACTTACTTCATCAAAGGTGAGGCTTATATGAGTTATTAATCAGAAATGTGGCACTACTTGTGGTATTTTCACAAGTAACGATGGCGAATTTCATCCTGTCATCACTGAAACTGCGGAGAGATGCAAAATTGAGTTTGTATATCCAGGTCACGTGACATTCCACGGCATGTCGTCATTCCAAAAGTATCACGTGACAATAGACGAAGCGCAATATTTTTCCTCTGAGATCTATGGTAAGCCACATAACAAAAAACGTTCTTTTCCAAACTAGTTTATGTTTTAATAAAAATCTAATGGCCAATATATATATTTTTGTAGACAGACAGAAAAGAAATTTTGGAACAGCTTTAGATTCATATCATGGGTGTCGATCCTTACGTAATACCTATTGTTCAGGGGGGAATGAATGAATAGATCATTCCCCCCTGAATTACAGATCGACACCCATGCATGATTCATATTATGATCATATCCATATCGCGCTGCGTGTCTGCTTGACCTAAGTGTGAAATTAATTGAATCATAAATAGTCATGATTCACTAACTACAATTATTATTCTCTTAATGATTGAAATACTGTAGGAGAGGGCGCAGTGGATTTAAAAAATGGGGGAAACCATACTGAAGATTCAATTCATTTTATTTCATTCTCCATTAAAAAAAAAATTAAGACATACAAACATGGGATACAGATAAAAGATTGATTACAAGAAAAATAAGAAGGGAAGGAGCAAACAAAATTTTCAGTGGGAATGTTGGGTTAACAAAAAGCCGCAATTAGCCTTATATGAACGTCAACTCCTTAAAGTATACACTGTATTGTTGAGAAAAGAAATAAGGAAAAGGAAAGCAGAACTATAAACACCAATACAAAAGAAGAAGACAAAAGGAAGAAGAATGCCATGCATTATGGCTCAAGGCATGGGCGCACAGAAGATTTTTTCTGTTGGGGACTGGTGGAAATTCAATGATTTATTGATTATTCCATTTTATTTTTTATTTTTTTATTTGTGGGAACTGCCCCCTTCCTTAGCCCCCGCTGCGTACAGTTATGGTTCAGTGGCAAAGCAATGGCCTCGTAACTGTGAGGCCCCAGGATCAAAACCGCGTCGATCTGCTCAGTATAAGTGCCCTTTTGTGGGGCACTATCCAGTCATTACTGTTCATGATGACCTAAGGGCGTAGGTCCCCTAGTTGATAAGGATAGTAACATACACATGCTTTAGCAGTCACGCAAAACAAACACTGGCAAATTATTATTCAATAAAATCTGAGAATGTATACCGTATCTAGATCTATAGTTAGGAATAAATCATTTTCAAAATAATTCCATAAATTGGGATAAAAACAAAATGTTCCAACTATATGAGCGACAGTGTATTACAAAGAGGAAAAAACCCATTCCTAATGGGGTTATAAGCTCATATAGGAAGTCTGAAAAGACCTTCGATAAGTAATATAATAATATCATCGTTAAATGCGAGCGAGCTTAGGGAAATTGCCCTTAGGCGCTTTAAATTAGGGGCACGGTTAATGATGAGAGGAAAAGACGACACTTGTGGAAACGGATGAGACACTTATTAAAAAAGAAAAGGATCACGTTAAAACAATGAAAAGAGGCACTCACCAGCAGGCCCGTAGCCACAGGGAGGGGGGGGGGGGACGTGCCCCAACAAATTTCAAAGATTGGTTGAACTTTTTTAGACCCCTCCCCAGGACGTCGATCAATAACATGTATGTGCCCCCCCCCCCAAAAAAAAAACCCATCAAACTCTGGCTACGGCCCTGCTCACCAGGGATGAAGAAAGGCACTTATGAGAACAGGAAAGAGGCATTTGTCGTGACGGAAGAGGGGCATCCATCAAATGTTGATTGGGGCATTTATGAAAAGGGGATATGTCCCTTATTAGAAAGAAAAAGGGGGCACATATGAAAATAAAAGGTGCGCTTAAAAGGGGCACTAGTCAGAGTAAAATGGAAACCTTTCAGATTTGAATAGGGCAATTATCAGAGTGTAGGGGCATTTATCAACTGAGTGAAAAGTGGCACTTCTCGTAGTGAAAAAGGGACACTTACTTGATATTAAAAAGGGCGTTTATGAGAATGGAGAATGGACACTTATTGCAAAGTAAAGTGGGAACTTGTCGGATGTGAAAATGGGAAGGGGAACTTCAACAAAGAAATAGGGGCAATTTTCAAAGTATAATTAGGGACGCTTTTTCTATGTAAAAAAGGGCACTTTCGGGGTACTTGAAAAAGTGGGGAGGGGGGCAATGTGCCCCCTGTCCCCCGGGAGTGCCGCCATTGAACTGAGTGAATCTTTTATCCACTCACTGAAATTTAAAAATGGCTGGTAATCGACCAGGGGGGAAGGAGGCGCTGGTTAAATCACAGGACTGAAAATATTTTCAGTTCTGTCAGGGATATGTGAGTGGTTCTGTGGTGAAAATTCGGTATCTGTACATTTTACGAGTTTACATTTTGCTTTCCATAGTCATCATTATGGTAGCGGATAATTAAACGAGCGCCAATATTTTCTCAGAGATTGTTGTAATTTTGGTAAGCTAATCTGTCTTGAATTTTACAAATTTCAACAAGAAAATAACATTAATATTCAAATTAAATATTAAAGAACAAATTCATCATGCTAAATATAATTTTTGGACATGGAAATCATTTATATTTCGCTACATTCTGAGTGTGATGAAGTTGTGCTTTCGTATGTTGTGCGCGTGCTACAGGATACGGTAGAACGCGACGGGTTCGTTTCAACGGAAAAATGTATACGGTACACACTGGTTACGTTGGTTCCGGTGCTTGAGCCAGCACGACTCACTAAAGCAGCTCCCTGCGAACATTCCTCCCCTACTACTGGCGCTGGCGCTCCCTAGGCCAATCCGCGGCTGTACTGCGCGCTGCTAACTAAGCGGGTCGCGTGGTTGTGTCCCTGGAATTTCAGGGGGTGGGATCATGGGAGGATTGTGCTCTTCAGTTCAAGTGGCCCATGATGATGATCTGGATTATGGATAGAAAGAAGTGGCTTTGAAATTTCTTTAAAAAAAAGAAGGTAAAACTGGCATTTGTCAACGTTGTGCTTGTGCGCTGGTCCGAAAATGACGATCGTCTTCATAAACGCAGAAAAAAATGCGTCCTCAAAAATAAGGATCGTCTGCATTTTCGCGTACATTTTTTTTCATCGGCGCTCTGCAGGTTTCGGGTTACAGAACCGCCCGCTGGTGATACGAAAAATGGAATCCCAGTGGGAAAATAACCCTAGGCCTAGAGGTCTAGATCTAGTTCACCGTCTACTATTATGGGTTGTCCATCTTCCCAAGGATTTATTGCTCATAGAACCTAATGTGAAAGTCTCGGTACAAAGTCAATGTAAGAGCATCAAGAAAATCCATTTTTCGCATCGCCAACTCGGCGATCAAAAAAAGTCTGCGAAAACGCATATCGGTCCACGTTTACAAAGGTGATGCTTGTTTATGAAGACGATCCTTATTCTCGGACCAGCGCCCCTACTGACGGTATTCACTAACGTGCTGCATGTGCAAATGCAAGGAGGGGATTAACTATCTAACTTTAAGTTACGCGAAAAGTTTGCCCTTGATATTCTATATCTACATGTATAAGGATAATCGGTACCATATAATCAAGTCTTGACAGTTTGATTTAGAAAAGAAGTTGCAACTTTTCACCCAGACATTCTAACTGTAAAGCTTGCTATCAATCATGAATCCCCTACCTTACTTTGACACAATGTCTGTTCAGAGCCAAAATGACATTAGCTCTGTGTTTTGAGTTGATGTCCTTCTGGATCCAAAGTACAAAGTCAAAATGGAGAATGTAGCCTACCGTACACATATTGGCCTGTGACAAGTATCAATGAATTGATTTACCGGTTCTGAAGGAAAAAAAGTGGAAGGTACTGCACTTGTAACATTTCATCAGATTTTCTTTCCAAATTAAAGGTACTATGTCCCATTTGCAGGCCCAAAAAATGAAAAAGTTAAATTCCAACTGCATTTGAAAGATAATACTAATTTAGAACTTCCCTAAAAAAGGTGGGGCTTGAAAATGTCTTCAAGTGGGAAAATAACGACTATTGGTTGTCAAATCGACTTTAGGGCTATAGAGCCCAAAAGTAATAGTCTTGATTTTCAGACAATTGTACCGAATGGTCATACGTTTTATGCTGCGCAAAGATTCAATCAGTTTAATCTTGGCCATCACAAGAAGTGGGTTATTGATGTAGACAACTGCTCATGTACCCTTTACAACTCATGTATGTTATTACCAAAGAAGAAAAAAAGCCAGTCACTCACTCTATAGTGTCTGACAGTGAAGTCTAGCAAGTAAACGGGTTTCCTTGCATAATTTGAATATGAGGACACTGCTAACGTTTAAATTTCACAGATAGGACATACATGACATATTCATAATTTCTGCAAAGTTCTACAGCATTTGAGGTTGTCTGCAAAAGGGACATAGTACCTTTAAATAGTGCCATCCTAAAAAAATATGTGAAACTATGATTCAAAGGGAATTCCAATCTTGATAGAAAGCTGTTGTAAAGAATTAATGCAGGAAGAAAGGAAAAGAAAGAGAGAGATTGTTTGAATTAATTAATGTAGGATACAATATGATTATGAAGTTGCATTTTTTTTTTGAAGGGTAAGATCACTATCCAAAAGGAATGTTGTTTCACTTAGCTCTTTCACCCAAAATGATGTAAGATTTGTTTCTTAATTTGGTTTATTTGCTGAACAGATTTCATGTGTGGAGTATAGAATAGTATGAATGGAGCTATTAAACTAGTGAAAGAGTAATTACCAAGCAGAAAAATGGAATTCATGATATTTACCCTGATAGCAGAGACTGGTAAATATCACGTCATATTTACGTCTTGTACTACGTCTTTAAGACGACATAACACGACGTCAAAAAGACATGATTTTGCACCCGCGCACGTCGTCACGAGGACGTCATATTTTGACGTGATTTTTACGTCTTATTAGTCAAAGAAAGACGTCTTTAAGACGTCAACTTGTACTATAGGAAGACGTCATATGGACGTCATATTTACGTCTTTTAGTTAAAGAAAGACGTCTTTAGGACGACATAACACGACGTCAAAAAGACTTGATTTTGCACCCGCGCACGTCGTCACGAGGACGTCATATTTTGACGTGATTTTTACGTCTTATTAGTCAAAGAAAGACGTCTTTAAGACGTCAAGTTGTACTATAGGAAGACGTCATATGGACGTCATATTTACGTCTTTTAGTTAAAGAAAGACGTCTTTAAGACGACATAACACGACGTCAAAAAGACTTGATTTTGCACCCGCGCACGTAGTCACAAGGACGTCATATTTTGACGTGATTTTTACGTCTTATTAGTTAAAGAAAGACGTCTTTAAGACGTCAACTTGTGCCATAGAAAGACGTTGTATGGACGTCATATTTACGTCTTTTAGTCAAAGAAAGACGTCTGTAAGACGTCAACTTGTACCATAGGAAGACGTCGTATGGACGTCATATTTTGTCGTGATTTTAACGTCTTATTAGTCAAAGAAAGACGTCTTTAAGACGTCAACTTGTACCATATAAAGACGTTGTATGGACGTCATATTTTCTTTTTAGGTCTTATTGGTTAAATAAAGACGTCTTTAAGACGTCAACTTTCACCCAAGAAAGACCTGTATACGTTGTATGGACATCAAATTTTGACGTGATATTTACACCTTACTGGTCATTTCGATGTACCTTTTATCCTTACATGATCTTTACGTCTTTGTTGTCCTCTAAATAACATCTATACGACCACCTGATCAAGGAAGAAAGTGTAAAAGTCACTTCATGTACACATTCTGAACAATCACACAGTAAAATCAAAGCAACAAATATTGCATCACATAATATATATATACATGCCAAACAGAAAGTAATTTTCATATTTTTAATGTACACGTATATGGTATGAAAATGGATAACAAAAATATAAAATATGTATTTCTATACCTTCTTATTCTATCTAACTTTGTTTTCCATTGGTACAAAATCTTTTCATCACTATCCTGACACTTCTTCCAAAACATGCTGTATAAATACCTAGTGTATTTCTGTCAGTCTCATAATTTATTTTAAGAAAGTTAACAGGCCATCACAAAGATATCTGTTTCGTTATAAATTGTGCTACAAGAAACTATGACATATTGGCTAAACTTATAAGTCATACGGTTGTGGGAAGCAGGTTAGCAGCATAGAGACTAGGTAAAGCTATACTGATACCCGCAGTATTTTAGTAGACAAGCAAACAGCACACTGGGGAAGTTCCTCATATTCAGCAAAACAGCATAGTGGAAAGCTAGGCATTCATCAGTGCAGCTCTACCTCGTCTCCATGCTGCAAAACCGCTCCTGACAACCCCAAGACTTTAATGCAGATAAAGACTATCACATAAAACAAAAGGTTGTTGGAAAGAATTTCTGAGCATGAAAGATCAATTCTTGTTACATACAAGGGGAATATCTAAGTTCATGGCAAGAATTCAGTATAAAGTATAAAACTATACAATCTAAATCACACACAGGAGAAAAATGGCACAAATGATAAACACATGGCTTAGCTAAGTTATTTCTTACACTCAAAAGGAACAAGTTGGCAGCAAGGGGAACAGGGAGAGCTTCACTGATACCTGCAGAGTTTTCTGATGATGGTTGCTTGCCCGTCAAAACCATGATGTTCACATTTGGCGATACAGCATATTAGAAAACTGTGCAGAAATCAGCTCAACTGTACCTATTCTCTGTGCTAGAAACCTGCTTCTTACGGGCACATGACTTAAATATAAGAAAAGGCATTAGTGGCAACATTCATCTTTATAAATATCAAAAAATTAGTTTTGTTGCAAATACAGAAGCTGAAGTTCATGTATAAAATACAATTTATATCAGATAACATTCCCGCCAGTACGATTGGCTCAGTTGGGCAATTCCAAGGTGACGGTGGAATAATTATTCAGAAGATATTTCCCAGTTTAAGATAAAATAGCAAACATGCTGAAAAAGTTTAGCACAAAGAGATATATTCCATTGCTAATGTCACAACATTCATTTGGCAAGTCCCAGGAGTTTCACAAAAGAATTAAAATTTAACTTAAATTTTAACAGCAAATTCAATATACATGTAGGTAAGCCATATTGTGCTTTCAAAATCACAGATACAATCCAAGAATTTTATACTTTTAACTACCAATTTTTTTTCAAACCACAAGGTATTTATGGTTTCCATTGAAGGCGCTACTGTGTGTCACTCTTTAACAGTTAATTCTCCCAACAAAATTTTCAATTTTCCCCAACCGTTTTTCCATGAAAATAAGATATAAAACAGGCCTTTAAAAATCTTTCAACGCCTAAATTTGGAAAAGGTATTGGAGCTAATTCGTTGCTTTGTGATGATTTACACTCACTTCAATTTAATCAAATTATAAAAATATAGTTGGGAGAATTAAGGAATGGATTAGATCAGTTTTCCCAATTTTAATCATCAATAGTGGTCTATTTTTAACTCAAATGTTCAGATTATCTTTAAGTGTACATACAGTATAGCATTGAAGTCAATACCTTAGCATCATTTTCTCTCATATGAACAATGTTACCAAGTCCCTTTAAGGCTTGTTCAGATATGATGCTGCAAAACAAAATCTCAGAGTTTTTTTAATGTTGACATAGAGTTCAATATGCTTTACATTTCTGTATATTATTTTTTAAAAAAAGCTCACTGAATATGCGCAGTCCAAAACATACAAAGACTTGTTGCCATTCGCTTTACACATAAAACCAAACTGCATCATTTTCGAAAATTGTTGGCGGTTCACGTTCCGTATCTGAACAAGTCTTAGTTGCTTAATAATGGAATCGATTTGTATTGTATTTAACTCACTCAATTTTTCTCTATTACCAACTTATATATAATTTGCAACAGGTTTTAAGAACTGATAAGAAGCGGATGGGGGGTGGGGGTGAGTATGAGACTGAGCATATCAAGTCTACTACATTTAAGCATTGTGAAACAGGTCAACCTCATAAATAGTAATTACAAATATATGCAAAATACTGGAATCTTTTACTCAAACTGTTATTATGTCAGTTTGTACACCCTGTAATTCATTAAAATTGTAAGTGACATGAATGGGAATTTCAGTTCCACAGCTTAGCCATTCAGGTTTGTGGCTACACCTCACCTCTCCCCCTCCCCCAATCTCTCTCTATAAATTATAATGAAGTGAAAAAAAAACCTTTTTTCTAGCAGTTTAACTATCGGGTGAGTGTAGATCTACATGTAATTTTGGACATATTCCTCTTCAGCTTGGACTCATGGGTTAGCTTTTGGGTGGAATCTCTGGCATTATGCACTGCTTTCAGATCCAGGGAACATAGACGCAAGGAATTCTAGTGCATGAATAAAGCAAAAAGAAAGGAATACAATTTGAGACAAACTTTTATATATTTTAAAACTGGAACGTAAACAATGAATTAAATAATGAATTATGTCAGAAAAGTACTGCTTGGTAAGATTTATCAGAAATAATTTCTTATTGCTCACAAACATAAAGTCAACACACCTTTGGATTTTAAACATTTGTGGGCAATGCAAAACGTGATTCAGGATTTCGTTTGGTAAATTATCAATACAATTGTAGTTTGCTGATGAGGGCCATGACTCACCAATCGGATTAGTGGAGCCATCGATTTGGAAATATTCCTCTTCAGCTTGGACTCATGGGTTAGCTTTTGGGTGGAATCTCTGGCATTATGCTTTGCTTTCAGATCCAGAAAACATAGACGCAAGGAATTCTAGTGCATGAATAAAGCAAAAAGAAAGGAATACAATTTAAGACAAACTTTTATATATTTTAAAACTGGAACGTAAACAATGAATTAAATAATGAATTATGTCAGAAAAGTACTGCTTGGTAAGTTTTATCAGAAATAATTTCTCATTGCTCACAAACATAAAGTCAACACACCTTTGGATTTTAAACATTTGTGGGCAATGCAAAACGTGATTCAGGATTTTGTTTGGTAAATTATCAATACAATTGTAGTTTCAGGGATGCCAGTTAGAATTGATCAGAGGGCCTGAAAAATCACCTAGAATGTGCTAGCTTGTACACAAAAAACCTAAACTACGGTATGAAAATAACTCGCCAGGGCCTGAATTCAGGCTATTGCCTGAAAACTGGCATTCCTGTAGTTTGCTGATGAGGGTAGAATGAAAGCTCCTTGACCTATGCTGAAGGGTAAAAAAACACTGTTTGAACTTTGAAACTCACATAATATTGTCGGTTATTGCAACATACCTGCAGGTTTTAGTGATCTAAAATTAATTGAATTAAAAATATATTTGAAACTCATGACAAATAACTGAAATAAGCCTTTCAAATGAAATGAACCATTATGTAGTGTCTAATTGGTCAGTGTCTCAGTGATCATGCACAATATGACAAATAAATGTACAGAAATAATACAAGTACATGTACACATTTACCGATAATGGCTTCAACTGTTTCAAGAGGCTGCTGATCCTTAGGGAAGTAGGGAACATCCACAAGGTTGAGAGAGAGTAGCATTTTCTGCATGGTTTCACATCAATATACCGAGGCCACAATGTGCTTTGAATCCACTTCTTTGACGAAAGATGTTAAAAAAGGATGCCTACAAATAAATGAGAAAATGAATAAAGAACAAAATGAATGGTTGATAATGTATGCATGTGCAACACATATACTACAAACTTCTTTGAACAGCCTGTGGGGAAAGAATTTTGTTTACCATTTACAGGTCTAACCGATTATTTCCAGATAAAGATTTCTGTATAAGCGGTAGCCTATAAGATAAATTTGCTGTCTAAAGACTATAGAAACGACTTGTTTAAGGTTACATGTTTGTGACACAAGTCACTGCTTTATTCCTCTACGTATCGACACGTAATGCTCAATTTCCAGACATCTGGGCCCGGGCCGGTAGTACACTTTCTCACAGGTTTCACTTTCACTGCAAACCGCTGCACATTACAAGTGCATACCGATGGTGGTTGCGGGCAGACGCACGCCTGTGTGAAGTTATCTACCGTACAATGAGGAGGTAGATCACTTCACGCAGACTTACGTGCCCCCGCAACCCTCCATCTGTATGCACTTGTATTGTGCAGCGGTTTGCCATGCAACCTGTGAGAAAGTGTATACTACTATCAATGTTTTTCCGAAAAAATACTCCCCCAAAATAAGAAAATTGACCAGAAACAGGTTAGAAACATAACGACTTTTAAATCATGACCGGCATTATTTGAACATTTCATGAATATTTGCTTGATTTGGGGTAGGCCTAGACCGAATTTTCTGTCTCTTTCGTTCGTTAGCCTCTTATTGGGGTAGGGTCGGCCGGCTCTCTCTTTAGAGTCGGAAACCGTCTATACACATTCCCTTGATAACGCCACGGCCATTTCAGGTCGTAGGGTTATGCCCCCAAAATCCCCCAAAATGTCATTTTACCTCGTCCATATCCAATTGTAAATTAGGCCTAGGCTATAATACATCGGTTCCACTTACTAACTTGATTGAAATAATCCGTTTAATGGTCCCTTTTAAGGAAATTATGGGTCAAAATCGACATCCATGTTGAAAATCTTGCAAGCCGTGTTAAACTCTCGCTGCCGGAGTCATCTAAATCAATCTCATCCTTTCTAGTCTACGCCGAAGGCAAAATGATTATGAAGGAAAAACTGTGCGCCATCTACACGTTCGTAATGGCGTTAATTTACATCTGATTTAGAAATCAGGAAATTAGATCTAGACAAACAAAGAAAATCGGGGAGAAAATGTCGTGGACGAAAATATGTACATAGCCACCCCCACGGTACGAGATCTCTGGGTTGCCATCTGTATTGGGGAATGACAACAAATGTCAGTTTTATTAAAGAAATGACCCAAATCAGATGGTTATTGCTGTCTAATCTAGACGAGTCTACCTAGATCTAGTGCCAAAGCTTTCATCAGTTTGCTTCTCTTATTTTTCTGCTTTCTTTTAGTTTTAGTCTTTTAGAGCAGTTGTATATTCGAGTTAGATTTCCCTTTAAAGCCATGCAGCCCATGTGTAGGCAAATGAGTAAACTGTTTTGCTTTAAATGATGCCCCATGCCATGCATACCTTCAATCAAGACCCTACATAAAAATACATATATGGGATCATACATTCCAAATCTTGTCACCAAGTGTTGAAAGTCCGAGCTCACTATCACTGACATTATAGTGACATAAGATCATACATTGAGTCTACATATCAACTTTTCAGAACAAAAAACAGTAACTATAGATTTATGTACTTTTTGTAAATAAATTAGGTAATTCTGGGACTTACCCATACTGTAAATTTGCAGGAGAAAACGAGAGTATTCAGGAGGATGAAACTTGATGCAACGGCTTTTTTACTCTGAATTCAAATACATTACATACACATCGCATAGTGCATGTAGTCGAGTCCTACGCCTTGCATGCCTTGAGTACTATGCTACACACACGTACACACTCCCGTTTGAACTAGATGCGAGCATGTTTAGTCTTGATCGATATTGCAGACCTTGGTGCGTGTTAAGATGTTGCACAATCTATAATGACTAATGACATTTGAGGGGGGGGGGGGGGGGGGGGAGTTGTTCCCTAATTTCAATTCTGATAATTGCCCTATTTACTTTGACTTATGCTCATATTAGATGTTGTAGTCTTTACCCGATTATTATTTTGGAAATGATTAGGTTATTAGAGACGTCATAATGACGTCGTTATAACGTCGTCCTTACGACAAAAAATATCTCGAAAAAATAGTCTTTAAAAGAGGTCATAATGACGTCGTAATGACGTCGTCAATACGACAAAAAATATATTGGAAAAAATAGTCTTTTAAAGACGTCGTAATGACGTCGTCGATACGACAACAAGTATCTTGGAAAAAATAGTATTTTAAAGAGGTCATAATGACGTCGTAATGACGTCGTCAATACGACAAAAATTACATTGGAAAAAATAAGTCTTTTAAAGACGTCATAATGACGTCGTTATCACGTCGTCAATACGACAACATTACATTGGAAAAATAAGTCTTTTAAAGTCGTCATAATGACGTCGTTAGCACGTCGTCAATACGACAACATTACATTGGAAAAATAAGTCTTTTAAAGTCGTCATAATGACGTCGTTAGCACGTCGTCAATACGACAACATTACATTGGAAAAATTAGTCTTTTAAAGACGTCATAATGACGTCGTCGATACGACAAAAATTAGCTTGGAAAAAAAAGTCTTTTAAAGACGTCATAATGACGTCGTTATCACGTCGTCAATACGACAACATTACATTGGAAAAATAAGTCTTTTATAGTCGTCATAATGACGTCGTTAGCACGTCGTCAATACGACAACATTACATTGGAAAAATTAGTCTTTTAAAGACGTCATAATGACGTCGTCGATACGACAAAAATTAGCTTGGAAAAAATAGTCTTTTAAAGACGTCAAAATGACGTCTTTATGACGTCGTTAATACGACAAAAATTATCTTGGAAAAAATAGTCTTTTAAAGACGTCATAATGACGTCGTCGAGAAGACAAAAAATATCTTGAAAAAATTAGTCCTTTAAAGACGTCATTATGACGTCGTTATCACGTCGTCAATACGACAAAAATTAGCTTGGAAAAATAGTATTTTAAAGACGTCAAAATGACGTCTTTATGACGTCGTTAATACGACAAAAATTATCTTGGAAAAAAGAGTCTTTTAAAGACGTCATTATGACGTCGTCGAGAAGACAAAAAATATCTTGAAAAAATTAGTCCTTTAAAGACGTCATTATGACGTCGTTATGACGTCGTCAATGCGACAAAAATTATCTTGGAAAAAATAGTCTTTTGAAGACGTCATAATGACGTCATAATTACGTCGTCCATACGACGTACGACGTGTTTACCACTTTACGACCAATTTATGACGTCTTTAAGACGTCAGTCTGCTATCAGGGTAGTGTCCAAGCAAACGGGAGAATTGTCCCCAAGTAGTCGAAGCTAATAATGGACAAATTCATCACTTTTAGATTCACAGGTTTAGTAATCTCAGTTTTTTTTCTCCAAACATTTTCAAATTTTTTGTATCATTTTGTTCAGTTGTTTACAAACTTGAATTCACCTATTGTTTCTCTGATTTTCAACTTTAATGCATCTTCTTACAAAAGTTGGATTGCTCTTACAACAATTCAACATCAGAATCGTACAATTGTAATGAGAATATGAGATGGTATGAGTCTTGCAATAACCTAGACATGTCTGTTCTTGCAGGAAACTTCATTCAGCATTACTCACTGTACTACCATGGAGTCCGGAGACGATGTTCATTATTGTCTGCGATGCGACTCTGAGATCAAGGGGTTGATGGCTTACGTGGAGCACCGGCAGTCCCAATGCACAGCAGCTGATAAGCCTTCCAGCCCTGAAAACGCAGGTAAGTCTTATACAGGCAGTATTTATGTACCGGTGTACATTCTTGTAGTACAGGTTTCAGCTTTTCAGAGAGAAACATGTTCAAGGTGAACATAGAATGCTCTCTTAAGTCTTAATCGACAGCTGGACTTTTATTAAAAGTATCAATGATTTTAGGATTCTCTGACATAGTATGAATAGATGTAGTAAGAGGGAGAAACAAAATGAAATTTTCTGTTCTTATATTTTCAGTAGACAAAAATAAACAATAATTTGCACATCCCTTCTATTGGCAGTAGACATGTCTAGCTGATTTCTGTATCTTACTACAGTGTATGTTCATTACCTCGCTATTGCTCATTCACTGTCACATTCATTGTGCAGGAATAATTAATGTATGGAATATGTTCAAATATATAGTACTATTTCCTGTTATTACAAGAACTCTGAAATATCTCTATAAATTATTAAAAATGATAATGTAAAAGTCCATGTGTCCATCATAATTGTCAAAAAGTAAATGCTATTTTTGTTTCTTTCTTTCATTTTTAGGAAGTGGAGATGCGGAGGAAGATGGCACACAAGATGCGGAGGAAGATGGCACACAAGATGCGGAGGAAGATGGAACACAAGAAAAGGCTGGCGAAGGATATGTTCTGATTGATGGAGAGCCTCTGGCAATAGACCCTCCCAGCGATCTGGATGCTGAGAGCTCACCGAAGAAACGTGGTAGGAAGCGGAAGGCAACCTCCCCGCAAACTTCCCCTCAGAGAACTCCTGAGTCACAGAAAGTGGAGGAGAGGACCGCCGATTCCCCCAGGAGATCAGGTCGTAGAGGAATCAGGATATCGTATGCAGATCTAGCTGCTGGTATAGACAGGAGTGAAGCCAGGATGTCTAGTGATGATGGCAAAGTAAAGGATGGAAAAGCCAAGTTATCTAAAGCTAAGGATTCCAAAGCCAAGGACAAAGCTAAGGATAGTTCTCCAAGGAAGGTTGGAAGGCCAAGGAAAAAAGAAGAGACAACATCAGACAAACAAAAGAAGTCGGTCACTGAGAAGATGGACGAAAAGACGATGGTTAAAAAGGAGACAGTCGAAGAGGAGTCGGTTGAAGAGGAGACAGTCGAAGAGGAGATGGTTGAAGAGAATATGGAGGAAAATCAAACAGTTGGTCAAATGGTGAAGATGAGAGCCTTCCAAGAGAAGAATCAGAAGACCAGGAAAAATAGAAGGAAACTGCATGTAGCGGCACAGAAGAAGCTTGCAGCAAAGAAGAAGAAAAAGAGTATAAACGTACAGAAGAAGGAAGGCGATGAAGTACAGAACAAAGAAGGTGATGAAGAACATCACGAAGCTGTCTCAAGTGGTGGTTCCGATGGATTTCTAGAAGATGTAGCTGCAATGACAGATGAAGCTGCAGCCCAGAATCAAGAAGCATCGATCCTCATAAAAGATGGTAAATTCTATTGCACTGTATGCCGCGTCTATTGCACCTCCAAGAAGAAGATAGACGTGCATTGCGTCACCAAGAAGCATGCCAAAAGGTTTAAGCTGGGTCCAGTTGAACCTGCCGACGAAGAGGAAAGCCCTTCTAAAATCAAAGTTCTGCGGGAGGTTCTTGAATGTAACATGTGTTCTTACAGAACCAAGAACGAAGGCCACTATGCCAGGCATCTTGCATCCATCAGTCATGCTCAGAAAGCCTCGGTGGACCTTTACGCATGCGACAAGTGCCACCGAAAATATAAGACTCAGGAGGAGCTTGAAAGTCATCACGAATTCCATGTTATCCCAAGATGTGGAATGTGCAAAGAAACCTTTGAGACGGAGGAACTCTTGGAAACACACCGGAGTGAGATGGGTCACAAAGTTGAGAATCGCTGTCCAGAATGTGACAAGTGTTTCTCCAACAGGGGTAACCTTAGAAATCACATGCGGATACACAACCCGGACTGCAAATACAAATGTGATATTTGCGAATACTCCTGTGTACAATGGGCAGACATGAAGAAGCACAAGTATCGTCACATGGGCTTCAAGCCATTCAAGTGTGGTCTGTGTGAGGCTGAGAGTCTGACTAAACATGGGATGGAGAGGCATATGAGAACGCATCTTATCCGCACCAAGGATTACAAGTGCGACATATGCGGCAAGGGGTACTGCGAAGAATACTTGATGAAGCAGCACAAGTACATGAAACACAGCCTTGAGAGACGTTTTCCATGTGACTTTGAAGGATGCACCTACGCTTTCAAGTTCAAATCATCACTGCTGCTTCATCAGCGAATGCATACTCAAGAGAAACCTTACCTGTGTGCTGACTGCGGATATAAAGCATCCACCAAGTACAGTCTCACAAAACACATCCGTCTTCATACTGGTGAGAAACCGTTCCACTGTGACTACCCAAACTGCAATTATAAGTGCCGTCTCTCAACCCATCTCAGCCGCCACAAGATCATTCATACTGGAATCAAGCCTTACCACTGTCCCTTTTGCTTGTATGCGTGTAACAATAAGCAAAACTTGCGGAAGCACCTTCTGAACACTAAATCTCACTTTGGGTTGAAGATGTACAAGTGCAAGATATGCCCCGACTATTCCACCAATGTTTTCAGGGATTATGTCTTCCACATACGCCAAAACCATGCTGAGGATGAGAAATATATCAGTTACTTTGAAGTGGCAGAGAGTGTGACTCTGAAGAATCTACATATGGCTGCAGCCTTGAAGAATGAGGAGAACATTGCAGCCGAAGCAATACAAACGGAGGAAATGATGGGTGAGGAAGATCTGCAGTCTTTCTCAGTTGTGACCATCGTGCCGGGCAAGAAAGGGGGCAAGAAAAGGAATGTAACCATCATGGATGACAGGGTCGAGGTTCAGAAGAAACTTGAGCAGGTGATTTTAGCCCTCGAAGACCATTCCGCTGAGGTAGAGGCCAAGGCAGCGGGGGAAGCGCAGGCAGGCCACAGCTCACAGGAGACAGAATCCGTGGTGCCTATAGCTATCCATGGCAACAATCTTGGAGATTATGTCGGCCTGGTTGACAAAGAGCTTGCGCTTGGAAAAGATGGGGAGACTATTGTCATTGTTCCAGAGGTGGAGAACGAGACAGAGGTCTGTACAACAGAAACAACCGAGGCTGTGGTACCTACAGGGGAGGGAGGGGAAGCAATCACTCAGTTTGTGGTGGAGTTTGACCAGCAAGGTCGGTTGGTGACTGAGGAGGACTTGGCAGCGGCCACCTGGCTTCACAACATGGGCAACATTCAGGATGTCACTGTAGAGATCCAAGAAGAAGCTGCAACGGAAGAAGTTCAAGGATGACAAAACTAATTTTTCACGCCTTCTCAATGGAATGATATTATTATCTTGAGTTCTGGTTATAGAATTGCAATTTTGAATTGTTTATCGAGTCGTACGGACAAGGAAAAAAAAAACCAAAAATTGCTGACATATTCACAGAAATATAGAATATAGAAGGCAACACAACTTGCACTAAATCTCACAATCAATGAATTTGAAGTTTCTTTAAAACCATTCGCTGTCCAAAAAAAGTTCTTATTACAACATTATCTAAAAATTTGAATAAACAAGCAGAAGCTTTCTTTAGATATGCAACTTTAATGCCAAAGACTCAAGATTTTAATTTGTATGGATCATCGTTATCTTGATTAAATTGTCAATTGTTAATTTAAATTATTTTATGAAATTAGGAATGTTAAAAAATAGTAATTAGCTGTATGATTTAATGTTATTATAAAAACTCGGCCATGGATTTAGTTGAACCGCTTGTAGTTGCAGTATGTAAGATATAATTTTGAGTATATAGTGACAGTAGTCTTGATTTCTTGTTGAATATTTATGACTGTTTGAAAAGTTGCCTTTATTGCTGTGATAATACTCATGGTCACCCATTGCAGCTATTTATTATACCGATGGAACTATGTACAGATTGAGTTCATGGCTTCCAATTAAGAAAAGAAATGTACAGTGTTGTGAAGGAAATATCGCTGAATGCAGCATGATTGCATTTATTTTGTGTCCCAAGTTTCAGACACTGAAATTGTGATTCATTTATATTCACTATTTAATAAAAATCTATGTAGAATTCACTCATTTTTTAATAGATTTTTAGAAATGCGCAGATTTAATCAAGGACTTGTCACTTTTCTAAAGTGGACATGATACTTCTAGCCCAATTTTAATTTTCAATGACTTGAAGAATTCCAAGGAGTCAAAAATGCTGTTTTGGTCGAGTTTCTTTAATAGAGGAATATGAAAATGCCTACTAGGCCTATAATAATAATAATATGTAGCTTTTCTATAGCCCTTAATACAAGGTCTCTAAGCACTTTACAAATATACTATTACTATACTATAGCTATGGCACTCATCAGCAAGCACATATCTCCTTTGTTTTTGTAAGAGCAAAATGCCCTGAATTAACTTTCCCTCTAAGTTAAAGATGTAAAAAGTATTCATGCTAATATATACATGTAAGTAAGATATTTTGAGAATTATTTTTCAAACTAATTTTTGAATGTAAATATGTTAGATTTTTTCATATATCTTTGTGTGGCACCTTACCCAATCGATTACCATTTGCATGAATTGCAGGGAGAACCGATAAATTTATCTTGGTTGAATTGATTAGCTGTTATAGTACACTTTTAAATTTTAAATGAATTTAAAAGGTATCTTTTCTTAAAAAAATAAAAGTGTTGTGGTCCATTCATTCAAACATACAAATAATAGCATAATTATATTTGCTTATATAGCGCCTAACACTTTCTTTATCAGAAGTTTCTAAAGCACTCTACATAATGCAGCATAATTACCCTGGCTTTAGCATAGGGGTATTTAAATGTGGATGCAAGTATATGATTCATTGTTTTGTTAAAAATTGAATGTTGGTTTATCCTTTAAGTACTGCCCTGTCAAAACAAGATATGGAACATTAATACTAATAGTTTATTTATTCTTCAGTACCAAGCAATATCTGTGTATCATATACAAATCAAGAAAGTTCCTTCTACATGTATTTGGCACAAACATCTACTATTGTGTTCATGTATATATATGTGGGTCTCTTATTAAAATACTTGCCCCGATTTTGCAAAGATGTTAAAAAAAATACTGTGAATATGGTCTTAAACACAAATTTATCAGGGGGGGGGGGGGGAATTAAAACCCAAAGGGCAAAAATTAGCAATAAAAACATATTCACCCTACTCGGTGAAAAATTGTTATTTATTTGAATGATCGAGATGTTTATATTGCTAGGAATGACAAGGAATGCAGGAATGCTAATTTTGATATTCTGTTTTGATTTACATTACATGTGCTCCACTTGCAGTTGCTCTGTGGCCAATTTCTTTACACAAGATTTGACCCTTGACCCAGAGCTATATACAGTTTAAAAGCTTAACCTTATCATGGCCCCTTACCCGATCCTACATCTTTGACAAAATAACGCTTGCAGCAATTGTTACTGGAGCAAAGATTGCATATCCCTGTTTTTCGAGGCTTCCTGTGGTAAGAATGTCTGGATTTTCAATGTTTTCAAATTTAAAGTGTCAAAGTCAACCCAAAAAATATCTTAATTTCGTTTGTCAAAGGATCCTTTTAACTATACTACATTATATATGCATATTCAAAATATGAGCTTGAAATATTGCTGCTATAAAGAGATTTTGCAAGTTTAAATACACTATCAATAAACATAAAAGTGACTTGTGAGTAGACTACCTGACGCATCTGTTGCTAGGCGTTGTGGCGTGCGCCTGTAATCCAGCTAAAAAAAGTGGAAGTTACAAACTGATTCAGCCGAGGACGCAGGTTCGAAACTGAGTCACGTCTTTCGGATGGTGACGTTTGCAGGTCGGTCCCAGACGTAAATAATCATATCTGATTGATACACGTCTGTAAAAACCCAATACACACACACACACACATGCTCACATATGATCGAGCACGCACAGAACCCAAGTCTTACTTGGGTCCGTGTGTGTAGTTTTTACATGTATGTTATGCTATATATCTTCATACCGATACTCCTTATCCGTTAGCCCATAGAATGCAGATGGTTTATTTCAGGTTGATTCTATACATTCTAGGTGTACACATTTTTTTGTGTAGACTGGCACACTTTAAAGAAGTTTACTTCGCAACGAGCCATTATATTCACCTGTTATGTATTATTATTCAATAGTCAAAATGCAAATTTCATAAATTTCAGTAAAATAAATTTGCTAAATTTGATTACATTACGTAAATGGCCTATTGGGTAAGATTATAGTACAGGGAATGGGTATATGTGTCAAATATGTACAATTTATTGCTTTGTTGTGAATATGAATACATCACAGTTACGAGTACAATGTAAATTTCTTCACCTGTGTGTTATAAGAGAATGATCAAATGTTTCATTGACAATCATGTTTATGGTCTGGTTTCTTTCAGTGATGGTGATGTACTTGGTGTATTTGTATCATATATGTGTAAAAGATGAATTGTAAAGAAAAATAAAAGTCTGTTGCTTTAGAGAGGGAGAGAGGGGGGGGGGGTAGACACAGAAAGTAAGAGAGGAGAGAGAGATAGTTGGAAAAAAAGCAAGCGAGAGAAAAATAGAGAGGGGAGGCAGAATAAAGGGAAATAGAGATGAGGGAAGGATAAGATCTTGTGTATTCTTTCTCCACACATTTTCTCTTACCTATTGTAATAGTACATATATATATATATATATCTTTCAGTATTTGTTTCTTTTCTGTCAAATTTACTAGGGGCCAAGTTCAAAGAGGATACTTGTGCAGTTTACCAGAATTGTCAACAGAAATTAAGATGTGAAAGAAAACTTTTACTTGTTCAGGAATGAAAAAGCTTTTGTAAATTGTATTTCCATTTTCTATTCAGATAAACTGTCATAAGGTATATTTGTAGTATTTATCAGAGATCTGCCTCTCTCCCCCTTCCTTTCTGTCTGTCTGTCTTTCTATCTATCTGTCTCTCTCTTTGCCAAAGTTTGCCTGTCTGTCTATCTCTCTTTCTCTGCTTGTCTCTCTCCCTCTCTCTGGCCTACAATGAAATCCTCAACGAAATGAATAATCAGTGGACAAGAGAACACTCAAATAAACACTGAATGTAACAAATTGAAATAGCAGTCAAAATTGAGTAGATTTTTTCTTATAAACCTCTGCACAAAACCAAGCATATTTGCTGTAAAATTATCGTAAAAAGAATGATGCATGGTTACACGCACATATTACAGTGCTGTATATACTGCACTTCACAATTCAAACATGATTGGTACATGGAAGAACTGAACCTGATTTTGTAAAGTTTGAGTCCTCTGAAATTGAGCGTCAAGTTTTTCCTTTGACGCTTCATGTAGTAAACAAATATTAATAATCATTAATTAATTAGCGTATTCCAATTCCATGCTACCCACATGCAGACATCACCCGTTTTCAGATCTGAATGCAAACTTTAGTCATCTTTCCTTCATTGACTTCAAATTCCTCGTTCAAAATGCTATCCACAACCAAAGACATATAGGAATCACTTGCTATTTGATCAATACTGATAATTACTTTGTTTTCATCCCTCCAAATCAAGCTATCTTGGCCCCTGTTTGTAAATTTCACCAATCATCGTCTACGGGATAATTCATCACATCATGTATCAACGGGTCTGAATTACAGCCCTAGCCAAGACCCTAATATCATTTGGCAAGACACTGATCAATTTGCCACTTTATACCCAGGTGTAGTAATGGGTATCTTGTAGAAGGGGCTCCTTGAAGGCTTTTTAGTACCGGTACATCATACGACAGCCTCGATAAAGCCAAGGTAATGATGCAATACATGGTATGGATACCGGTATGTGCTTTTGTTAAAACTTAGTTAAAAGCACTTAATATTTATCATCATCATCATGTATAGAAGGTTATGGGGTCAAGTCTTGGCACAGTTAATGTCCTTTGGCAAGAGACAAATCAACATTTGCCACTCTCCACCTAAAGTTTGAATGGGTACCAGTAGGAAGAAATTCTTTGGATGCTTTGACCACCAACATAAGAAAACATTGCTCAAGCATGGGTAATAATTAGAATGTATTGACTTGCACACCTTTTACCGTGGATATGAGAGTTAAAGATAAAGTTGAGCTCTGGTCTTGCGATTGCATTGTGAAAGAAACGGTGTGGAATCGATCAGAAAAGGTTGATCATCTAGCAATATAAGTATTTGTGTGTATTGCAAGGTTCTGGAATCAACAAAATGATCAGAAATTTGGCCAAGTCTTGGTAAAGTTAAACGTACTGTACACAGAAAGATGTATATGGGACTACACAAACTCGTGGTGTAAAAATCTGTCCCAATTTTTACGATATTACATGCCGTATTTAGAATATGAAGGCATTTGAAGAGTCATGCTTTTCAGGGAACACGTTTTATATAATGTTCTTCACACTTGCATAATAACAATGATAACGCTCACAAATTATTTGTAACCTCTTCCCAGAACTCAACCTTCTCTTTAATCGGCATGAGTACTATAGAAGTAGCAAATATAATTGTTGGAATTTTATGTTACAAAATGAAATCCTAATTATTACAGATGTCATCACCGTGCCTCTACTCTCAGTTCTCTTTCGGCAGTTTCTCTGATCAAGGCATGAATTTGGATCACCTCCTCACGAACCAGAGTTCTTTCCATACTCCTGTATGTTATTCTGTAACAATGGCTCTTCCTGTGTGTCTTTGGGTGCGTGAACTCGTCAATCATTGCGACCTGTTCCACCAGCTCTCCCCCGACGTTCCGCACCAGGTCGTAGAAGTCGTTGGATTCGTAGTCAGACTCGGGACACCAGAACGACATATCTTGGATGACCGGCGGATATTTGCTGAATGGCTGAAATAGATCAAACGAAGGCCCAACATTGACAGGCAGGTGTCATTCAGATTCCTACCACATATCACAATTGGGCTATTAAACTTAAAGGAGACTGAAATCCCCTGAAGAAAATTAATTTCAATGTAAAGAAATGAGCCTATCCTAAAAATCTTTAAATCACTATTAATACTGTAGATAAAAATAAAATACTGAGTCTCAATATCAAATCTAACTTGTGCACTTTGTCAAGCTGCGAATACTGTTAAACCAGAACTTATTGTGTGCAAAAAATTTGGCAGATTTTCCAAGTGGTCCAACTTCAGGTCAATTTCATAAACATGTCAATGTTAAATATACAGATCATGATTTGGCTTGAATGAACACAAAACTGTTCTTTCGTACTTCTTTAGTACCGTTATCTTTATATGAATTAGATATTTTGCATTCTTGCGAAATTGAGGCCTACCTTGAATTTGACTTGGTTGGTGTCCTGGTCCCTGAATTGGGCCAGGAACCGATTGTCTGTGCTCCAGAACAGCCGAATGTCGGGGATGTCGAACAGGATCATGGCCAGGCGTTCTAGTCCAAGACCGAAGGCATAGCCTACAGATGTTCCAGCACCAGCTGTGGACAGGGAGTTGGGGACAAAATATACATTTTATGATTCATTAATAAATAAATGATAAATAAATAAGTAAGAACACACAGAAGTGGATATACACTATATATGCAGCAAAATGTGAGTGCTCAAAGGACTCTAAGACAAGTATGGGATATCTCTTAAAGGGGAAGTCCACCCTGATATTAGGTCGGTTTGAATATAAGTAGAAAAATGAGAGAAATGGGTCAGTGAAAATTTGAGCAAAATCTGATTGAAAAATAAGAAATTTATGAATCTTTGAAGTTGCGATCAATCAAACACAGAGAGGCAACATTATGACATATCATGCGAGGTCCCCTTCCATTTGCCCTGTACTAAAAAACTTTAAAAAAAAAGGTTTTCCCATAAGAAAATTTACAATCATACATTTACAGTTTACTCTTATTATAATTATTGTAAATACGTTTCTGTACAACCCCAGTATGAAACAAATTTATTCCTCCGTCAATAACTAAGAAAAGAAAATAAAATAAAAATTATTTAAAAAATAAAAAAAAGAAATTTCAGTACAGAGCGAGCTGGAGATACGTCATAGTGTTGCCAATTTGTGTTTCACTCGTAGGGACTTGGTGATGAGGATTAATGCCTTACCAAAGGGCACTAGCGCATAGACTTGGTTTAGAACCCGGCACCTCCCGGTTACGAGACCACTGCTCTACCACTGAGCCATTGAATCCCCCCCACCCCCCCGGCCCTAGTTGGTCTGGTGGCAGTCTCACTGTTGTGAATGCATCAAGAAGGGTGTAGGAACAGTGTGATGTCAAATGAAAGGACCAGGGGGGTGTTTCACAAAGATCCTAAGTCAAACTTAACTCTAGGTGGGACTTAAACATGATGGAGAGCCATTTGTAGCCTTAAAATGAAATATATTCAAAAGCGAACATGCAAGTATTTTAGACTTTTAATAAATTCCACATCAAGAACATGAAATCTCCTTGTTAAAAAAAAATATGAATGGTTTGAATCGACTTTTCATTCCTTTTAAAATAACTTTTACAAAATATTTTCAAAGATGCTAACGGCTTTCCATGATTGTTAAGTCCAACTTCGAGATAAGTTCAACTTAGGATCTGTGTGAAACACCCCCCAGAAAACAGAGTAGTCAGTAGAAAAAGCTTACCAGACTGGAGTAGCTTCTGCTCCATGATGCCACACCCGAGTACCTCCAGCCACTCCCCTTGGAAGAAGATCTCCAGCTCCCAGGAAGGGTGAGTGAAGGGAAATTCTGCCTCAATCCAACGACACTGGATGTCTAAACAAGACAACAGAACACAAACATTTTCAAAGATATCTCACATTTACAAGAAAACTCGGTTGTGACTTCAGATTTATCCTGCCAATTGAAATTTGAGAGAATTTTGCTTTCACTGGAATTGACATTGTCTGCACAATATGCATACAAATGAAAAATCAAGTCACAAAAACAAAAGAATCTAAGAACCAGAAGCAAACTGAACCTGCAACACATATTGCTATCTTGGCAAAGTTGGCAGTATCTGTACCACCAGGCCTTTTCTTTACCATGGCATACACACAATGTCCGCGCCACACAGAAGTTTACCCAGAGTTAACTTCCATCCTATTTTCCCCTCAAGCTATTTGAGTCTGAACGATTTGTATATCTTTTTTTTTTTTTAGAGTGATTTATGTATTCCAACTAGACACAAATTTATTATTGGAATGATTTGTCCACTGCTCAATCACACGATTGCAAGGTGTAAAAACAAGAAAAATTGTATGATTAGAAGTGTCGTAGTCGAGTGGTTTAAGCACTCGATTTGAAATTCAAAGGTCTTGGATCGTTCCCCGATACGGCACTAATGTACTTTGGCAAGGCATTAATCTTCATTTGCCAGACTCGACCCAGGTGAGGTAATTGGGTACCTGGCAGGAATTAATTCCTTGAAATGCTGGAGTGCTGTAATGGCAGCTAGGCTAAAGCCAGGGTAATAATTAATGTGCCTCGTAATAGAATTTCTTGATAGACGGCGAAATAGAAATGCCTATAATTATCATTATTATTATGATTAGCTGAAAGTCAACATTGACTAAAAAGTAGCAATTGAAAATATTCTTCAGTCACAGCTGGTGTCCACCTACCCTTCCCAAAGAGTAGCTCAGCCATGGAAGTGATGATGCTCTTGAGTTCAAACTCAAGCAGCTTGGCAGCCTCCATGGTATGAGTCTCTTGTTTGTCTGGAGTCCTAGCTGTTGACCCGGTCTCAAACAAGCTCAGATTTGTGGCATTGTTGCATTTTGCAAACAGCTGATGAGAAAAAATGACCCAAATAATGTAAGAAGCACATAACCTGGTAAGCTGTAATAATATATCCATTTAAATTTTTAAAATACATATATTTCTAAATGAAACTGTTTAAACAGTTTATATCTGAAACTTTTATAAATGCTACATACATGTATAAACTGAATGTTGAACTTACAGGCAAACATCTATAGTAATTTTCGCATTAGCTCTCATCAAAATTTAAATAACAGGCTTAAGAAGAGGTACCTTTGATTTTGTAACTCTCAATAATTCTTAACAATCCCAATATTTTAGTAATATTCATTACAACAAAACTTTCCTGGGTAAGAATGCTAGATAATCAATATGTGGTCTGTTGAGATTTATGATTTTATGAGAATATGATTTTGAATACACTTTCATTTTGTTGCCCTTGAAAACTTAATTTGCATGTTTGAGCCAAACTGCTCTATGCTACTGCTTTATTAAAAAAAATCTTATTTTGCTGATCTTGTAATAACCTCATGATGTGTAAAGAGCTTCACACCCTCCATTTGATGAAAGACGGGATAATGACTGGTATCGATCTCATCCCTTCGATAGACGTCCCCGACCACCAGGAAAGCATCCAGCCCAGCATTCACCAGCTCATGCTGATGAGCCGATGTATGTGCTCTTAACATAAACTCCTCATTGATGTAATAATTGTCCCCTTTCTTTCTCGAAATGTGATCCTTCGGTACAAACACACTGTCAAAGTTCTGCTGGACGGTGACGACAGGGCTTAGGTGGTCGTAGATCGAGAATAGAGGGTTTCCACGGCGATTGAGGAAGCTCCTGTAAAAGTGGTCCCGGATTTTCTCCTTGATGATGCATAACGGATGGTTGGGCTGGTTGTGAAGGTTGGTGCCGACCCGCGAGATGATTTTGGGAGTGACAGTGGTAAAGTCATCTCGAGCAAATGTTCTGCCTTGAATGGTGACTTGCGGGTTCTGAGGTGTTGTCTGGGTTGAATTTGAATTTGTAAAAAGATGGCTCGTGGATGACAGACTTCTGACACGACACCTCCTGGACAGCTCATGTAGTGCTGGTTTTAAATGCAAAGTTCTGGTAGCATAACTCCATGTTCTCAATGCCATCTCTAAGTCTCTTAAGACTGAATTTAGGATTGTGGAGCTGAGTATGTGAAGAAGAGAAAGAAGAAGAAAAACTCCATGAAACATAGTAATAATAGTTTTAGACTCTTTATTGGAATTAATTGAATCAAACTATAAAAAAACATGATTAGGTCTAGTGCTACCTTAAAACTGATTTAATTTACAAAATATTGTATAACTACTTCATATTAATTAAACTCTTGTAGTTGTATTTTAAGCTGCGCATGAAGACAACATCATCTATTGACAGTAAGTTTAAAATATGGCTGCAAGGATTTCAACACAGAGTTATATTTAAACCCTTAAACACATTATATAGTCAAGCAGTTATTTGGTAAGTGGAACGGATGTTTTTTAGCCAAGGCCTCATTTTAGAGTATAAATGCATCGGATATAGATCTGCTAAATTGACATTTTAGTGCAAAGTTTACCGGCACGATCGTGCCAGTAAATATTGCACAGGAGACCCTATGACCTGCTTCTGTCTCTAAAAAGAGCAGTCGGCCCTACCCAAATAAGAGGCTAACGAACGAAAGAGACAGAAATTTGTGGTCTACAGTAGGTTTATATAGTACAAGGACAATAACAACAAATACAATTAACAACAGCAATAATAATCTAGACCTAGATCTACATCTACATTTTCTAATAACAATTGTATTATTTTATAAAATTAACAAGGTAACACAACATAACACTGACGCAATCAAGGTAAGTAGATTATACTTGAATTACAGTAGTAAAAAGTACAACTAGATTTAGTTTTAACTTGTTAAGAACTTTTACTTAGTTTGGCTTCAACTATGGCTATGCTATCAAACAAAGTTCACGCATAGTGCATTAGCATGACGCACGCGAGCTATCCAACTGCGCCACTGTGATATGGACGGGGATTCCCCGGGCGGATCCCAAAAAGGTAACTAAAAGGCCAAGGAGCACAGCCGCTGGCCGGAGGCCGGGAGGCGAAGTAAAAGTACATAAGTAGCGATCAAACAAAGGAAAGTCACTCAATCACAGGGTTCAAAATATAATGTCCTATTTTTCCCTCAATATTTACCACAAAATTATTTTAAGTGGGACAAAGAGCTACAAAATTAATATTTTTAGAGATCTCACCTCCTCTTCCTGCACGCGCGGGATCTTGTAATATGGAGAAATGTATGTGCTGAACTTGTCGACTGTAAAAACTTACGGTGTCGTCCATGTAACACTAGAGACCAAATTATTAGACTGACTATTAGTATTATCACACAAATTCATTTCCAAAATATGAATTTAATCAGAATATTACATATGGATAGAAATCGATTTCCAGAAATCGTTTAGTCTCCAATTTCTCCATTCCAGAATTGTAAGATTATGATCGTTTCATGTTAGTTCTATAGACTCTATATATATTATTTTCATGGTTTATGATTTAAAATGAAATTGAAAAAAATAATTGAAAATTGAACTGAAATGTCTCGCGACCAATGAAGAAACAAAGCATGAAATAAGGCTCTGGTATAGAATGAACCAGTGGCATGGATGGGGATGAATGGATCAATGATCCACTTTCTTGCATCCTTCTAACCCTCTTTTCATTTCCCTTTGTAAATAGTTAATTGTATTTTGATGGAGAAGAAGGGCTGACTTTGAAATCATAATAGAGCTGATATAGCAGGCTCATAGTTATTTTGGCTCTGAATCAGGCTGACGTGGAGACGTACAAGTTGCCAATTTCAAGACAATAACAACAACAAAACAGTGTGGAAATCATTTTTTCCAGCTTCACAAAGAATTTAGAGTGAAAAGTACTGATGCACTCTGAAAATTCAATGGCCAATATTAAAGCTCTGCAAGTGGATTTTGTTTGTTGGTTAGGGAAATGGAGTAAAAGAGAGCGAGAGAGGGAGAGAGAGAGAGATAGAGATAGATATATAGATAGATAGAGAGAGAAAGAGAGAAAGAGAGAGAGAGAGAGAGAGAGAGAGAGAGGGGGGGGGGGGGATTACCGATGATAAACCTGATGAAAAAAATATCACTTGAAACTTTGAAGATACCGAGCCGGACTCTGAAGTATCCTTGAAAGGGTTCAGATTATTGTCATCATCAGTTTGGCAAGTTATTACTTCTTTTTTCTTTTTTTAATAACATGTTTGGGATATCACCTGACATCATTTTCACCAAACCTAGCTGCGATAAAATATATTTCTTTCACAAATTTTAAGATTTTTTTTAAAGCCCCTTTTGGAATGAATGAACTCGTGCGGTCAACTTTCTATTTCATGTTTGACCCATTTCATCGGTTCAAATTCAACTCGAAACACATATTTTATCATTTTTTACACTGTTTATAGGTTACTGAAAACTGATTAAAAATAAATCCTATAGACAAACAACGCTTTCAGATATTTCATTCCAAAAGGAACTACTGTCTCATGATTAAACTCGACCCTTTAATAATGAAACGAGTTTGAGTTTGGCCCCTTTTGGAATAAAACGAAAATTTGTAAGGGGAGGGGGGGGGGGTATACCCCCTAAATTCCCCGTAGATCCGCCCCTGTTTTCATGTGTCAGATGCACATATTCATCTTTAAAAAAGTAGATTTAGCCCGTCTTTATATATAGGGGTATTGTTGTTCTGATGACTCGATCATCATACTACATGTATTACACAGAGTCGGTATGTCATATAATGTTAGGTTCAGCTTTTAGGGTTTACTCCCCATTCTTTTGTAGGCCTTTTCAACTACTTGATAAAAAGTGTTTTAAATTAAAATTTTAGTTGACCTTTAATTGGCATTGACAATACGAATTTACTCTAATAATCGATCTGATAAATTAACTAACAAGGGACAAAGGCCAAATTTATCTCAGTCTTTAAGTGTGCCTTTTGATTAGAATAAATGAGATAACAACGAGATATCCTTCGTTTTTCAGTGAAAATGGAAACAAAATTCATGGTTAATTATTTACCCCCCCCCCCCCCTCCCCCCGGGACCGTGTGGATTGAAAAATAAATAAAGGAAAATATAATCCTAAGATACCATACTCATTCTTCAATCGTATTTCAGTGTATTAGCTCAACACAGCGCATGCAAGGTTAAGCACGCATAATTAAGGTGCACCTTCTACATGCAATTTTGTGCATATGTACTGTCTGTGTATTCTATTCTGAGATTATCCAGTAACGGATACATATTTGGGGGCTTATTTCACGGCTTTCCTGAAACACAATCTTGCTAGATTTTAGCATGGAGCCAGGCCCAACTAGTGGGAGCCAACTAAATCGGCTACTCAGCGGTGGAGATGCTTCACAAATCTTAAAAGAGATGCTAAATGTGGGAAACTCGAGAAGTCCGTCAAACAGCAATAATGGAGTTGGAGCGTCACCACAGACAGGTACTAACCCACGAACACGATGATATAGACTTTAGATCTAGAGATCTAATTGACATAGCATGAACGAGTTTGGAATTGGGTGCATGATGAATGAACAGTCAAATTATTAATGTTAACATTAACAAGTCTTGATCAAAATAAGTTGTATTTTATTTCCAGCAAAGGTGAGCTGAGCTGAGCTAGATCTAGTAATAATTTTAATATTAATTTAACAGAGACGCCAAGGTAAAAGATTGGCAATGCGAGGGTATAACACACGTATAGACCTCTAGGTATGGCGTTTTTTTTAAATCTAGCGCGCGCGCGCCGTGCGTGAGAGCCGTTTTCAGACCCTCCAAATGCGTGACGTCACGCCTAATGCATGACACTTGGTAGCTCTGATTTAATAATGATTGCCTGAGTTTCCATTCATTGAAATTGAATGAAGAAATTGTCTAATTCTTACGGTATTTTAAGAAAGAAAGAAAAGAACGAAGAAGAAAATTAAGGAAGGAAGATCTATCCTAATGAGTAAAAGGCAAGGCGGCCAATTTTGTTGGTTAAAGTATATTTCTTTTTTTTTTTACTTAGAAGTTACTTAGAAGTTACTTAGAAGTTAGAGTCTAGACTAGACTCTAGATCTAGAAATCTAGATCTAGACCTAGGATTCTTTTCTTTAAAAAAAACTTAGAATAGAAATTAGACCTAGGAATTAGTAATTCTAATCTTAGGTCTAACTTCTATTAAAAAAGAAACATACTTTGACATGTACAAACAAAATTGGTGGCTTTGCCTTTGACATTATCATTGATGAATTGTGTATAAATTTAATGATTTTGGGTGAATTTCAATCAAACTTATTCAATTCTAGTTGTCTCCTTTAAAAAGAAAATTTTAAGTTTTACTTTTAGAATTTAGATCTATTTTTTTTTAAATGTTTAGCATTGGAATTTTAGTTTTGTCTTTATGCAGCTGCAAGTTAAAGATAAACTTGAGTTCTGGTAATGCGATTGCATTGTGAAAGAAAAGGTGTGGAATGGATCAGAAAAGTTGATCATATAGCATGTAAGTAATGGTGTGTAATGCAAGGTTCTGGAGTCATCAAAATCATCATAAATTTTGCAGAGTCTTGGTAAAGTAACAATCACTTACACCGAAAGATGTATATGGGACAACACAAATGGTGTCGGGGCTAGTACTCCCCCGATTTCCTTATCTTTCTATGCTCATTACTCAGCCAGTATACATTTTCTTCCAAAATTGTTTAGCACATGACATTTATTTGTAATCTTGAACATTCAGTGTAAGTTTTGTTAGATTCTGTGAGAATTCATTTTCTTTTTTTACCAGAACTCAAGTTTATCTTTAAATGCTTTTAGCATTTTTGTCTTCATTACTGAATAGTCTAGTTTCAGAAATGACAAATCCAGATAAAGAAAAAGTTATTGAGGTTTGACAGAGAACATTATGTCTGATTGACCTGGTTTAGGTTGATAATTTCTTTTGACTTCCTCAAACTATCCCCTTTTGTGAGCAAGAGGGAGATTAATGAAGTAAAAATAATTAAAAGGCAACAGTTTTTCTGTAGAAAGTTCAACTAATATGATCATGTCTATGAAATATCTTGGGATCTGTGAGGTTAGGTTTAGGCTTAGGTTGAAGTATTGTTTGGTTCAGGGTGATTGAGGTATTGCATTAGTTCAATGTTGAAGTGATGAATTCGGCTAGTTTAGGAAATTGTACTTTGGAGTTATTGTGTCTGAAGCATGTTTGTACAACCTTTCAACTTCAAGAACATCTATAGTCTATAGAATATACAGTAGTGGAGGGCTTGTTCATCACCTGCTCGAGCGATAACTGTTCTGTAGGTAACACTTTCTCAATTCTCGCTACCCCAAATAGCGATTCTGCCGAGATCCGGGGAAAATCCTGAAAACGCGCATTGCATTATGGGATAGCTTTTCGACATTACAGCTTCCTGTGCAGGCGCTATATTACTAGGCGCGATAGCGCAAACGTAAAACGCCGTCGCCACACAACGTGTATGCACCGAATATGTCGTCTGCTCGGTCTTGTTTTTTTTTCGCAAATATTTCAACGTTTATTTGAACATTTCATTCGTTGTTTTTTGCGTCTTTTGACATCAGTGACGATGGTTTTCTTTTGTGAGGCTGCACAGTGCTGGGCTCATGATTCCAAGCGTAAGAACCCTGATTTTAGCGTGCGTGAAAACTCTGCACAGCGAACACAGGCGCTAGCGCCAGCGGGATGGGACTCTATACTGGAAGTTGTAGTGACGACCCGAGAGAGTGAAAATTACCTCGTCTCGCGAATTTCGAGATTTTCGTACCTATTTAGGGTAGCGAGAATTCCTTCTTACAAATGTTTAACCAGAGCTATATGTATGTCGCAGATTCTTTACTTCAAACATTAAAACCAAAGCTATGTTCCTAAGAATCTTATTTTTACATGAAGTGTGTATTTTAAACTTATCCTGAGGCTGAAACCTGAAATCAACCTGAGCTCTTACTAGCCCCAGTTGCAGTTCTAGAATTTTTTTGTTTTTGTTTTGTTAACGGAGGGGGGAGGGCTACCCCATTTCTTCAAGCCCCCACCCCCCTAAAAAAAAAAGGAGAAAATAAAATTGTGATGCGCATAGCATCCAAGCCTCCCAAGTCCCAAAGACTCAACAATTATTCTTCTAGAACTACTGCTGCCTAATCCAGTACCGTAACCCTCTATCTTTCATCCAATGAAGGCTGCAGCAGATGTTTCCAGGGCAAATTTAGAAAAAAATCACCTGACAATGCATCAAATTTAACATTTTTGGTTAGCGCCTGTCTCTCGTCCAGTTTGATATAGGATTATGTGTATTGTTTTCCTGATGATTTTTGGTTGCCAAAGTTACTCAATGGGCAACCAAATCATCCTGTTTGATTCACTTTAGTTTATTTGATTCCCTTCAGTCTTTTCTGGTTGCCCCAGGACCTTAGCCCTTAGGCAACTGTTTTAGCAAGAATTTGTTCCAGGATTTGTCATGATCTGTATATAAATAGCAGTAGTGCGAAAAATTCGTGATCTCATAATTAGTCCTTATTCTTGGATTGTAAAAAATTTGCTGATAGAGGGAGCTGTTCTCAATGTCGATCAGACCAAAAAAAAATTTTCTTCAGAATTCAGTCAAAAAAGTTTACACTCTCTTATTCACATGTAGTTTCATTTTAGTGTGAAGAGAAAATGCTCTTTGATTAAACAGAAGAAGAAGTGTACTTTTCCCAAGTTAATTTATAAATCAACCTGGCAAGAGGGCTAAATTTGCAGCGAAAGTTTCATTTCAAACTCATAATTCTATATTTCCCCTTTTTTTTTTCTTCCATATTTCTTTTTTATGCAGAATCGTCATCCCAAGCTAGCAGGTGAGAGTGTAGTAATAATGGTATTTCTTTTTACATTAAAGAAATACATCACATTTATGAATAATATCTTATCTTATGCTAAATACATATTACACATTGCGGATATAGTATCGGAAATTATATCGCTAGTGATATTCGTTTGTCTCGCAATGTATGGTCAACAAGGGATCTCAGGACCAAGGAAGTGTCGAGCGGCGCACGAAACATTGTGATCTTTTAGATCCCTTGTTGACCAATGACCATACATTGCGAGACAAACGAATATCACTGGCAAAGTGGCAATATTATTTCCAACATCTCATCTGTTTTTCAAATCCCTGTGATTGTACAGCATGAACTACATGAAGTTAATAGAAACCAATCCTAGATTTTAAACAATTTCTATGCAATGTGTGCATTAAGGCAGAAACTGGGTATAATTAGGGACTACATGTACATTCAAACCCTTCTTCCTGTCTCTTTTCTGGTTTACATAATTATGGAATTCCCCAGATCGTTGATTGTATCTGACGGATTACGTAATGACCCAACAGATATTCACTATTACAGGAAAGTCTTAGCGTACAATTCTTGGAATAGCAACAAAAGCAACAATATTATCAACAACCACCACTACCACAACAACACCAGAGTGAATGAATACAGGGGTAGGGGGGGGGGAATGTGAAATTGCTTAGACATATTGACCGTTTCCATATCAAGCAATAATATTGCATAACCTACTAATTTCCTCCATTCATGATAAATATAACAAAATGAAATAAATCTACATAAAGTATTACGCTTCATTAATATTATTGGAAGAATTATTTTTCCTTTTCATCGCAGTTCGGATTGCATTTACTATTTCTTACTCTATTATCATGTATGCATACTTATGTTTGTGTAAATATGTAGTGTTCATATGCTACCTCTTCTTATTTTTCATGATTGATTTTATTACTTTTTAATACATTTTTTAAAATACAGAAGTGACCCAGCTGTCATGAATGCGACACCAAGCCAATCTGCCAAGGTACAGGTATGTTACATAGTAACATTGACATTAAAAAACAAATCATTTGATCATTTTGTCTGTTTAGAGTCAGTTAAGCATTTAGCCTACCGGTACTGCAAATGAACGAAGTTAACAGAACTCTCTTTTTGGTTATGAGAAGTTGAGTTACAATAGTAGCAAAACTTCATAAAATATGAAATTGTTGCTTATTAATATACATGCAGAATCATCTGAAATGTAATTTTTGAGTATCACTGAATTCCTTTTTGTAGCAAGAACCTACAAATATTCTACAAAATCTTTGCACTGCTACTTTAAAGTTGATACACTAAGCAAATAAATGTCCCTTAATCTGTTACCTACGGCAAGTATATGTTATTTTTAAGTTTTTCAATTAATTAGTATATCACAAAAAAATTCTGTCTACTTGAAATCCTCAATTGAAATGTCGAAAATATCCGCCTCTCTTTGCATAGAAAATCAGTCACGGCGCTGGTCTACTATTTATGACCTCACGTCCGGGAAAGAGTATATTCACGTACCCGGATGTTCCATAGCAAACATGTGCAGAGTGATACGATTTTCTGCATATTTTTGTTTCAAAGGCTGAAAAGTCTAATAAATCATAATTCTATGTACAATTCTTTACCTTCCCCTAGTACTTTATAGTATTAATATCAATTCCCCTTTTAAAAATTATGACATATACATGCCAACGATGTGCTATTAGTCGATATTTTCACCATGTAATTTTTGTTTTGGTGTTGAAATCGGCCCAGGCACGGAGTGATCAGTAGCTGTCTACCCATGCACAGTTCATTACCATACAGCGATCTCCCGATGGTTTCTTCTTCCTTTTTCCCATGTTTTTCGCCTTCCTTGGCCCTGAAGATCCTTCATCTACCAATTCTGACACCGGTAGTCAGGAGCAAGTCTTTGTTAGTTGTTTTTCTTAGCTGGCAACGTCGCTTTCATTCTCTTGCAATTGCCGATAAACATATAACTAGCGCACGTACGTTCCATCACAAGCAAGCAGCGCCTAGAGCAGCGGCTTAATTGGTCTTACTTCCCGATTCTGCTCACTTCACGAACGTTCATGCAAGAGCCGCATCACTCGCCAAAATATTATAGAGGAAGCGCGCTTGCATGATCTCGTTCAAGTTTGATATTTTACAACATAAAATGTTTAACTGGTACTGTATCCTTTTTTGAGGCAGTCACACACATCTATGATAAGTATCATAGTTCTAGACCTATTCGTTTTACAAAACTGCTCCTGTACCTTATCTGATGACAATATATAATGCATCCGCCTATATTCATACATGCACGATTTAACTTTAATTCCTAAGCAGTAAACTCGTCTTAAATCTCTACCAAATAGGTGAATATGAGGAATCAGCAACTGGAAAATGTTGCTTCGTTATTCTTCATTCAAATGAAAACAGAAAATCCATCAAAGATCCTTAACAACAACAAATCTAAGCTCTGACAGGATAGCATTTACGTAGGGATATCACTGCCATTCACTCTCACTGAGCCCATGAGTCCCGTTCGTGACGTCACGGATAGAGGCCCGACTCTACGTGCACTTCCGGGTTTCAGACTTAGATATTTTGGTAGAGTTTACTCGAATAAATTCATTATTCTAAACTTGTTTTGTCGGGTGGACACCATTTGGTGTTATTATGGGGGTTAAAAGCTTTCTATTTATGTAATTATCTCAGTATTTGGGATTGTCTTAGAGTATCAACTTTAAAGATTTTTATGCAGTGAATATGGAAGTACCCTCAGCCCTGCCAGAATCGTTGCTATTTCAGTTACTTCTCTTTAAAATCTTTGCTTAGTAGTTTTTTTTTTTTTTAGCAGCATTACATACAGTACATGGACATCACATTCATAAAACATTACACAAACTTTGGGTACATGTAATATTGATTCAACATGAAGCTTAAGTTCTTCTAATCATAATTGCTCATGCTTTTTATGCTAAACTCAGTTTGAGCAGGCGTTATGATGTTTGATGGAAGACCTTATACCATAGTTTCTCACTTCAGATATGTCACAAAAATGCTCCAACCCCATGGAATGATCAGGGGGGTGTTTCACAAAACTTGTCATCAGTGACAAATGGCAATTTGTGTTAAAAGCTACTGAAATCCTTGCTTCTGATTGGATATCAACAGATTTGTCACTGATTTTTGTTACTTGTCATTTAAAACACGCTTTGTGAAATGCCCCCCCCCCCCTGCTGTACATGCATATAATCCATGCTTATCTCTGTCTATAACAGAGCCTACTACCAGATGCCACAGCAATGGAGGACATGATCTCCCTGGATAAGAAAGTCGCACAAAGCATGTGAGTATTTATCAATTCTGTAAGAAATAAACACACACATTTTCATTTGTATGTTCTCTGTATATTGGAACAGCTCATGGACTTTGCATGTACTTGTAGATTTGAGGCGCAATGGCTCAGTGGTAGAGCAGTGGTCTTGTAATCGAGAGGTCCCGGGTTGGAAACCAAGTCGATGCAATACCGTATTTGCCGGCGATAAGGCCGCAGCGCCGCATAGGCCGCACCCCCGATTTTGACATAAAAAAAAAAAAAAATTGTCGAAGGCGGGATTCGAACTCTTGCGTACAAATGTAGATTGGGACCCGAAACCACCGCCTTAGACCGCTCGGCTATCCCGACTCTGATGCTTTCTTCTGCAGCTTTCTCTCATGTATTGCTTCCCTTGTGTATTGCGCCATAGCTTTGCTCGCCTGAGCTGAGAAGATTGAGATTGTGCCATAGCTTTGCTCGCGCGAGCTGAGAAGATTGAGATTGCGCCATAGCTTTGCTCGCGCGAGCTGAGAAAATTGAGATTGCTTTAGCTATGGCAAAAACTTAAATCTAGATCTACCAGTAGAGTTTGGTTGGTAAGTTATGAATTTTATTTAGGAGATTGACATGTGTTATTCTAGACTGTTATTATAGAAATGTCCATCACCTTTCATTGTTGTCCCATATATGTACAAATTTGTGCTGTCTTTCATGGTTTTGACTTGCAATTTTTTTTCTTTTTTTACTCTTTCGCCGCAAAGGCCGCACTCTGACTTTTTGATATTTTCTCTTCCAAAAATACTGCGGCCTTTACGCCGGCAAATATGGTAGTGCCTTTTGGTATTAAAAGGCATTGATCCTCATTACCAGGTACGCTGGTTGCTTACTTACAAGCATACACATGCTATAATAGCAGTCGGGTATAACAAACAGACACTCAAAAGCATTTGCTATTAAAACATTTTTTTTAGAAACTCTTTTCTTTAAGATTTTCAAGTGCATACTGCATAGGGTATAGAATTTTGATGGTGGAAGTAATGATCTGACATATATGATACATGTATGCTCTTGGCTTTGTTTCGTCAATAGGGTTAGGGCTGCAATCATTTTATTTTTATAGGTGTAGTGAATGGTAAAGAATTGTACTAATCTGCTAGTTTAGGAATTCAGTGTGCAAAAATTGCTGCCGGAGCACGTGTTGCACAATCTGTTAGTGATAGATTTGGATATGTGTGATATCAATTAGGGAGTGTGTGAAATTGTAAGATTTAGTGAAGTGCTTTAAAAAAAAGACAGCGACGTGCTCTTAATGCATGAAACCTATAATTAGCTGAGAACATTATCTCCATAAATTAAGAGTCGTTGATGTAATGGTATAATCTCTGTATCATCAGCATTTGCCAATTACCGTAGCTCTTAAGTTGTGGCTCAATCACATTTCAACAACAGAGTCACAGATATATACTGTACATTGAAATATTGAAAAATATTTTTTTGTGGCTTTTCCTATTTTGAAAATATCCATTTCTTACTCTATTAGGGAACAAAATAGGTTTGGTTAAAAATTGATATCTCTAATTGCATAAATGAGATCCATGTGTTTGAAGACATTTCAGTGATTTGCTACATGTATTGTAATTGGGAATATCCTGTCGTCAAAACTCTGTGTGGTGTATTTATGGGAAATCATGTAAGCCTCATGATTAATTAAATCTTCAATTAGACATCAATGTGCTGCAATAGACTAACAAACTAACACTTCATCAGTATGCTCACAGTCTACATGCACCAGGGGCTTCTAAAATCAAGTACCGGTAGGCTTACTTTATAAATGATATTCCTTGAGTGCAGACATACTCTTCATTTTCCAAGTGAGTTTGAGATGGGAGTTATCCCCAGCTGTAGACAATGGTAAGCAAGCAGTTGCCTTCATTTTCCTTGGGTTTGTGAAATTTGTTGTGAAAACTGTAGTCTAGAGGGAAGACTAGCATGAACTTGAAATGGGTATTAGAAAAAACTCTCCCTGAGACTTGCAGGCCTAATTCAAATCAGGGGTGTGGCAGTGTTATATTCTTAATTCCTTCTCATTAGATGTATGTAGCAACCACTTGTAATATGAGAGGAAATTTAGGTACATATTGACGTGCTTGCATTAGGTACATCCGACGTGCATACATTGGCACAGGCCAAGATACCTTGCACCTATTCGGAATGATGAAGTCAAATTGTTGTGCTCAAATTAAAATTTTGATTATTTGAGTGAGATATCTCTATTCGTGTACAAGAACATTTACATTGCCATTTCAGCAGCCTTTTGTTAACTACTTGTCATTACAGAACAAAAATTGAATTGCAGCAGTCGACTTTTGTCACAGTTACAGTGTGTATGTATCATATATTCCAAAAGCATTGAGGCAGTTTAGGGTTTGGTTTCAGTCTTTTTAGAGACAAATAATTAGTTGATATCTGATGATAATTATGATAATGTAGAGGAGGCCTGGATTTTGTAAATTTGAACTACCTGGGCCCCGCCTTACAAAGAGTTGCGATATTGCAAGTCCTCTAATCAATCGCAAGCTTGCAGTCTCCGATCTCTCATGTACATGTTCACAGTTGCGATTGATGTCAATCGCAAATAATTTGCGTAAGAGTGGAAGATGAAGGCCTTGATTGTCAAATCCTCAGGGTGGTAGTACTGTAGTGCATGCAGTTGTGTTCTAATGAGTCATAAAGGACCCTTCAAGAAGCCTTGTTGATGATAGATTTTGACATGATTCTGTCATTGAACCAGGGAGTTACTTATTTGTAAGTTGACATGAAGATGATTTCATCTAATTATGTGCATAATTGGAACGGAAGCATCATTAGAAAAGGAAGAGAGGGAGAGAGCGTGAGATTAAATCATAGGCCTTAACTCTCGAGAGAAGGAGAGATAATGTGTTTGGCATTAAAATGTGATGGGAACTACAAAACATTGTGTGACAAACAATGGCATGATCAATTGTGGCCAGACACCGTTCCCTTACGATCTCTTCCCGATCTCCTCCCTTCCCTCTGGCATGTACATGTACATACATGTAGCTGTCAGAATTGCTTATCAATTTGAGATGATTCTCAAGGCTTGAAAGGATTTTGATTTTCCTTAAAAGAGTTTATTCTTAGCCATATTCTTAAGCTGGCTCTTTTTGAATGATTCCCTGATGCAATGAATGAGGTTATGTAGGTAAGAGACTAAGAGAGAGTCAGAGAGAGAAATTAAAGGAGAGAGGGAAAGTAGGTGTGTACATGTATGGGAGCGAAATAGAGAGAGATGGGGAAGGGAGAGAGGAGAGCTGGAGAAACAAACAGAAAGGGAGATAATGGAAAAGGGAAGAACAGAAAGACAGAGTCAGACAAGAAACAGAGTGGAGGAACAGAAAGACAGAGTCAGACAAAAAACAGAGTGGAGGGAGAGACACAGATTTTATAAATAGAGAGAAAGGGAAAGAGAGAGAGAGAGAGAGAGAGAGAGAGAGGGGGAGAAATTAATGGAGAGAGGGAAAGTATGTGTATGAGAGAGAACTAGAGAGAGATGGGGAAGGAAGGGAGGAGAGCTTGAGAAACAAACAGAAAGGGAGATAGTGGAAAAGGGAAGAACAGAAAGACAGAGTCAGACAAGAAACAGAGTGGAGGGAGAGACACAGATTTTATAAACAGAGAGAAAGGGAAAGATAGGGAAAGAGAGAGAGAGAGAGAGAGAGAGAGAGGGGGAAATTAATGGAGAGAGGGAAAGTATGTGTATGAGAGAGAAATAGAGAGAGATGGGGAAGGGAGAGAGGAGAGATGGAGAAACAGAGAGAGAGAGGGAGATAGTGGAAAAGGGAAAGAATAGGGAAGAGACAGGGAGACGGAGACAGAGACGGACAGAAACAGAGTGGAGGGAAAGATGGGGAGACACAGATTTTATAGGAGAGAAAGGGAGAGAGAGAGAGAGAGAGAGAGAGGGGGGGGGGGGTGGAGGGGAGGATGGAGGGGCAGCAAAGAGAAAGAGTGAGAGGCAGAAAGTTATATATAGACTGTGATCCAGTTCAAGAGGGAGGGAAAGAGAAGAGGAGGGGCCATAACTTATAAGACATAATACAAAAAACAAAAACAAAAACAAAAAGTCTGGAGGGAGCTAGAAGCAAGATAGAAACAATTTACAGGGAGACAAAAAGGCCAAAGAGGGAGAATGACAGTAAGACACACAAAGAGGTATATTACATTGTTAAGTGGGGATAGATAGAGTGAGATAGAAAAGTAATAAATGGAGATTTAAGTATGGGAGGGGATTGATAGGGAGAGAGAGAGAGAGAGACTGAGAGATATTTCCAGAGTGATGACTCATGTGGCATGTTGCGAAATATGTACATGTACAAGCTGTCAAAATGAGTTGGAGCAAGTGATCACGATGCCATCACACAGGTTCCACATTCTGTCCACAGTGCTTAAACTTGTGCGGGAATATCTTGCCGTGCCAAAACCGTTCCGCAAATCAGGTGTAAGCAGCCGCAGGTACATGATACATCTTTTTAGCCAACGCTGTAGGCTGATCTTTTAATTTTCTTCTATTTGATTTTAATTGTCATGTATTCTCAGGATAAAACAAAGTGATTTGAAAAGAGAATACATGTATGTTTGCTGATGTTTATATCACTGTAAATTTCTCTATTGTCATATTCAGTATAACTTTCTTTATTGTTTAGCTGGTGATTCGTTGTTGTTGTATTGAATTGTATATGTTTGGGTACAGATACTCCTAAATTAGATTGTTTTGATAAGACTGATTCAGATGGATATTTTAGTTTCCTTCACATTCAGCATCTTTTAACTGTTGATTCCTCCTCAGCAAGCCGGTTGCTATGGCAACATGGGGTGGTGTGATGTTGTATTGTATTCTTGAGATGTACATGTATGTAAATATCATGTTTGGTACATGTACAATCTTAGAGCCACCTCGTCAACAGAGGTGCTCCACTGAACGTTTCATCAAGCAGGGCACCTCTTGGCACAGCTGTTTCTAACAATTTCAACTTTTCTCACCCATGGAAAAGTATCCCAAGATAACTTTGATTTGAAATTGTCTCCAGCGGGTTAAGATGGATATGGTTGTTATGGATGTAATTTATTTGGGAGCCGTACTTTACCTGAGATCACAATGGAACAACTGGATTAATTTTTTTCTCAAGGATTTGTGATATCATGATATGAAACGCCACTTGGAAGGAAAAAAAAATGCAACTGCTATCTAGAGGTATCATGCCTTCAGTATCATATCTGGCATTTCTATAGCATCTCAGTCAAACTGCATTATGCATGTACTTCTGCTTAGATTCACATTTGTAAGCATTTGACACTACATGCCAAGGAATGACTTTGAGAAAAGAACTTGCCAAATAACCGAGGGCAGTTAGAGTGAAGGGCAAGCCAAGAATTTGTTTTTGAGTACACAAATGATCTAGCCTTTATATACTGTTAATAGAGCACTTTCATTTATATACATGCATGTTTGTGGACCATTCATCCTGATGGCCATGGCTGAGTTTGTCCCTATGTGGATCTACATATACACACAAATGCATAATTTATTGTTTTTTCGCTATTGAAACTATTCCTGGTATCTCGGGTCACACCTACATGTAGAATTGTTTACGTATGAAGTCTTATACCCAGATACAGTGTACATCATGTCCTATGACATCCCCCCTCGTTTAAACTGAATATAACAGGAGAATAGATGTCTTAGTTTGGGGAAGTGGAGATTATGTAGACATAGTAGGATTATCATTCTAAGCCCTTAAGCTAGTATGAAGTGCAATTACATATCCAATCAGTACTGTAGGTGTGGTAGTCAAGTGGTTTAAGTACTTGACTTGAAATGCAAAGGTCATGGATTCCATCCCTGACACAACACTAATGTCCTTTGGCAAGGCAGTACCCAGGAGAGAAATGGGGATCTTGTAGGATGACGAAAGCCTTTGTGTTAGTAACTAATTGCCATATGCCCTCATGGTGACCATGTAATAGGAATACTCCCCAGGGAGTGGAGATGGTGCACATTGTGCAAGAATGAAGCTGATGACCGGGATAATAATATCTGTAAAGCGCTTAAAGACAGTATATCATATAAAGGGCAACATAAATCCAGATTATTATTATATTACTGAATCTGTCCTAAATGGTTTTTCTTTGTACTACAGTGTCCTAGAAGGTGATGACCGTGGAGGGTCAGTTCCTATGTATGGCCGTGAAGTGGACATAACACCTAGCAGGGCTTCATGTGTTGAAAGCTCCATCCCAGGAAGCAGTAAGGTGAGATATTTGAGGGTTTTTGAATGACATTTAAAGGTATAGTTGAGTTCTGTTTTCAGATCGTGAATGCCTTTAAAGTGCATGGTTATTGCTCTTATTCTTATTTATGACATTTCTAGTGCCCTTTTAGGACCTAAAATTGCTAAGAAGGTAATTTTAGACCCCAAAATGTGTGAAATTTAGCCAATTCGATCATACCAATTCAGCTCCACTTTAAAAAAAAATATGGTGTCCGTTAATTAATTAATTAATTAATAATAACAATACTTGGCCGGCCGATTGTGCGTAATATAACCAACACGAAAAAGCCAACAAAAAAGCCAACATCGGCATTGGCTGAAATACAACGTAAAAGGCGCTATTTTGTTTTTTCAATGGCTTTCAACGGCTGGTTCAAATTATCTAATATTTGTGGTGGTACACAATATTTTCATCTCTGAACCGATTTTGATCAAACAAAGATGATTTTGTCATTTAAATTGTATGTACTTTCAAATTTGACAGACAGTTTTTCATTATCTCACAAAAAATTATTTTGTGTAGCGCCCTGTGCAACAGAACTCAACTCTCCCTCTATATAGCAAACAATGCCTAATCGGTGCCTGTTGGTCCCCCATGATCCTCTTTTTCTTATGTTAATTGAGAGCTGATTTGATGAGATAACCACCTGTCAGTGAGGCCTAATCCCCCTGGCCAAACTAGTGTAGATGGGCTTTAAAACGCTGCTTTGTAATAAACAGAAACATTGTTAAATATGTGACACCCATACCGGAAGTGATGATGATGATGATGATTGTTGTTGTTGTTGTTGTTGATGTTTTTGTTGTTAATATTACTACTACCATTATTAATATTTGACAAAAGATGGTACTTTTTAGAACTAGTATGGTTTTGAAACTTTTCTATTCATTGGATGCTATTCAGTTCAGACAAAAAGATAACTGTTTACAGTGGTAAAAAAAAAAATACCTTTCTGCATTCTAAACCGTGAGCAGATACATGTATTCTGACCCTGTCAACTTACAAACCGTTTCTTTGTATCTTCAGGTGAAGATCACCCCTGTAGTCAACTATGAATGGGAGGCGAAATACTACTTTGGAAACCTCGTAGCGGTCAACGACACATTCCTTGTGTATGTGCTTAGGAGTAAGTGGACACCCTTTTATATTGTTCATTTATCTGTGTTTGTCATTAGAATATTATGCAGCTACAGTGTGTAATGTAACTAATCGGGCCAGGATTCGCAACCAAAATAAAAGCTCATTTAAAAGTATTTAATAAATGCTTAATTAAAAGTATTTATTTAAGTTATGATTTAGGTAGATAATCATGAATAGATAGTATTTGATAACTTTGACTGTGTATTCATATTATGATGAATAGGCAAATTGCTAAATTGTTATTTGAAGCAGCTCTAAAAGAGTCCAAATTCAGATGAATCCCTTATTGATTTTACAAACGAGCAATTCTGTCTCGAAAGTGAGATTTGTTTCAACACAGAGAGTTTCTGGGATTCATTATCTAGAATCTATGGTTGTACATAATGTCCAATTTCAGGATGTATGGATTATCTGTATGGAAATACACTTGCTTTACAGAAATGATGGGATCATTCAAAGATAGAAAAAAGCCTGTGAGTAATTCAATGCAAATTGAAGGATACTTTAGGCTCTCTTCAGCTGGGCAATTCCACGGTAACGGAAGGACACTCAGACAAGATTTTTGAACTTCAGGTTCATACTAAAAGAAATGTTTTATTAGTATGTATAAAACTATGGGGAACAAAATGTGTTTCAGTCAAGTGGAAAGCTTCATCAACTTCACAAAGTTTGGATAAACACTAATTAACTGGAAAAACCATGTCCATTTTTATGTCCTTCCATTACCGAGATAATTAATATGCACATTCTTAAACTACTTAACTATAATGACAATTTTTTTTGGGAGAATTAAAGGCACTTATATAGGTATTATATCTGTACTGTTTCACATCTTATACTAATAAAACAGTTCTTTTAGTATGAACCTGAAGTTCAAAAATCTTGTCTGAGTGTCCTTCCGTTACCTTGGAATTGCCCAGCTGTACATTAGAGCTTCGTTCAGGCTCTCAGGGTTGTGAGATTTCAAGGTATCATCCCAGATCCCAAGTGAAATTCTTCTTGAGGCAAGACTAGTGTCATGGAGAATTTAATTTCAATTAATACGATATGTGAATTTATAGCATATAAACTGACATAATTTTACTTGATGTAAATGATAATTTTTTTCTTCTCATCATAATGAAAATTGTGTGAAAAAGCACAGATCGATATGACTGTAATCCTTCTTGACCACCAGAATGTTTCTGAAACAAAATTATCTTTAATTTTCTTTGAAATGTCAAATATTAGTTTTCACTATTTCATTCATTGTTCTATTAGATGTAAAAAAAAGTGAACAGTGCATGTATAACCTTATGAAGCAAAGGGAAATCCAACCTTAATAGCAAACAAATCTAACTAAAAAATCTAGAGAGCAGAAAAATCAGAGAAGCAGACTGGTGACAGTTTGAAAGAAATCGGACAAAAAATAAGAAAGTTATGAATTTTTGAAAATTGTAATCACTATACGAATGGAAGCTTCAAATTGACTGAATCGGTAATGTCACTGTGATGTAGTGCGGGATAAGTTTCCCATTTGTTCAAACACATAGTCTAAATGTTTTTTCTTTCTCCAAATGTATGACTCAGGAGGGTCTTTGCTCTATATAGGACTTACAATAATATACTATCCATAATACATATTGAGTAGTACTCCAAGGGAGAAAGCACAGAAAAACAGAAATTAATGATATTTTGTACATGACAAACTGGAAAGTTGTCCGTCACTACCTGACAATCCACTGACCAAACTACTAATGTGAGATTCGCACAGTTCTATTGTTCTTGTATTTTCAAACATTCATAACTCTCTTTTTTTTGGTCCTATTTATTTCAAACTTTTGCCATTCTGTTTCTCTTATTTTTCTGCCTTCTTAAAGGAAACCAAAACCTTCATACTAAGTTACTTTTATTGTAAAGTTTAAGATATTTGAAAAATATCAGTGAAAATTTAAACAAAATCGGACAAGGAATAAGGAAGTAAGAGCTTTTTTAAATGACTAGTCACTAGAGGGCGGTATTCAATTTGATGACATCATCTGTGGACAACTCTCCATGCCTTTTGTACATCAAATTTCATGTTTTTCCTTCTTTCTTGTGATTGAGATAATGTACTCCCCCGAAAGCAAGATATAGAATGCAAAATGATATTCTACTACACATGTTATGAAGTGGGATCAAGAACACAAATAAATACAAAGAAAACAAAAAAATTGTGAAATTTTATGTACAAAAGGCATGGAGAGTTGTTCACTATTGATGTCATCAAATTGAATACCGCCCTCTAGTGACTAGTCATCTCAAAAAGCTCTTACTTTCTTATTCCTTGCCCGATTTTGTTCAAATTTTCACTGATTTTATTCAAAGCTTTTAAACTTTACAATAAAAGTAACTTAGTATGAAGGTTTTGGTTTCCTTTAAGTAATAAGAATGAACTTTTACAAGTTTGGGATTGCCCTTTTAGAGCAAAATCCAGATATTCTTAGCTTGAATGTGTCCAACAGAATATTGATTATTTTGTCCTTTTTTACTTTTCACATTTCAGTTCAGTCAGGTTATGGCCTGAGGATTCTAAACCGACGCAGCACTGTGAGGGCGCTGTTGAAAGGATTTTCTTGTGTCATCATCGACATTGCCTTCGCGTTTCACAATGCAGATATCCTGGGCTGTGTGGACCAGCGTGGCAACCTCTCCGTCTGGCACATCAAGGAAGAAGGCGGCGTGATCAGGTGAATAAAATGCTTGAAAGTTTTTATCAGGTGCCGTGGTCGAGTGGTAACGTCACCAGACTGTCGATCGCAAGGTCCGCAGATCGAGTCCCGCTACGGCACTAATGTCCTTTGGCAAGAAATTGATCTACATTTGCCACACTCGGCCCAGGGGATGTAAATGGGTATCCGGCAAGAATCAATTCTTTGAAATGCTAGAGCGCCGTAATGGCAGCACAGCTAAAGCTGGGGTAATAATCTCCAAGTTTGGAAGCGCTTAGTGATTGAAATAAACGCTATATAAAAACTGAGTATTATTATTATTATCACAGTAAAATGAAAACAAAAATGGAAATTTTGTGAGTGGCCCATGTCATGAGGTAATGGTAAAACAACTCTAAATCTTTGCGATTTGTGAATTGCCGTTGTGACCAATTAGGAAGTACTTGTGACATCATATTTTATACTAACTTTGTAAAAAGTTTGATTGGTTGAACAAATCTTGCTGTCAGATGGCACAAAATATAATTTGTGGAGTGGCGGCTTTATTTTTACCTCCTCAAAATGGCCATTCATTTATAAAAAATATTTAATAAAACTTTTTTTTTTTTGGCGGGGTTTGCCGCTGTATAACTGAACAATCCTTTAGGTTTAGTGTTGGGTCAAGGATTGTTATAAGACAAAGGTGTGGAGCAATTATTGAGAGACCACATTTCTTTAAGCCACACTGTACTACGTGTAGCTACTTGCCCCCTCTATATAGAAAACTTCCCCAATCGGTGCCCGTTGGTCCCCCATGATCCTCTTTTTCTTATGTTAATTGAGAGCTGAGTTAATGAGATAGCCACCTGTCAGTGACCTCGCTGTGTGGTCTAATCCCTTCTGGCTGAAATAGGACAGCCGGCCTTTAAGACAATCCTCTATTCTGTTGGATATTTCAGCTATGAACCCAAGATCCAAGTGAAGAGGAGCCTGCCTCCGAGTGACTACCATCGTATCGTCTGGTGCCCGTACCTTCCCGATGATGACCTTTCAAATGAGTGGAGCAACCTTCTTGCAGTCTCACATGGCGAAAGGGTAAGGAAAGCAACGGCTAAGTGGTACTGTTTATCGAAGTTCAACTTTCAAAATATTTTATAAACACTGTTCCAAAGAAAGACTTTTTCTGATGGATTTTGAGGCTTAAGTTTTGGAGCAAAAGGATTACTGAAACACCACAACTGTTTAATGAGTTGTTCAGATTTGCAATTCTGGATTTTTGAAGTTTTTATTACTTTTGTAGTTATCTTACTTATTCATTTGAATCTCTTGTGTAGTTTTTGCTACAGAAATTGCTCTTACTAACCAGAAAGTTTGCGAGAGGCTTACCAGACAGAACAACAAGTAGTATGGGTAATTCGTGGAAAATATTTTTGATAATTTTGGGGCATCCGTTATATGGTTGGAAAAAAAACGTTGTGTTAATCTACTTGTTGGATGTTACTGTTTTCTCATACATTTTAGAAAATGGTGTAGGGAATCTCGGAAAGTGCCAAATATATACTTTTTTCTTTTCTACAGGCTGAACTCTGGGATATTACAGCGGTTGCTGGAGAGTTAGGCACCAGTGAAATCAAGTATGAACAGGTTTCCAATGGCCTCATCGCAATCAATGGTCATACAAAGGTAGGTTCAGTGTACAATCATTTTTCATTTATTTTAATTTATTTTCCACATTCCAGTTAAAGCTTATCTGTACTCGTTTATAGGAGGGATTAGAGCACCCTGCAAGGTCACTGCACAGGTGGTTATCTCATCAACTCGGCTCTCAATTAACATAAGAAAAAGAGGATCATTGGGGACCGATGGTCACCGGTTAGGCATTGTTTTCTATATAGAGGGAGCAAGTAGCTACAAGTAGGACAGTGTGACTTTAAAGAAAAAATTTGCAAATAGAATATAATTTACATTATGATATTCCTGTACAGAGGAATACTTACATAAAGAGACAAACAAGTAAGTGACAAATAATGAGTAATGAGGATGAATTGGTATGCAGAAGGGAGGGGGGAGGGGGGGGGGGGATAAAATAACTGGGGTAATCCCCAATAAATGGGTTAATTGGCCCTCATAGGTGGCTTAAAAACTCAAAAAATTAACCTATTAGGGTTTATAGAATTTATAGGTTTACAAATGGAGTTACAGAGGATTGTAATAGAATTATATGAATATTAATAGTAATATTATATTGAGGGAATGTTCATGTACCAGAGAAATGAATTGAACGATACAATTTCCAAATACAATTGCTCCATGTTTTCTTACTAAAACCATTAAAAAAAAAAAACTCTCATTATCACCCCTGGATGTAGATTACTTTCATGTTCTGCCCTTCCATAAAATACATATTTTACAAGTTTTCCTCTTTTGGGGAGGGGGGTTCTTGAAAAGATGTCTGGCGACACTTACTTGCTGACTCTCGCTCTAGCTCTGGGATGCCGTGGAATGGATATGTGCTCAGTATTAATGCAGCTCTAGTTAAAGATAAAGTTGAGTTCTGGTCATGCGATTGCATTGTGAAAGAAACAGTGTGGAATCGAGAAAAGGTTGATTATCTATAGCATATAAGTATTGGTGTGTACTGCAAGGTTCTGGAATCATCAAAATGATAATAAATTTGGCCCAGTCTTGGTAGAGTTACTAGCACTGTACACAGAAAGATGTATATGGGACTACGTGATACGTGCGCGATATCTATCCGGTCCAGATAGATATAATAATTTACCAAATATATCAATTAATAGGCGGTTTCTCAGCAAAATTTGTATCATCACGTATTAGTCAAAACATATTCTTTCACCTGATTGGTAATAAGAGCTTCCATTTCATTTTTTGAGAGGGGGGCATTTCCAAAACTGGTCTTTACTTTTAATTCCCTTTTCATTGATGCAGGCAATCACCGACATGGCGGTGTCGCCCGACGGGTCAGTCCTGGCCAGCGCCAGTCTGGACGGTACCGTCAGGTTCTGGCAGATGTACTGGGAGGTGTCTGAGGAACCCCCAAGATGTCTTCATCAGTTCGCTCCCCACGACGGTGAACCGGTCATGTCTCTCCTATTCTGTGACAATCACAAGCAACAAGATGCGAGGTGAGTGATGGAGATTCATGCAAAATGAAAAGTGAATATCTACTTATTCTAACAGTTGTGGATGGCGTTATTAAGCGTATGGTTGAAATTGTACTTGTAAATCCAAAAAATTTCAACAGTTTTAGTGTGATAAAGTTTACTCTAATAATGATACATAGAGAAAAAAATGACTTTACTGCCAAGGGAAGAGTGGTTGGTGTAACTTTGGTTGTGTTTGTGGTTGTTATTGTGCTTGTAGTTGCAGTTGTAGGTGACGATACAGTACCCAACAACCAACAACATCCAACCCTGTACCAAGCTCTGACCCTGTTTGAACCTAAACAAATTTGGCCACCCACTGTAACTCACTTGTCTCTTCTTCCTCTCCAGCTTGCCGTTCTGGCGATTCCTGATCACTGGGGCAGACCAGAACAGAGAGTTGAAGGTGTGGTGCACCGTCCAGTGGATCTGCCTCCAGAAGATCCGCTTTGGGTCCTCGCCTAACGACATTCAACCCTGTCTCAAGGTCAAGCTGGACCTCAGCGCCAGCTTCCTCATGGCTACGGACATCAGGAGAAAGGTCAGAGGTCATCCTTGTCTTCAAGATTATGTTACATTTCTCCTGTTCTCAAAAAGTTGCACTGGTTGCCAATCCGCAAGCACATAGAATTCAAAATCCTTCTCCTCACATGGAAGGCTGTAAATGGATTAGCAGGCTGTAAACGGATTAGCACCAAACTATTTACAAAACCTTGTTATGCCTTATACACCAGCTCGTAGTCTAAGATCATCACACCAGCATCTTCTTAAGATTCCCAAGACACGAGTAGCCTGTGGTGAAAGGGCCTTTTTAGCTGCAACACCTTCTTTTTGGAATAATTTACCATTTAATTTGAGAATCATAACTTCTTTAGAGACCTTCAAATCCAAGCTGAAATCTTATCATATTTAACAATACCTGTACTTGGCACTATGACACTCATCCAAACTCACTCATCCTTTCTATTTTTCTTGTGCGCATCGGAATAGAATTGTCTAGATAGACGGCGCTATATAAATGCCTTTTGTTATTATTATTATTATTATTACTTTGTTCACCCTTAAAACCTAAAACCAGTTGATTCCTGTACTAAGCCTCTGGGAATAACAGAATTTGGTAGTCAACAGGTTAAGTTGTTACTCCCACTAGGCTTCTATAGGATATATACATCTACTGACTGGTGGATTTCGGGTTTGATTTTATTTATTGACTCTGTGTAAAAAACCTTAGTTCCTTCATTTAAGCCAGGCCACGAAAAGCGCTAAACAGTGTAATGAAATAACACAATTTTCCAGTTGACTGGTTGCATTTGACCACCGTAATTCCTCTCAGGCAAAGTGAAAAATACTGCTTTTGTTGCTCAGGTCGAACTTAAAGGAAGTCTCCTAACATTTCAATTCAATTCAATTCAAGTCAATAAGGGTTTATTCGTATGATGTTCTGGCAGCCGAAGCTGAATTGCAGATCATTTGTACAAGTTAAAAACATGATATTTAAAATACACTGAGCATTATACATGTTGACATAAAATAAAATTAATGACATATAAAAGGATAAAAATACTGGACACATTTATACACGTAATAGGCAACATCATTAAACCAGTTGATTGATAGATGAGTTTCACTTGAATTTTAAGCACGTTATCCTCAATGACCATTAAAAGTTTAATTTGGTAACATTACTTTGCTGAGTAGCTGGCAACCCAATAAGAAGTTCTTCAAGAGCCCTGATAATCAAGATCTTTGGTCTAGTCTGGGAGATAACATAACAATGGTGTTTCATATAATTTTCTATTTGTGCAGGGGGGTGTTTCACAAAGATCCCAAGTTGAACTTAACTCTAAGTTTGACTTAAAAATTATGGAGAGCCATTTGTAGCCTTGAAATTAAATATAATCAAAAGCAAAAATTCAAGTATTTTAGACTTTTCATAAATTCCACATCAAGAACATGAAATCTCCTTAATAATAGAAAATTTGAATGATTTGAATCAAACATTTAATGCTTTTTGAACTAACTTTTACAAAATATTTTCAAAGATGCTAACAGCTTTCCATAATTGTTAAGTCCAACTTAGAGATAAGTTCAACTTAGAATCTTTATGAAACACCCCAAAGGTTTTGTACGTGATCCAGCTGTACCAACAACACGATGACGGCACAGCTCACTTCAGCTCGGTGACAGAGTTTCTCCTGATGCAACCGATGCTCAGCTTCGCCATCGTCGATGCCGGACGATGTCGAACCAAGCAGACCCAAGAAGAGGCCGAAGATGGCGAGGAGCTCCAAACAGGTTGGTCCATCTATGTTAACCCTATCTGTGTTCAGACTTTGTTTTCTCAGGGTCCTGTCTTAAAAAGAGTTGCGATTGATCCAAATCAATCGCAAGTCCTCTAATCAATCGTAAGTTTGCAATCTCCTATCTCCAGAGCTGCCAACCATTCCATTTTTGCTGGAATTACTCCGTTTTTCCCTCCAAATTACGGTATTACGTTTTTTCTGCATAAAATACGTATTTTTTTTTTTAATAATTTTTTTTTTTTTTTTTTTTTTTACATACCGCGCGTCAAACAACTGCCCTAAAATGGTGATTTGATCATAAATTCAATAGAAAACTAATTTTAAAACATACTTGAAGAGAAAAATATTCTCTAAAAAAAATGAAATGCCGATAATACCAAAATAACCACCAAATAAATTACTTGCTTGTATGGAAAAAACAGCATGATGAATGAACATTTCTGCATTGGAAGTGTGCCCACGTGGTTGTAAGTTTCGTTTTTATGTATTCCTTTTTTTTGCTTGAAATTCCTTTTTTTTGCCATCATGATTCCTTTTTTTGGTCGCACAAGGTTGGCAGCTCTGTATCTCTTATGTTCATAGTTCGCAAATAAGCTGTGATTAATATCAACTCTTTGTAAGACAGGGCCCTCATGTTCCTTATTTATACATGGTGATATATACAATACGACCCCAGTGAACTCAATACATCACATGTATATATACATGTCTTGTGAAAAGCTAGAAAGGTTACAGCATAACGAGCCGTGTTTGATTAATGCAAAGTCATTGTGAATATACGTACAGTACTTCACATGAGATGATGTCATCTAGTCGATGGCTTATTTTTAGTTCCATGAGCTTTAGATTTCGAATTTTCAGAGAGCTGGTACTCCTCTGACGGACACTGAAATAGTAAATAGTTTATATTATTGTAATCAATGGCTCATAAGCTTTCCGTTGATAAATTATTCGTCTATTTCGTTTTTCGCTTCTGACAGAATCTTTAATGACACTAACTGATAGTGTGACTACATTTAATTACATAAATAAGGCCAATTAACAAAAATGAAGTGTTTCTCGTCCCTGCCCGCCTCCTTTTTTTTTTTTACTATTTACTATTTACTATTCAGAAAAAAAAGCCCCCCCCCCAAAAAAAAGTCTGTGATATACAATTTGTTTAAATAGCTACTAAAGTGATACAAATCATTTGTTTTGCCTTACATTGCACCAGTATACTCACATAGCACAATATCTGTGAATACAATAGGCTTGGCCATCTATAAGTAGCATGGCAGCCATCTTGGAAAAAAATAGCAAAATAGTTAATAGTAATGCCCTGCCTCCTCCTTTTAAAAAAATATTTGGACGAGAAACACATTATTTTTGTTATTTGGCCTAACCATAATTGTTTTATGAAACGTCCCCATTACAGGCGAATTTGAAGAAGTAGCTGCAGAAGGAGAGGACGGTGACAATATGAACAACGGTCAAGCAGTTAGTGTGCTGGTCAAGATGTTTTGTGTCTTCTCAAGGTAATGTCCAGTGGAGAACAGTCCATTTGGTTACAGAATTTTGCTCAAGAGCAGCCGAGTTCTTGTCTTTGGTTACTATAATTATGCCACAAATCTACAGGCACAGATGTCTTTTAAAAATGTGATTTGAAATGACAGAGATAGCTGATAGCTTGTACAGGCATAAATGGATGTAATTGTATCTTCATAGCCTAGGTTTGAAGGACATAACAAAATGCATTGCCATACAGATTGATTAATTGATTGATTGAATAATTCCATTGTCCTAAAGAATCCAGTCTCATGTAGCCTAAGTGCTGAAACTGTTCATTTTACAATACAAAACATTCCGAATACACACAAATTAAGAAAAATAAATCAGATTAAGGAACGAATCAAGGAATATAATTTATCAATCGTTATGTTGAAATAAAATATTGATAATCATCGTGTGAAAGTAGATTACTCTTCCTCAGACTTTTATTTTGCTAGCAGTTCAACCTAAACTACAATGATATCTAGTCAATCTTTCTTGATTCAATTTGATGAATTTATGTGGGTATATTATCATTTAGGTATGTTTTGTTTGGGTTTGTTATTGCTAGCTATTCCTATAATATATCAACTATGAGCCAATCACGTAAAGTATTATTCTCTGTTTGAATTCCGCCATCGGCACAGGGCGCTTCAAGAACTGCAGATCCGTTTCCAGCCGTCCCCATCAGTGAAGCAAGAAATCATGGCTGGCTCTATAAACACAACGACATCACATGGAGATAATAGTAAGTTTGAGTGCAACTTGCAAAGTGTCTCTTTAGAGCCAGGAGTGCGTTAAATCTGTGTTAAATACTTAAAGGTAATACAAAGTTTTGGTATGGGGTCATGAATTTGGTTCAAATGAACATATTGGAAGCATATGCGGTTTTACAATATTCAATGATCATTGTCGCGGTTGAAATCGAGTCTAAAGTGATGAAATTGTAAATAATAAACTCTTTATGTTGTATAGCTCCCTCTCAAGACTGATATTACTTTAGCTTTAAAACAATGTTTCTTTACTACAATCGACCAATTTGCTATTCCCGCTTGGAAATTATATATCAGAACTGCATATTCTGAGATTTTCATGGTCGCAGCTACCATGGAATGGCCTTAGACTCTATTTGAAATATTTGAAATTTACCGGGAGCACCGGTAAATGTTGATTATTCAATTTCTTGAAAGCAGAAGTGTTTTTAGGGGATAAATTTTCTAGTGCTTATAATACATCCACAGGGGCATCCAAATATATAGAAATGTTAAAGAATCCAATTTTCAAAATTTCCCAAAATTTTGCATTACCTTTAATTTCCTTCTGGCTCACACAAAACAAATGGAAAGCATAGTTTGTTCATCAATCATAGAATTATACAACTTTGTTATTCCATCCAGTTTTTGTTTTTCTTCATTTATTTGATGAATTGATTTCTTTAAATTTCCTGTAAAACATCTCAGGATACAAGGTTGAGAAATTAGATATCTAAATGCATGTATCTATCAATGTGTTGTTAATATTCTACTGTGTATGTGGGTCTGTGAATGTTTTTCTCGAAAATTCTGATGACTTTACCTAAGGATATGATGGGAGAAATATTTTGCTAATATTTTACAGTGCGCACAGTTTAAAGATAAACTTGAGTTCTGGTAATGCGATTGCATTGTGAAAGAAAAGGTGTGGAATGGATCAGAAAAGTTGATCATACAGCATGTAAGTAATGGTGTGTAATGCAAGGTTCTGGAGTCATCAAAATCATCATAAATTTGGCAGAGTCTTGGTAAAGTAACAATCACTTACACAGAAAGATGTATATGGGACAACACACATGGTGTCGGGGCTGGTACTACCCTGATTTCCTTATCTTTTTATGCTCATTACTCAGCCAGTATACATTTTCTTCCAAACTTGTTTGGCACATGACATTTATTTGTAATCTTGAACATTCAGTGTAAGTTTCGTTAGATTCTGTGAGAATTCATTTTCTTTTTTTTAGCACAACTCAAGTTTATCTTTAAAGACCCTATCCAATGATAACACAACATTATATCAATGGAAAGCTGAATAAATGTAGAATACAAATATAAAGGAATAAGAAAGATTTTCCCTTTCAGTATTGCACAGAAGCGAATCGAAACCCTAATTCCCGCACCTCTCTAAATAACTGGTCAAGAGGGGTAAAATTGGCCAATTATGGGGAACTGATTATCTCTGCTATATAGCTTTTAAGGCGATGGGCTGTGCTAAATTATTGCAAAGTCATTGTGAATATATGTACTCTACATAAGATGATATCATCAAGTTGAAAGCTAGTTTTTAGGTTATCAACTTCTGATTTTCAAAGCTGTTACTGCTCTGACAGACACTAACATAGCATATAATTAATATGAATGTAATCTACGGCTTATAAGCTTTCTGTTGATATATAATTCATCTATTTCATTTTTCACTTCCAACAGGGTCTTTAATTAGATCACATATTTAGGATGTAAAATGTATATGTGGTTTGTTTGATACGTATATATACATATATATATATATATATGTATATATATTTTGTAGAAAAGATATCCATCAAGGTGATTAGAGGAAGACACTGTAATACATCCCAGGTCCGGAAGGAAACATTATTTCCTGTTCCTTGAATAATAAATAATGAGTTTGATTTTACTTTTTCTAGATTCCTCTCATCTAGCTCAAGGTAACTTTCTAAACCAGTTTTGTTATGGTTGTGACACTACATGTAGTATCCTGTACACGCATTTGCATCTCTTGACATGTTCTAAACAACTCTGAAATGTCAAGCAGTAGAGTTCACATATATGTTGAAGTGGAAATATTGAGCTGACTCTAGGCTTTTGCATTTGATTCAACTTCTATCTGCAGCATTACTGGATGGACTCTCCGATGTGAGCTTCAGTGCCACGGATCGCTCTGTGGCATCCACAGACACCGAACCGCCTCGCATTGACCCAGCATCGCTATTCTCACCCCATCGCGACCCCCAGACCCCCTCGGCAGAGACGAGTTCCTTCACCTCCGAGTCCACGCACTCGTCCGGCCAGCCCTACCTCATGACCCCGGAGTCCCTCATGAACAGCTCCCGCTCGCCCACCAAGACCACCACGCCTCAGAACCTGCTCCAGGACAGCACCGCCAGCTCCAGTAGCAGTTTCACCCACATCACAGGGACCAATGTCTCCGTGGATGATCTCCTGAGCTCATGCGGGACTTCAGAGATGAACGCTCTGGCTGCCACCCCGGACAGCTCTGTGACTCTCACCCCGACGCCCTCGTCTGCTCCGTCAAATCAGGTTTCTCCCCTGGTGGGAAAACCATCGCCGGTCGGGGGAAGTCACCTGCCAAAGACATACGATCAGATCAAGGAGGACGATGATGAGGGCCCAAAGTCGCCACCCCCGTCTCCCGTGGGAGGCGACATCCAGGATCTCCAGGGCGACCAGTTGCTGGAGTCGTCGGAAAACGTCGCTGAGCTCTTGCAGAAGAGTGCGAGGATCAAGGAGAAACGTATTTCGGACTCGAGCGCGGAAGTGGCGCAGATCCTCGGCGCGAACATTGAAGGGGAAGAGGCGGAGGAGGAGGAGGAGGAATTAGAGGATGATGTGATTGAACAGGAGGTTAATGATGGAGATGATGATGATGGGCATGATTCACCTGTTACCATGGATACAGGGAAAGCGGATGTTGATGCTGACCAGGATGAGAACAGGAGCTTTGTTGCACAAGAAACCAATACGCAAGACCAAAAGAAAACTGAGGGACTTGTACAATCTGCAAGGTAAGTCTAGTCACCCCACACCAACAATTCACTTGTGCCTGCTGGGGCTTGAGTATTAAAGGCTAATCATTATCTCTCTTTTCAATTATTTACTCTTAATTTTGATGGCACTTGTTAGTATGTCAAACATAGCTGTACAATATAAATTGAAACAGTGTATAGATAATACATATGCTCAATGATTCTAACAAAGGTATCCATGCATTCATCAATGTATGTCTTTCCCTTATCTGTCATTCTAGCTGGGGCAGGCGTACATGAAAGTCTGAATTACAACTAGTCTTTCCCGACTAGCTAGATCCCAGATAGGTTAAAGATGATTGGTCATTAGCCTTGTGCAGTCTTTTTCTAAAAAGTAACACTTCATTTTGCTTAAGGTATTTAAATTCTTGTTTAAACCAGATGTACACATAATCGCCAATACCTGATAAAAAGAGATCTGATATATAGTTATTCCTTTGTAGAATTTATTTGTCATTACTGATTTATGACAAGTGTGCAGTCAAACGCTACAAATAGACTCGTTAGTTGTCACTTATTAAGCAGATTCCACTGTATTTTTTCGCAGAATGTCACTTTCTATGATTTCACTGCTTTGCACAATGCACAAAATGCTGTAATTTGATTTAATTTGATTTAATTTGATTGATTGATTGATTGATTGTATTGGGGTAGAACTGATCTTATGGATGATGGTGATGATGATTCGCAAGCTGTATCAGCTGGCAGTGAGATGAGAGAGGAGGAGAGGGGTAGCGTCCAGTCACCTGGAGGCCCTGTCGTCCTACCGCTGGAGGACCAGGTTTCAAGGTACATGCGAAGGATTGTACTTGACATCTAGACGGTGGGGATACATAAATTGGAAAGATAAAGATGCTAGGAGAAAGTTAGAGTTGTGTGGAGAGATAGAGAGGGAGGGAGGGGGGGAGGGAGGGAGGGAGGGAGGGAGGGAGGGAGGGAGGGAGGGAGGGACAGACAGGGAGACAGACAGACAGACGGACAGGAAGACAGACAGAGAGAGAGAGAGAGAGAGATAGAGACAGAGAGAAAGAGAGAGAGAGAGAGACAGACAGACAATGAGAGAGGGGAAAGAGGTGATAGGGAAAGGAGAGAGGAAGGAGAGAGGAAGGAAAGTGAAGGGGAGAGAAATAGTAAGGAAGAGAGGGGGATGGAGATACTGGATAGAGAGGGAGCAGGAAAAAAAGAGGGAGCAGGAAAAAAAGAGGGAAGAGTTTTCTCTGGCAGCATATGTAAATGTTTAAAAGAAAAAAAGTAGTTAGATTTACAGACCCTAGATGCACGCAGTCACTCTTGAAAATACGAGACAAGCACACTGTCCCACTTCACTTATTCTGTCACTTTGCATGCATTCCACAATCAAGGCTTCCTCACAATTTGTATGCAGATGAATGTATGCTACCTTAGTGTGAAGACTCTTACTCAAAATGCATGTTTGTTTTTTCCTCTCTCTCCAGAAATGAAACATCCAGCCCTGATGGAATGTACCGTACATCAGTACCAGTAAACCAGCAAGATCTTGGACAGGTAGAGATTAATCTTCTTTTTACGGCTCAAAAACACGCTGTTGAATTCATATTTTGCTCATATGATGATGGACTTTGCTTCATAGTTCTCACAATGTAGAATGACATGAAGCGTTTCAAATTGAATGAATGACCTCATTTGCTATCAGTATGAATATGTAATATATGCCATGGAAATATGCACAGTGCATCCCAGAAAAACGAAACCAAGAATTAACGATGTTTTATCATAACTCATATACAATAATACAATTATCATAACATAATCACAATTATAATTATTAAATGACACATAGTTGTAAAGCTTAGATCCTCCTCTTTCGTTTGATGCAACTCATATGATGCATATTTCATGCATGAGTGATTAAAAATGATATGAAGAGAGGAAACAAAAAAGTAATTTGGCGGGCAGTATCGTAATTTCAAAGAGAAAATAACATTTCTAGAAATGTCAATTTCTGCCCTTTCATATGACATCTCCATCAGGAAAAATGAGCCAGGAATAACAAAGTTCTGTTTGTATAATGTAATGCTTGCATTTCCATAATTTGATTAAACAAGTTCATTTTCACTGGCTGCCTGCCGTAGCAACAAACAGTTGACAAAAGACTAAACCTTGTTTCGTTGATGATCAGCCATGCATCAAGTCTTTCGTCTTCTTCGATAATTCTTGGTTTTGTTTTTTCTGGGATGCACTGTATATAGAACTTTGGTATCTCAAGCGTGGATCTATATAGAGCCTAGATTGTCTTTCTACTTTGTTTAAGAGCTTCAGAGGCTATTGAAAAAAAAGGTGAAAATGTCTAAAAAGTAATGATTATATTTTACCTTTTAAAAAAACAGTTTACCCTCTGTACATGTAATACGATATTACAAATATACATACAACATTATTTTATTGAAAAAGTCCACATTTATTGCGAGGATACCAAAGGATTTGTATACATGTTTATACTTATTTTCTTCCATGTTTTGGTCTGTTAGTGTTAGGAGTTGTATTCATGATTGTTTAATATTGCATTTACCTTTTACCAAACCTCATGAAAGGTAGATATCAGAAATAAATAAGTAAAAAGATTTGTAAGGGATAGTTAAGTTCTTGTTCAGACTGCAAATGCATTCAAAGTGCATGGTTATTGCTCTTATTCTTATTCATGACATTTCTAGTGCTCTTTTAGGACCTAAAATTGCTATGAAGGTAATTTTAGACCCCAAAATGTGTGAAATTTAGCCAATACGATCGTACCAATTCAGTTCCACTGTCAAAAAAATATGGTGACCGTTAATTAATTAATTAATCAATAATAACAATACGCAGGTCGGCTGGTTGTGCATATTATAACCAACACGAAAAAGCAGACAAAAAAGCCAACATCGGCATTGGCTGGAATAAAAACGTATAAGGCGCTATCTCGTTTTATCAACGGCTGGTTTAAATTATTGAATTGATTTGTGCCGTCTCTGAACCGATTTCGATCAACATAGATGGTTTTGTCATTTAAAATGTATGTTCTTTCAAATTTGACAGTTTTCCATTACATGTATCTCACAAAAAATTATTTTGTGTAGCGCCCTCTGCAACAAAACTCAACCATCCCTTTAAAGTACAAGTCCACTCCAAAAATAACTTACTTTCAATAGAAGCAGAAAAATCTTTTTTTTTAATGTCATTAAAAATCCATAACTTTCTTATTTGTTATCCGGTTCTGCTCAAACTTTTTTTGATTGGTTTGTCTGTTTTTTCTGCTTCTATTGAAAGTAAGTTATTCTTGGAGTGGACTTGTACTTTAATAAAAACAAATAAATACAACTTTTTTAAACCTTGGTCACCAGATCATGGGCAGCTTGGAGCAGATGATGTCACTGCTACAGACTCAGCAACAGGAGATCAAGCACCTGAGACAGGAGATGAACAAAGCTCAGCTGAGTAACAGCATCATACAGTCCACCAAGGCTAGGATAGACAAGCTAGAGAAGGGGTTGGGCACCAAGCTGGATACCATGTTCACTAAGCAATCAGAACAAGAACGTATCCTTGACCATCAAATGCCACAACTAGATTTGACTTTTTTTTTTTAACAATTAGAAAAATAAGATTTTTTGTTTGCTACCATGCCTTGCTAAAGTTATTTTGTTATCTCTCCGTTAGTCAGTTCCTTTACAATCAGGGATGCCAGTTTTCAGGCAATAGCCTGAATTCAGACCCTGGCGAGTTATTTTTAGACCATAGTTTAGGCTTTTTTTGTGTACAAAATAGCTCATTCTAGGTGATTTTCAGGCCCTCTGATCAATTCTAACTGGCATCCCTGTACAATGTATCTTTGCTTTACCGACTTGTAGTTGTCATAACCGTGAGGGTTTTTTGGTATAGTGGTTCATACACTTGACTCTCAAGCATGGGGATTAGGGTTCAAATCCAAGCCTGACTCTTACATAATTTGGAAAGACATTAATCCACATTTGCCACTCTCCACCCAGGTAAACATAAGTACCTGATATGATAGAGTGCTACAAGTTTTTCTGCTCAGCAAATGGGAGCATCAGGAGCGTCACAGTATGACAGACATGAGAGCTATATAAAGATCTACTGGTATATCATTAGTACCAGTTCTGTAAAAAAATTCCTTCAAGTTTGACATATATCTTTTCTTTTCCTCTGTTTTGAGTTGACAATAAGGTTATTATTTTCCCAACTAGACAAAGCGATTATTGCCTAGAGATGAGTCAACATAATTATACACCCTGAAAAATAGATTTGTATTATGGTCTAGAAATCTTGTATCATCTTGCATGGATGTTTAAAGCCACACTGTCCTACTTGTAGCTACTTTCTCCCTCTATATAGAAAACAATGCCTAATCAGTGACTATTGGTCCCCCATGATCCTCTTTTTCTTATGTTAATTGAGAGCTGAGTTGATGAGATAACCACCTGTCCAGTGACCTTTGCAGGGCGGTCTAATCCCTCCTATAAACTAGTACAGATAAGCTTTAAAGAAATTTGCAACTCAAAATCATTACCGGTTGGTATAGGAATTTCCTTGACCTAGAGCTTTCAGGCCAAAGACTGACCCTCGCATTGCAGGAGAAGACCAACCTGGACAAACAGAAGCAGGAGCGTCTCCTGGAGACGGTCAGCCAGACCCTCAAGCAACAGGTCACCAGCAGACTGGACAAGACTGTCCGCTTGGAGATTGAGAGCAAGGTCATACCAGGTGAGGCCACAGTTCTGTAGGTGATCCAGCCATATCTGCTCCAGGGATCCGTTTCACAAAGCCTTTTTTCAATGACAAATGACAAAAAGCAGTGACAAATCTGCTGATAACCAATCAGAAGCAAGGATTTCAGTAGCTTATAACAAAACTGTCATTTGTCACTGATGACAAGTGTTGTGAAACGCCCCCCAGGGGTTGAGATACAGGGTTAGGGTGATGTCTTAGTCCAGGGTTGAAGTGTGAAGAATTCTTTTAGTGTCAGAAGTAGTTCTTAGAGGAATTTTTGCTGGAGCATGTGTCAAAGAACTGTTTTGAAGATTCCTGTGCTTGACTTTACATGGCCATTGTTAATCATGCAGTTTACCCAAATTATGAAAAATTATTGTTTTCAGATTACTTCGCCACACCTTTTTGCATGAATTTCCTACTTCAGCTTTAAAAGAATTGGCTGCCTATAACGAATAGACTGCAGATATAACAATGATCATACATTTTAAAATACATTTTCAGAGGTCTAATATAGTAGGTCATTTGTGACATCGTTTTAAAAGGATTTTCAAACTTAATTGAGATTTTTTTTTAAAATCTGTTTTATTTTTCTTAAACAGAAGGAAGACCCTTTTTGTAATATGTGATAAGCAATGATATTCCGAAAGCTTTGATATAATTTTTTGGCATGACATAATATTTGTCTGCTCATGTGTGTGTATGACACATTGTTACTGTCATGATGAATGGCCCTCTACATGTAGATCATATATACTCTAGCGTGCAAACTGTGCACTCTTTATAGATGCGAAATGAGTTTGTTTAAAATGTTCTGACATTTTTGGGGGTTCGGTTGGTTTGCTTGTTTTACCTGACTGCTATTAAAGACAGAATGTATATGTTTATAAGTAAGTAAGCAAGCAGGGGAACAAGAGCTTTAAGTCCTCTCTGAGGGACTTGGTAATGACATTCCAAAGTGCACCAGCACATCAACTTGGTTTAGAGTCCGGGACCTCCCGGTTACGAGACCACTGCTCTACCACTCAAAAGATTGAATATGTTGACGTATGAATTCATCACTTGTACAGTAAAATGTCTTCTTTGCTTTCACGTGTCTAGAGCTACATAAAGTGCTTGTTCCGGTCACCGAGCAGCTGAACACCAGCATAGCCCAGAAACTGACCGCTACTGACCAGCTCATGAAGGAGAATATTCACAAGCTGGTCAAGTCAAAGGTAAGACTTCATCCAGGGCCTTAGCAATTATTATTATTATTATTATTATTATGCATTTAACTACGCTATTCATAATACACTATATCACAGCACTTACAATAATATGCAATATAACAATATAATAACAAATCTTAACATAACATTGAACAAACAAAAGTAATAGCGAATCAAGTAGGAAATATATAAGTTTTAAGGAGTTTCTTAAAAACATCCACTGATTAGGCAGCTTTAATACTGGAGGAAAGTTATTCCACTCCTTAGCTGCTGCAACAGTGAATGTGCGATCTCCTGCCATACTACGAGCCACATGAAAAGTCAATCAAAAAGGGTCTGCATTGGAGCAGTGATCACAGTGGTCCGAGGGCAAATGACCCTCAAGAATTAAGATGACCCTCAAATAGTAATAGTTATCCCATAGAGATGTAAAACAGGGCCCCTTTTGTTTTTGACCCTGTGACACAAATGTAATGAATATTTCTCAAGCTGGTCAAGTCTAAAGTATGACATGATAGAGAGCTCAATTTGACCTAGGTCAAGCAACTCTAGAACTCAGATGACCCATGAATATCTACAAATATTTGTACGACATGACACCTCTTTTTTTGCCAATATCTTTTTTATGGCTCTCTTACATAATGTGATGTAAATTTTCGCAAATTAGTGAAGTTGAAGGAAGTCATGATAGAGAGCCCAGTGTGCTAACATTTGATAAGAGGCCACGCTTACATTTATCATTATAATTAGACTATTTATAATGACATCATTAAACAGTGTAATGATACAACAACCTAGGATATTCATGCATGAAAATGCCTCTTTTTACCTTTACATTTACAGAACATTTATCGCTATTAACGATAGGAAACATTGATAAGAATATTCACTAAAAGTACACACTAAAAGAAATCTCCACATTTTAAATATTTTGTTATTGTTGTTGTTGTTGTTAGGGTGTGGCAGAAACGATGGGACAAGCTGCAGCCCATGCTCTTTCAGACACCATTCAGAGCACATATCGAGATGCTTTCCACAGTACTGTCGTGCCTGCCTTTGAGAGGGCTTGCTCATCCATGTTTCAACAAATCAATACCATCTTTGATGCAGGCACAAGAGAATGTAAGTTTCTGGGTATTCTATTGTCTTTTAGCAAGACATTAATCTACCATCCATGTTTGAACAGATCAATACCATCTTTGATGCAGGCACAAGAGAATGTAAGTTTCTGGGTGTTCTATTGTCTTTTAGCAAGACATTAATCTACCATCCATGTTTGAACAGATCAATACCATCTTTGATGCAGGCACAAGAGAATGTAAGTTTCTGGGTGTTCTAATGTCTTTTAGCAAGGCAGTAATCTGCCATCCATGTTTGAACAGATCAATACCATCTTTGATGCAGGCACAAGAGAATGTAAGTTTCTGGGTGTTCTAGTGTCTTTTAGCAAGGCAGTAATCTACCATCCATGTTTGAACAGATCAATACCATCTTTGATGCAGGCACAAGAGAATGTAAGTTTCTGGGTGTTCTAGTGTCTTTTAGCAAGGCAGTAATCTGCCATCCATGTTTGAACAGATCAATACCATCTTTGATGCAGGCACAAGAGAATGTATGTTTCTGGGTATTCTATTGTCTTTTAGCAAGACATTAATCTACCATCCATGTTTGAACAGATCAATACCATCTTTGATGCAGGCACAAGAGAATGTAAGTTTCTGGGTGTTCTAGTGTCTTTTAGCAAGGCAGTAATCTACCATCCATGTTTGAACAGATCAATACCATCTTTGATGCAGGCACAAGAGAATGTAAGTTTCTGGGTGTTCTAGTGTCTTTTAGCAAGGCAGTAATCTGCCATCCATGTTTGAACAGATCAATACCATCTTTGATGCAGGCACAAGAGAATGTAAGTTTCTGGGTGTTCTAATGTCTTTTAGCAAGGCAGTAATCTGCCATCCATGTTTGAACAGATCAATACCATCTTTGATGCAGGCACAAGAGAATGTAAGTTTCTGGGTATTCTATTGTCTTTTGGCAAGGCATTAATCTACATTTGCCACTCCATACCCAGGAGAGAAATGGGGACTCAGTATGATGACGAAAGCCTTTGTGTTAGTAATTGCCATATGCCCTCACAATGACCATATGGTAGGAACACTCCCCAGGGAGTGGAGATGGTGCACATTGTGCATGAATGAATCCAATGACCAGGGTGATACCATCTGTAAAGCACTTAGAGACTGTATTTTGTATTGAGAGCTATATAAATCCAGCTTATATTTATGCTTCTGACACATGTAATTGATCAAGGTACTTTACATTATATTCTCAATCTGATCCACTTTTTTCTCACTTATAATTTAAAGTGCTGTTCAAGGTTTTGAACCACCTTTCGTGCAGTTTGAAGTCAAGTCATTTCAGCAGTCGAAAAGTGTTTCAGATTTGATTGTACACTTTTTGCTATTCCCAGTGATGACATTTTGTGCTTGGGTTCAGCTTGTTTAACTTCACTTCATTTCGTTTATTCCATGATTCCATTAAGAATACAATTCAAACAGATAAAATGCTAATACTTTGTACATAAACATGAGGAAATACATTCAAATGCACAAATAAAAAAGAAAATTAGAAATATATGAGGGGCAAAAAGGAGGAGAAAAGAACAAATATGCAACATAATAATAAAGCTGTGATTATATAAACAATGATAAATTATAAAAATATGTTATAAAAAAAAATACACAAATTGAAACAAACATGGGGGAAACAAAAAGATAAAAATAATGGGGTTTCTATAAATAAAAAAAAATGAAAATAACTTAATGTAGAAAAAAAAGGAGAATTTGAGAATTATCTTAAAGTTGCTCAAGCTTGGGTATATAGAGGGCAGCACACTGAGCCGGCGGGTGCGTACTAGTGTCCCTTTATGCGTACGTCGGTACGGGAGCGTAATAACTGTTGGCTCAGTCTTCGCCAAGTTGCCTACTTCACGAACGACTATACACCCAAGCTTGAGCATCTTAAGAGAATCTTCAGTCAGAAAGTGTGTTTTCTTTCTTTATAAATAGCAAAATGTCAACTTAGCATTGACATAGTACAATCATTTCACGTTTTGTTTAATGTTTGATTCCTCAGATGTGAACCAGCTTGAGGCGAACCTGGCCAAGATGAAGCAGAAGCAGAGGGAGGGACAGGAGCCGGTTCTGAAGGAGCTCAAAGCCGTGGTGGAAACACAAAGGACGAGCGCCGAAGACCTCAAATCCTCCATCTTCACGAATGTACAGGGAGAGATCTCGGAGCAGCTCCACACAACCACAGAAAAGTGAGCTTTTTAGAAATGATTATTCACCTATATTAATGAACCAAATACATCCAAGTCACAGCTGCCAACCATTCCGTTTTTGCCGGAAATACTGTGTTTTTTCGTCCAAATTACGGTAGTACGTTTTTTCTTCATAATTTTTTTTTTTTATATTGTTTTTTACATACCTCACGTCAAACAACTGCCCTAAAATGTTGATTTGATCACAAATTTAATAGAAAACTAAGCTTAAAACATACTTGAAAACATATTCAAAATATGAACATATAGAAAATATTCTCACAATGAATGAAATGCAGATAATACCAAATAACCACCAAAAATACCTGCTTGTATTGAAAAAAACAGCATGAGGAATGGACATTTCTGCATCAGAAGTGTGTCGGCGTGGTTGTAAGTTTCGTTTTAATGAATTCCTTTTTTTTTGCTTGAAATTCCTTTTTTTAGCCATCATGGTTCCTTTTTTTGGTCGCACAAGGTTGTCAGCTCTGAAGTCAGGATTGAATGAATCTCTTGAAAGATGCTCAGATTTTGGTGTCTGTGGCAGGCAGGAAAAGCAAAGACAAAGCAGACTGAAGTATTTTATTAAAAATGCATTTGATATGAGGATATTTATAACGATTTCTGGTCAGTGTGTATACATTTGCCTAAAGTGTGCCTAATCAGTGTAAAAGAAAGTAGCACACTAAATTATAGTCATGTTGTGAAACGTATGTGACTATGTGATTTGTCCTTGACTTCAGAAAGGGCTTATAGCATTAACTATTAGAGAAAATGTATAAATACACTTTATAATGAATTAACCTTCCTGTACGTATGTGAACTGCTTTGAGATTGAACTATTCTTCAATTGCTAGAAATAGTTTCATTGTTCTTTAGCATGTCTTTCCATGGTGGTTCAATCCAAAGTCTTGGGCTTAAAGTCATGTACCAATCACCAAAACATGTTTTGCTCTTGAAGCAAGGTTTTAATAATAATAATAATAGGCATTTCTACAGCGCTGTCTATCTAGAAATTCTATTTCGAGGCGCACTAATTATTATCCTGGCTTTAGCCATGCTGCCATTACAGCGCTCCAGCATTTCAAGGAATGAACTCCTGCCGGGTACCCATTTACCTCACCTGGGTCGAGTGTGGCAAATGAAGATTAATGCCTTGCCAAAGGACATTAGTCCTGTGTCCGGGATCAAACCACAACCTTTGAATTTCAAGTGAAGTGCTTAAACCACTCAACTATGACACTTCTATGGGTTCCATGTAGCTATACTGTATTTAGAATATGAGCTTTAAATACCAACTCTACAAAGAGATACCGGTATTATATTTTCAGTGCATTCTTGGTGAACAGAAACATGTCTTGTTGGGTACGGTAGACTAATTAATGCAAGAGTGCACCCTCGCATACGTGGAGTGTTATGACATCCTTTAGTTTATTCATAGTTCTTAACTGTTTACCCATAGAATGCAAGGTAATGTTCTTAGAGATTGATTATAATCAAATTATTTGTTCAAGGTGATTGCTACACTTTAACATTAAAATGGTAATAGAAATGCATACAACCCTTCTCTTTGTGCAGGTTAAAGAAAGAAATGTTGGAGAGGGTGCAGATCATCGTCCAGGAGGAGATCGGGACGGCGCTCAAGGACCAGCAGACCAGTCTCCAGCAGGACGTGATGGCCGCCATCCGGTCCCAGGCGGCCACGCCCGTACCCCAGGCTCAGGACATACAGCACATACAGGCCAAGATCAGGCAACTCATTGAACAGAAACACATCAATGCTGCCTTCCAACATGTGGGTAACACCAGCACTAAGTATAGAGGGAGGGAGGGAGGGAGGGAGGGAGGGAGGGAGGGAGGGAGGGAGGGAGGGAGGGAGGGAGGAGTAATCTCTAATAGGCTTTGTTTGGACGGGACTCAACAACAGAAAGAAAAAAATGTAAATTGTAAATGAACAGGTATTGCCTTAAATCCAACTTATCTAATTATTTTTTCCTCCTCATACTTGCTGACCCCTTATCGGTAGAAGGAACGGGGTCTTCTGTAGACTGTTATGGGTTGCATTTGTTTTGTTTTGAGGGAGGACATACAAGTTTGTTTACATGCTCTAAATGCTTGATGATCATTCAATTGTGCTTTGAGTGTCTATTAAAGTCATCACCACCACATGAAGCCAAAGCTCTTTGAACCAGTATTAAAGATAAAGTTGAGTTCTGGTCATGCGATTGCATTGTGAAAGAAACGTGGAATCGATCAGAAAAGGTTAATCATCTAGCATATAAGTATTGGTGTGTACTGCAAGGTTCTGGAATCATCAAAATGATAAGAAATTTGGCCCAGTCTTTGTAAAGTTACAAGCACTGTACACAGAAAGACGTAAATGGGACTACACGATAAATTATTATATCTGTCTGGACTGGATAGATATAATAATTTGCCAAATATATCAATTAGTAGGCGGTTTCCTGGCAAAGTTTGTGTGGGTTCGAACCCCGGCCGCGTCATACCAAAAGACGTTTAAAGATGGGAGTTGTTGCTACCTTGTTTGGCGTTCAACAATAAAGGGATAGAGCAACGTCGATCTGGCGCTGCTCAGTGGCTGCGGGGCTCACGATCAATTGGGCAAAAAGATTTCCGTTTCGGTTTAATAAAATTTGGAGTGGACTATTAGGCTATTATTATTATTATTATTATTATTATTATTAGTCAAAACATATTCATGATTGGTAATGAGAGCTTCCATTTAATTTTTTGACAGGGGGTGTTTCCAAAACTGGTCTTTACCTTTAACCAATCAATATTTCATTCCCTCAGGCTCTGAATGCAGCTGACCTGCGAGTCGTGGTCTTCACCTGCCACGAGGTGACCCCAGACACCATCTTCAGCGATGATGGATGTCTCCTGGAGCAGCCCGTACTTCTTTCCCTCCTTCAACAGCTTTCTCAGGACTTGGGCTCACAAACCAAGATCAAGTGCATGTAAGCAGCCTACCAAACTTACTGGGCAGTATATCACAAAATTGTCATTAGTATACAAATAATACACAGCAGTGAGGGCATTAGTAAAAATTACCCACACAAGGTACCTTTGGAACAGTCTAACTCAGCGGAGGCGCTGGTTGAGGATGTTTGGACTGTTTCGAAGGTACTGAGTGTGGGTAATTTTACTATAAAATGATGTTTTATAACATGATTTTACTAATGACCGGTCATTAGTAAAAATTATGTGTTAGGCAAAATAAATGCCTGGTCATGTGTACGCTCTTAACCAATCATTGGATTAGGATCCGCTTCATCATTTTATAATACAAGTTGAAACATGTTTACTAAAATGAACATGCTATTCGTGGAGATGACAGCAAAGTGAGGAGACGCTGTCCATATGGCAGTTGTATAAAAGTATGCCCTGAAATCCTCTGAAATGTTGGTCAATTTATGACATTTCACTTTGTGTTTTCTTAATCTCAGTTTTCCTATTCCTGTAAAACCAAATTACCTTCCGGCTACATCATTTTTTTGCTCAAAAAGCATAAAGATAACCATGTATTCAATAAGATATGTTTGACTCGATAATAGGAACTGTGACCTAAATTCAGCAAACTAGCTCTTCATCTTCATCTGACATGGGCGCCATTTTAATGCAGCATTTAATGCAGCATGCAAAGCGCATGTGTCGATGTGATATGAGTTCACAGCACAGCCCGTGACCTAACAATACATGCGCCTGAAAAAAAATTGATGACGCAATGTTGACTCGCAAATTAAAATGGCGGCCTCAACCGTGAAGGGGTGTTTTGGAAAAATATAGGGAGGCAATTAAAAAAAAGGTAGAAAGATTAGTGTTTGTCTATGTTGATACCTTTATTGTATAATGACATCACATTTTCCATTTACTTTTTAAAATCTCTTACAAATCTAATGTTTCTCCTTTCTCCGTTTTCTGCCTACCGTAGATACATTGATGAGGCTTTGTTGGCCGTGGATACCACCTTCCCCGTCACTAGGGAGCACCTCTCCGGAGTCATCACGGAACTCCGTCGGCAGGTCACCATGGTATTACAGACGCAACCCAACCATCCCCAGACAAAACAGCTCAAGAGGGTCCTCATGCAGGCCCAGTCCCTCAAATAGGATGTCAAAATAGGTGATCTATTGATGCCTAGTCTCTTACATAAGATTTCAAAACAATTTGTTTATGTTAATGTGGTCCCGTAAGGAGAATGTCATAAACCTGCCAAACTTAAAGCTTTTCTTTAAATCTAATGATGCCCCGAAAAGAAATAAATAAATGATGAGAAAGGCTCAAAGAGGATGACAGAGTTAGTCTTGTTGTGAACTTCTTTTAAAAAACACTGTCGAGTCACGATACATCCTTGTTAGGCACTTTCAGCTCTAGAGCTTTTTTGTACCAGTTCCAATTCTGTGTTTACTACAACGATTCAAATTCCATTAAATTAGATTATATTATTTGATGTTAACTGTGTTCTGAGAACAGAATTGCAGAATATATCGGTATAACACTTGGGGTCTCTTCTACCAGTATGCTGAACGTACTGGGACCCTTTTCACAAAGCCTTCTTTTGATGACAAATGTCAAAAATCAGTGACAAACCAATCAGAAGCAGGGATTTCAGTAGCTTATAACAAAAACTGTCATTTGTCACTGATGAAAAGTTTTGTGAAACGCCCCCCTCGTGTCAACGCTGCATCAGAGTTTTCCATGCTACAGAGCATGAAATAGATTCTTTACATGCTCAGGTTGTGGGTCTCATAAATGCAGCGCCAGCATTTCAAGTCCTATCCAAGGGACTGAAGATTTTATGCTGAGCGAGGCAAAGACATATATGAAATTTTTGCTGCAGAGGCGCTCATTCATATATGCTATTTACATTTCATCCATTGGTACTTGTGTACAAACTTATACTTTCAAGTGGTCTTAAAATGTGCATGTGTCGTGGGAGAGCTAATTATTGAAAATTCATGTATCACACGAATTACCAAGTTTTCAGTATTCCCTAAGGCAAGGTATTTTATCAAAAATTATCATAATTCACTTTACTTACAGGCCAAGGCTACACATTCATCAGATAGGGAATAACCATGTCATGTATATAGTTAACTGAAATTTGAAAGAGTCTTTGATAAAGATTGTACTTCTTATATCCTTTAATCTCATGTTTTTGCTTTATGCAGGGTTTTTTCAGTGAGTTCAGAACTATCAGGACATGTAAGGGATTTTACCCAGTTGATTGTGCGAATGAGATATGAACATCTGAATAAAAAGATTGCCTATGGGAACTCAGTGTTATATGCTCTGGCTCCTTACCATTAGGAGCCAGAGCATATAACACTGAGTTCCCATAGGACATATATTCATTCAGATGGTCATATCTCAGCCAATACTTAACATATTCAATTGGTTTTCGACATTTGGACATTATTTTTGATGCTCTTTCAGAAAATGAAGAAAAAAATTGAGAAATTCTAAAAATAGATTTTTATGACGTCACAACTTTGGTTCTCTATGGATCAACTGTGGAACACAAGAGGGTTTGTTCACAGGGGAGGCCTATGTATGCTACAGCTAGAAATGGGATGGTATAATTTTGGATGACCTGTGATCTACTGAACTAGTGAATCCTTCCCTTGATAGCTGTAGTTGCTTCTGAAAGTCTTGTCAGTCACAGCCGAGCTAGTGTTCCCGACCACGTTTGAAACACTGGTAGTTTAATACCGTGTATAAATACTACCTAAGGTATTGATGCAACCATAGTTGGACGATCAGCAAGGAACATATAAGTTTTCTAGATTATGCCAAGTATAAATAAACCGGTACAGTAGCAGGGTGATGCAAGAGAGAGATGACAATGTTGCAGAGGATTATGTTATCTTTTCCCTCAGACAACCCTCCTTTTACGATTGATTGGAAGACGAGGGAGTGTATGTGCATCTTGTATCGCCTAGTAACACTGCTGGTTTTTTAATAATTCACTTGCCACTATCGTGCATTATAGCATGAGTTTTTTTCTATTCTCAGTGGACTATCCAATGGAGAATGACAATTTCTTTGGCAATGTGTAATAGTTTTGTAGAATTGCAATCGCGAGCAGAAATCATCACAGTTTTTTGTGTTTTGTTATTTCTTTCTTACATCCATCAACAGTCATCATCATTTTAATCACTATTTTATCCAATTATGTTGTCAATTTGTTTTTTAATCACCAGTGATTTTGATTAATTTTACTATTAAGTGCCTTGTAAAGTACAGTAGCTTAACCTGTTTGTCTGAATGTAGTCACATTTCAGTGTAGAGAACTTAATAGGATGCTGATAATTGCGTATAACAAAATATGTTCTACAAGTGCCACCTCTACCCACAATGCATTTGAGAAGGAATCATTATAAGTAGTTATTGTATAGTAGAAATGTACAAGAATCCTGAATGCAACGTTTCTTCAATAACTGGATAAAGAAACATAAACTCTTCTTGAAAATGGCATGCACTTTACTCTCTTTTTCTTACAAACAAACAAATAAACCGAAAAGATTTTTACAGTTATTCAAAGTCTAGCATCTCTGTTCAGCAAAGTGATATGAAATAAATGATCCCACGTCTCTCTTTCAGTTCATACTCCAAGGTTGCCTGCCAAGCTCATGAGAACTGTCCTAAGTTTTCTTTTGGACCTTAAAGGGATCGTTTAACAATGTTAAATCTGAGATGCACGGCCCTACGTGTTATCAGTGTCTGTGATATGGTGTAATATTGAAGCCCTAAAAAAATTCCGCTTCAAAATGACCAAGAAGGGTCTAAAAAATGTAAAAACCTTTGAGTGACCGGTTTTACCATTCTCGTTTTCCCCAATAGACTGTAGTGTTATGAAAACCGTTTGGCAAACGCAAAATTTGATTTTCAATCATAAATATCTTAATAATCAGACAGGCTTGTAAAAGTCATGTGGTTTCTGACTGACCTAAAGGTTTATAATTGTCATTGCAACATGAGCTAAATCAAGGATTTTTTTAAAAGGATCTAAGACAAAGTTACCGGACCCCTTTAACAGTTTGGGAGGACTGATTAGGACCGATGTGTAACATGGTACGAATAAAGACGCTATATAATTTTAAGCTTTTGTATGATAGATAAGAGTACAAAAGGTGTTGATGTTATGTTCAAGTACTGCATTGGTTATTGGACTGCTTGTGTATGCAACACGTTTAGAGCTGGCTGTTAAGATTCAATTTATATCCTTTTAAAATGGATTCTCGAAATACTAATCTGATGGTGTGTTTTTGAGTGTACACACATTACTTATTTTCAAGTTGACATCTGTGAATTAGAAATTCAGTCTTTTCAATATAGATGGAACAGTAAACAAAACCATGGAAAGTGTGCAAGCTTTATTATTATTTAACTTTAATTTTTAAACTAGTTGATGTTATGCTCTTTACTGATCCATGTTTTTCATTATTTTAGAAGTTCATCCAAACTTTGATGTAATGGCTTGACAATTTTTGTTTGTACATTGCAAACGTTGTGTTCTTTTTAATAAACATGTTTATATTGAGAGTATTACTATTTGAACCCTGCTTGTACTTTTGTTCTTGTTTTTGCCTTGATAACTAAACACCTCAAATGATGCCATGTTTGTTGTGACTTTGCAGCCATGTATAAAAAAACAACTTAAAAATATGGAGGTAATTTTACTGGAACAATTAATGCCTGCTCCTACCTGCCTCTCCCCTTACACAAACACACCCATCACACACACATACTCATTTGTTATGCAGTGCACTACACAGAAACCACACACTCTTCACAGAAAGAAGAATGCACAGCCGAACAAGTGCAGTGCATTTGGCAACTTTTAACTTTTTACCCTGCACCCTAGTTTGATGTAATGCACATTCCATGACTGAAATATCGTAACAAATGGGGTATCATGTTGAAAAAAGAAACACACTTTCTTATGATATTGAACATAATGATTATGCCATAACAAGAGAGATATAATCAATCAAACTCGATTTTCCAAACTTTTTTGAAGCGTTTATTTGAGAGATGTCATGAAAGGAATGGTGTAAATGTGAATCTCAGTTCGGCGATGTACATGTACATGTATTTGTTTCGTTAATGTTATCAAACTTTCACCAAAGTCTGCAATTTGGAATGATGTACAAGGCAACAAGGCCTTAAAAATGATACATATTGATAAGGCCTAACAAAAAAAGATGTTGTATTGCCCTTAAGGTGGGTGGGTGGGTGCAACTAGTTGCAACTGGTCCAGTTGATGAGCCAGTTAATGCCAACTGATAAACCTGGAAATTGAAATGGGCTAATTGATCCAGTTGATAAAGGCCAGTTAAAATTCAACTGGTCTAGCTTAGCCATTAGAACCATTCGGTAAAACTTCCAACCAGTTGAACGGCAACAACACTTCAATACTGGTACGTCTGTATTTCCAATGTACAGACATTGGTAATAAGTCGACTTTCACAATTAATCGAATTTTTCCCATATAATTGTATGTTATTGAAATTATTTCAGTTCATGGTTAATGTTTCCCTTATGTTTTATTAAAAGTATTTTATACGAAGTAGCGAAATGTCCTAATAACTGGTAATTTATATTTGTAGTATTTTCGAAATGAATTGCATATAACTAAATCATCAGTAATTAAGAAATATGCTGTAAATTTAGATAAATTGTTAAAAAAACATAGATCTGCACGCACCCCATATTCAATATGCAAATTGATTGGTGTCAGCTGGTTCAACTGGAAATATGCACACAGACCAGTTGTCAACTGGTGCAATGAAAATATGCCAACAGTCAGTTATCTACTGGTGCAAATATAAATATGCCAACAGTCACGGGATTATCACCACGGAATATTAAATGGTAACTGTGAAACCATCAAGACACCCAAGAATTAATCATTTTTCACACCTGGAAATCACGGATGCCCAGCTTATATTAATAACCCGTTTGAGTCTCGTGATCATCACCGTGGAACTTATGGCAACTTTGACTACCATTTAAAAACGTGTTTTAAGACACCTAATAATTACTCATTTTTCACACCTAAATATCACGAATTCACAGCTTAGATTAGTAATCAGTTTTAGCCACGTGATCATCACCAAAAAAAGTTATGGCAACTTTGACTACCATTTAAAAAGGTTTTTTAAGACACCTTATAATTCCAAATTTTACACACCTAAATATCGCGGATTCACAGCTTAGATTAGTAATCAGTTTTAGCCACGTGATCATTACCAAGAAAGTTAGGGTAACTTTGAAACCATTTCAAAAGGTGTTTTCAGACACCTAAGAATTACTAATTTTTCACACCTGGAAATCACGAATGCCTAGCTTAGATTAATAATCCGTTTGAGTCACGAGATCATTACCGCGGAACTTCTGGCAACCTTGACTACCATTTAAAAAGGTGTTTTAAGAAACCTAATAATTACAAATTTTTCACACCTAAATATCACGGATTCACAGCTTAGATTAGTTATCAGCTTGAGCCACGTGATCATCACCAAGAAAGTTATGGAAACTTTGAAACCATTTCAAAAGGTGTTTTCAGACACCTAAGAATTACTAATTTTTCACACCTGGAAATCACGAATGCCTAGCTTAGATTAATAATCCGTTTGAGTCACGAGACCATTACCGCGGAACTTCTGGCAACCTTGACTACCATTTAAAAAGGTGTTTTAAGAAACCTAATAATTACAAATTTTTCACACCTAAATATCACGGATTCACAGCTTAGATTAGTAATCAGTTTTAGCCACGTGATCATCACCAAGAAAGTTAGGGTAACTTTGAAACCATTTAAAAAGGTGTTTTAAGACACCTAATAATAACTAATTTTACACACCTAAATATCACGGATTCACAGCTTAGATTAATAATCAGTTTTAGCCACGTGATCATCACCAAGAAAGTTATGGTAACTGTGAAACCATTTCGAAAGGTGTTTTAAGGCACCTAATAATTACAAATTTTACACACCTAAATATCACGGATTCACAGCTTAGATTAATAATCAGTTGTAGCCACGTGATCATCACCAAGAAAGTTATGGTAACTGTGAAACCATTTTAAAAGGTGTTTTAAGACACCTAATAATGACAAATTTTTTCACACCTAAAAATCACCGATGCCCAGCTTAAATTAATAATCCGTTTGAGTCACAAGATCATTACCGCGGAACTTCTGGCAACCTTGACTACCATTTAAAAAGGTGTTTTAAGACACCTAATGATTACAAATTTTTCACACCTTAATATCACGGATTCACAGCTTAGATAAGTAATCAGTTTTAGCCACGTGATCATCACCAGGAAAGTTATGGTAACTGTGAAACCATTTCAAAAGGTGTTTTAAGACACCTAATAATTACAAATTTTTCACACCTAAATATCACGGATTCACAGCCTAGATTAGTAATCAGCTTGAGCCACGAGATCACTACGGAACCTATGGCAACATTGACTACCATTTAAAAAGGTGTTTTAAGATACCTAATAATAACTAATTTTACACACCTAAATATCACGGATTCACAGCTTAGATTAGTAATTAGCTTGAGCCACGTGATCATCACCAAGAAAGTTATGGTAACTGTGAAACCATTTCAAAAGGTGTTTTCAGACACCTAATAATTACAAATTTCACACCTAAATATCACGGATTCACAGCTTAGATAAGTAATCAGCTTGAGCCACGTGATCATCACCAAAAAAAGTTATGGCAACTTTGACTACCATTTAAAAAGGTGGTTTAAGACACATAATAATTACAAATTTTTCACACCTAAATATCACGGATTCACAGCTTAGATTGGTAATCAGTATTAGCCACGTGATCATCACCAAGAAAGTTATGGTAACTTTGAAACTATTTCAAAAGGTGTTTTCAGACACCTAAGAATTACTAATTTTTCACACCTGGAAATCACGAATGCCCAGCTTAGATTATAATCCGTTTGAGTCACGAGACCATTACCGCGGAACTTATCGCAACCTTGACTACCATTTAAAAAGACGTTTTAAGACACCTAATAAAAACTAATTTTACAAACCTAAATATCACGGATTCACAGCTTAGATTAGTTATTAGCTTGAGCAACGTGATCATCACCAAGAAAGTTATGGTAACTTTGAAACCATTTCAAAAGGTGTTTTCAGACACCTAATAATTACAAAATTTTCACACCTAAATATCACGGATTCACAGCTTAGATTAATAATCCGTTTGAGTCACGAGACCATTACCGCGGAAGTTCTGGCAACCTTGACTACCGTTTAAAAAGGTGTTTTAAGACATCAAATAATAACTAATTTTACACACGTAAATATCACGGATTCACAGCTTAGATTAATAATCAGTTTTAGCACGTGATCATCACCAAGAAAGTTATGGTAACTGTGAAACCATTTTAAAAGGTGTTTTGAGACACCTAATAATTACAAATTTTTCACACCTAAATATCATGGATTCACAGCTTAGATTAGTAATCGGCTTGAGCCACGTGATCATCACCAAAAAAAGTTATGGCAACTTTGACTACCATTTAAAAAGGTGGTTTAAGACACATAATAATTACAAATTTTTCACACCTAAATATCACGGATTCACAGCTTAGATTAGTAATCAGCTTGAGCCACGTGATCATCACCAAAAAAAGTTATGGCAACTTTGACTACCATTTAAAAAGGTGGTTTAAGACACATAATAATTACAAATTTTTCACACCTAAATATCACGGATTCACAGCTTAGATTGGTAATCAGTTTTAGCCACGTGATCATCACCAAGAAAGTTATGGTAACTTTGAAACTATTTCAAAAGGTGTTTTCAGACACCTAAGAATTACTAATTTTTCATACCTGGAAATCACGAATGCCCAGCTTAGATTAATAATCCGTTTGAGTCACGAGACCATTACCGCGGAATTTATCGCAACCTTGACTACCATTTAAAAAGGTGTTTTAAGACACCTAATAAAAACTAATTTTACACACCTAAATATCACGGATTCACAGCTTAGATTAGTAATTAGCTTGAGCTACGTGATCATCACCAAGAAAGTTATGGTAACTGTGAAACCATTTCAAAAGGTGTTTTCAGACACCTAATAATTACAAATTTTTCACACCTAAATATCACGGATTCACAGCTCAGATTAATAATCAGGTGTAAGACACCTCAAAATTATTAATTTAATACAACCAGAGATTCACGGACAGAACAATAAGACGATTAGCCGGTGTAAGTAGCGTGATTATTACCATCAACCTTGGATAACCTGTGAAACCGATCGATAAAGGTGCTTAAAAGACCAAATAATTACTTATTTATTACCACCATCGGTTAACGGATTAAAAACTCGTTGCTTGGTCAAGTGGTTATTTGGTCATAAACACTTGATTTACAGAGGTAAGTCGAATCACGTTACTCCAGTCGCGATTTTTTGGGTTAGATGAAAACGTGAACAGGAGTACATTTTTTGTTTAAATGAAGGCACGTGTCGATAACGTTTAAATCTAGTTCAAAAGGCACCATACTTTAAAATCACCTAAAAAAACACTCCCAAAAGAGGTTATTTTTTGGTGTTCTGTTTATTGGGACATCTTTTTTTTTAGGCCTAACATTGGCAGCAGCAATGACAACATTTGAAACAAAATTCTTGTACCTAATCTGATTATTTCTAATTGATTACTTTCTAGAACATGAAATCATTTACACTTCGGAAATAAAACAAGGTTTAACAAAACTGAATAATAGCACACATAATTGAAAAGGGGAAAAAACACACCTCAGTCCTAAAGGGCATTATTGGTAAATGAAGTTCATAGGTCGTTTAGTTGCACTATATTCAGAAAGATGCATTTTTTAATTGCAATCCGTTATTTGTCGTATTTTTCTTGAAGGCTCTCCAAAGGCAATATATTTTCTTAAAGTGGATGTAATCATATACTTAGCCAATGGCTTCTCTAGAGAGAGCTGAACCAATCAGCGTATCGATGTCGACGAATCGCCACAAGAATGCAGCGAAAATAAGATGAGAAGAGAAAAAGAATTTCAAAATTTTCACCATCTTGACTCTGTAATTACCTATCTTTCTAGCCGAACATTCTTTTGAAAGGTTAATGTCATGAAAGCGTTATTGCAAATTTCACCCATCACATACTAGAACTAGGTGATCCATGCATAGAGCCAATGGAGATTAAGAGTTTTCATTATTTATAGGGTTAATAATTCTGAGGAAATTACTGTACATAAAACAAATCTAAACGTCATACCCAGTGCAAAGAAAGTATGTCTGTACCGAAATACGGCCTAGGCTAGTCCGGTGCCCACATGAACTTGACACCATGTGTACGCATCCTTTTTTATAGACACAAGCTCCTAAATCCACACAGTCCTATGTTTCCATGTAAATACATAGCATCAGTAGTTCGCTGACACCAGATTTGGTTGATTGCAAATCGGTAGCCCTCCAGAAAATTACTCAAGCTTGCCTTCAAAGGGTGATGAAATTGATGATGAGTATTCTTTATGAGGCAGTACGTCGAGGACACAGTGTATTACGTAAAACCTGTCTATCTTAAAAGTGAAGTCCACTCTCGGTGATTGACAACACCCATTATGGAGCAAATACCCTAATGGTGTCGAATTCCCCATAAGAATCCATTACTATGAGTCTTTAACATTACATACTTTTACATTCTATAGAATACAAATAGATGAGTGATTTGTGACGAGATCTTTTTTTCACTGTTGACATTTCATGATCCTTAATATAGTCGAGCGAAACAAAGGTTGTGCCATGACATAGGTTATCGGGTTGATGAGGCTGTTACTATAGGTCAACCAAAAGGAAACCTCACCAAACGTCGGGACTTTAAAAAAGATGAGGTTTATGGTGCCTGGCAACCAGGTCACGAAGAAAGCCAGGATGATGAAGGTCAAAGTGCGCATTACTTTGCTGAAGTCGGATGGAGCTAAGCGTCTTTGCTTGCTGTGATCGGTTTGGGGTCCTGACAATTTTGAAGATATGGCACCAGTTGATGGGCACTGTGATGGAATCTGTAGTTTATCTTGCTTTGGCAAATTTGTTGTCAATCGGTCTACTCTGAAGTCGGCGTGTTGGCCATGGATATTTGTATCGGATATGATTGACACGCCTTCCTTAAAAGAGTTGGCCGTATGGACTTTGATGTCATTATCCTGATGTGCTTGAACAACGATTCCATAATTGGCTTTCATACCAACTTCCTGATTGACTTCCACATCTTTGTGGTTTTCAATACTGTCCTCCTCATGGTTTTCAGCATCATGTTCCTGATGGTATTTTGCATCAACACCCTTTCGGTTTCCAATATCAATGCTTTGATCTTTAAGGCCTTCGACATTAACCTCCGCAAGGTTTATGACATCGTCATCCACATCAAGGTCCTTTCTAACGTCTAAATCAATCTTTTGGTGACCTTTTGCTTCAAGTTCCTCCCCCTTCTTATCAGTGACAGACACATCAAATTGAGCCAGAGCTGTTGCTTTAGGTGAATCTTTTCTTTTGTTGCCTCGCAAATCTGCGACAGAGGCCTCAATGTGCAGGTCATCGCATTGACTCGTATATGTGACTTCACTTCCGGTGCTTCTACTATGTTTGCGGCTCTGGCCAAATGTACCAGAGAGACGTTGGATACCAGCAGCTTTTATCTTAAAGTGAATGCTCACGTAAAAGGCAATGATGAGAAACGATGGTATACCTATCCGGGCGACTGTGACTGCATTCACTATGTATTTATTTTCAATGTAATTCATCTTATATTTGCCACGGGACGTGAACTCGGTGGGTTCCACCAAATGCCAGACCGTCACCAAAGGTATCCAGAAAGCTGTGGACACCACCCAGGTGATGCCATTGGCGATGTTCGCAATGCTCTTTTTCCGACGTCGGAAGTGCTCGAGTGGGTAGGCTGTCGCCACATAACGGTCCACGCAGATGGCGATGATGCCGAGGACAGATACTCCGAGGACAGTGTTCTGTACGCCGACGAACAAGTGATAGAGCACTGGACCAAATATCCATTGGTTGTAGAGAGCAAAAGTACTACGAATCGCCATGATGAACCCGACCAATAAGTCAGAGATTGTGATATTTAGGATGTACCAGTTGGGGTAGGTCCTCAGTCTTTTCTCGATGTGGAACGCTCGTAGAATCAATACGTTTAGCGACATTGTGATAATTGATATTAGAAGTTCAACACAGAAAACTGAGGTTGATCCTGAAGTGATGTCAGGTGTTGATGGGGTAGGTATCGTTGGTTTCGTCGGACCATTCTCTGTATTCGAGATGAACGTTGTGATATCCGTCACGATATCCATTCTGGCGACCCTATAATAGGATAGAAAGTGGGAAGTAAAATGCGTACAGGTTGAAACGTTTATTGGAAAAATAAATCCTTAGAGTCTGATGAAAGAAAGAAAAACAAAATCAAATATAGACAAGATCACAAAGACTTTCGAAATATTTGACCCAAGGGCTATGGAAATACCCGTAGCCCATAGAAATCAACTTCGGATTACGCAATATGTCACTAATAAAGTTCGCACATTTCTGTAAGGATAATGCTACTGAAAGTTGTTTGCGATTGTGTTAAATGGATGTATTTTGAAAGAGGAAGAAAAAGACACAACACAAAAAAAACTGGAATACGATAGCAACTACTTTCGAGAAAATCAACCTAGGGCAATTATTTAAATAGCCTTATGCTGCACCTTTCAACACGATTTCTACGGGGTATATGCTTTAGGGCATTGAAATAAGCATTGATATGGCTTTTCAAAATAGCTCCGTGTAGTCTCATCTGACAACGCCCCCTATCGTCAGAGTCCACCAGCCTAACATGTTAGCCTATGGACTTTTACCCCATAATCGTTCAAAATTCATTTTTTGTTTAAACGAAAAGCACATCCAACCCGACGTACGTTGGCAATAGCTCTGTCATTGGAACCCTCATGTTCACCCAATGTAATTTGATCAAAATAGGTCGTCAGCTCGCCATTGCCTATATAACACATGCGCAAAAAGTCGAACTTTGGACGCAATTTGTCACGCGATTGTAAGGTTATAGGTCAAGCACACGAAAGATAACAAGCATGAATTATCATAGATCAGTTCTGATGGGTTCATTATGTCCATTTCAGCCAACCCCCCTCCGTAATTTTTCCATTTAGTATAGGCAATCATTTTGCTGAGGTAAGCAAAAACATGAATATTCATGAACGTCATGGACTATTCGATTATTTACAGAGGGGTGCAATTGTGTACCACATCAAACCCCCTACCTTCATTCATGTATTTCATTGTATTATGTAGTTTGGTAGGTTTATTTTACCAGCTGTTTAATCATCAGATATCTATGATAGTTAAAAGATATGGAAAAGATTCTTGTATTTTATATTTAGCAAAGCAATCTCACATACAAAATCAATATCAAGTGTCGTCTGATCCGCCATTTGCCGTCTGCTGTATACGTTCAAGGCACATTTATCTGTGGACTGTGATGTAGACAGCTAGTTTACTCGTCATTGTAGATTTATGATTAGCCATCTTTCATGTATTAGTCTTTAATTGTTGACACACATACAATTACCACACACATGAACACTCTCATTTCCCCTCCCCAACACACCATTTCCGCACACCCGGTTCACACATCATACCCAATGGCATATACATCCTGCAATATAGTTGAACATTCTAGTTTGGTAGTGACGGCGAACTAGCTACGTTTGTGCTGGCAATGGTCCAGCGAGCGAAAATGAGACAACCGGAGCAATATGAATTGCGATCGAGGTTTAAAAAAAAAAAAAAAAATAAATAAATAAAATCAATGAGCTCTATACAAACATATCTCGATGATCGGAGCTCACCACTTCGTTGCATGAACTGGTGGCAAGTGTATCTGATTTAACAAGCCAGTCACTCCTTGTTTTTAAAAGGTTTTTTTTTCCTTTCTTTCCAGAACTGCCCATTATATTTCCAAGGCAATTAGGAATGTTTTGCGTCACCCGAAACTGGCAAATAAACGGTATCACCCCATAATATCACCAGTACCTTGTGGCACCGTCTTGCGGCTTTCAGCTAAAGCAATTTGTCTGATTGGTTTTATTTGCAATTGTCAAACACGTTTAATCGTCCTTTTATTACTTTTTCGCGCAGATCTATAAACAAAATGCTCGAACGGTCTTCTCACAATCTGGCTTTGCATTGCATTGTACCAAATGACCTTCCCAATAGACATATTAATGAATCTCCTCCTTAAAGGAAACCTAAACCCAAAGAATAAGTGTAGGTATTCTGAAAAATGAGATGTATTCCTGCCCTTTGATGTACAATATTCCTTACGAAAATGTACAAGATATATATAAATGACGATATTCCTGGCATGATGTGATGCCTGTCAGCATGACATGGGCGCAGCCAGTTTCTTAAAAATGTGACGTATCTGTTGAAGTTGTACATGTATAATGCACCAAGCTTTAGTTGGAAAGAATTTTTAAATCAATAATGAAACCTTTACTTTTCAATGAAAAAAAAAACAACTGAGATGATAGAAATTATATAAGGTGAAAAATAAATAAAAGGGGCACAATTGTAACAAATTTATTTATAAATACTACACTATAGCAGTTGACAAATCTATTTCATTTATGAGAAACCTTCAACCCAGAAGAGCACTAACTAATTTATGCAATTTGCGTTCTGGCAATTATAGTACAAAGGATAATAGCAGGTGAATGAAATGCTTCATCACCACACACGTCTGGGAAAGAAGCATCCATAAATTTGAATACATTTACTTGATAACCGACTTCGCATAATACGTCACATTATCAAGAAAATGGCGATGCCCATGTCGTGCTGAGAAAGTGTACTTTATTTTTGCTTTATACCTCTCTCATAAACTTTGGTGGGGAATCTTTTAGATGTATGGGTAATAACATAATAAATCTCTCGGAATAAGTAACGTTATTACTTGGGGTTCGGTTTCCTTTAAACGAAGGTTACAGTATTATTTTTGGGAAAAATGGGGTGTTGTGTGACAAAAATCTTCTAAGGAGATAAAAAGATGACAAATATTGGGTACATTTGAGGCAGGATACAACTGATCAATATGTGCAGACGACAGATTTTAATCATAAAATTGCATTTTGCGGAGATTGACATTTCTATGTGTGTTATTGATTTTACTCATGATTAATGTGACGGTTCATTCGCATTGCAACCTTATCATATTATTTACTCTTGTCACTTTTATGACTGTGCATTGTTACATTATTCTTCTGCTTATATACGGGAGGAAAACTCAGGAAATCGATTCCACATCGACCGAGTCAACTTCAGATAATAAAGAAATTTCTTAGAACTTTGATAGACAGGTCCGATTTTGGTTTCTATGAAGAAATTTGAAACAAGATACAATCCAACGAAGAAAAGGAGACCGAACGAGAAACGCAAATATACCTGCTGACAAAGTGTAATATTGATTTTACCCATGATTAATGTAACGCTTCATACGTTTTGCAACCTTTTCATATTATATACTTGTCACATTTACGACTTTGTTCTTTTACCAGTGTACGGGAGGAAAACTCAGGAAATCGATTCCACATCGATAGAGTCAACTATAGAACCATGAATAAAGCAACTTTACTTGACTTCAGGGGCGGCCGAGTGACTTCCAAAGTGGGGGGGGGGGGGGTACCAAGAAAAAGGGGCACTTTCTGGAAAAAAGGGCACCTACAAAGGGAAATCTCAAAGCCTAAATATACGATTTTTTAGCCATTGGTATATTCCCCTACATTGGGATTACAATTATCAGGGATGATTTCAATATTTGTTTCACTTTATACACCATACAAGATATTGCTGAAGCATCATGCTTGCAGTTGGGCTTGATTGTCTAAAAAGGTGTTTGCGAGCGAGGAAAATTTTTAAGATGTGTGAGGTCGCAGTGCGAAAAATTAGATCTTATAAAGAGGGAAAAACCCAATCCTAATGGGGTTATAAAGCACATTCTCTTAACGGAAGACTGAAAAAACTTTGATAAGTAACACAAGTATATCATCTATAGATCTGTACGAGCGTAGCAAGCGAGCTTTGGGGGAAATTGCTCTTAGTCGCTTGAAATTAGCTAGGGCGCGTTTAATGATGAGAGGAAAAGGGAACACTTATCAGGAAAGAAAAGGAGCATGTGCCAAAGTACAAAGAGTAATTATCAGAGGTGAAAAATGGGGCATTTCTTACATCCTCAAAAAGAGGCACTCACCAGGGATGAAAATAGTCAGTCATGAGAATAAGAAATGGGCATTTGTCGACGGAAAAAGGGCCCCCATTAGATTTTAATAGGGGCATTTATAAGATATTATTATATATATATATATATGAATATATATTATATAAGATATTATTACTGTTAAAAGGGAAATTACCATAGGTGAAAAGAGGCACTTATCACACCTGAAAAGAGGCAATGACCAGATATGACAAGGGGCCCTTACGTGAATGAAAAAGTGTGACTTGTAATAAGCCTCTGCTTGACTTAAATGAAGACAAAAATAATTCTTAGAACTTTGATAGACAGGTCGTATTTTGGTTTCTATAAAGAAAGTATAAAACAAGATCCTATCCAACGAGAAAAAAGAGACCAAAATGAGAAACGCAAATATATATCTGCTGACAAAGGGTATCATTGATTTTACTCATAATTAATGTGACGTTTCATTTGCATTGCAACCTTATATCATATTATTTACTCTTGTCATTTTTATGACTTTGCATTGTTACATTATTCTTCGGCCAGAGACCAAACGAGAAAGGCAAGTATACCTGCTGACAAATTGTATCATTGGTTTTACTCATGATTAATGTGACGTTCCATTCGCATTGCAACTTTATATCATATTATTTACTCTTGTCACTTTTATGAATTTATATTGTTATATTATTCTTCCGCTAGTGCATGGGAGGAAAACTCAGAAAATTAATTCCACATCGACCGAGTCAACTTCAGATAGAACCATGAATAAAGCAACTTCACTTGACTTAAATGAAGAAAAAAATAATTCATAGAACTTTCTTGACAGGTCCGATTTTGATTTCTATGAAGAAAGTTTGAAACAAGATACAATCCAAAGAGAAAAAAGAGACCGAACGAGAAACGCAAATATACCTACTGACAAAGTGAAAATCGATGAATGATAACAAAAAAGAAAGAAATATCTTTTACACTGTCATATATTATTAAAGACAATATTCAAGTGATATCATTAGCTTACCGAAATTCGTTGTAAGATTGGCAGTGCTTGGTTTTGCGTGA